ACCCAGGCCCTGTTGTGGAAGGGGCCTACAAGAGGTTCACACCCAGGCCCTGTTGTGGAAGGGGCCTACAAGAGGTGCACACCCAGGCCCTGTTGTGGAAGGGGCCTACAAGAGGTTCACACCCAGGCCCTGTTGTGGAAGGGGCCTACAGGGGGTGCACACCAAGGCTCTGTTGTGGAAGGGGCCTACAAGGGGTGCACACCCAGGTCCTGTTGTGGAAGGGACCTACAAGGGGTGCACATCAAGGCTCTGTTGTGGAAGGGGCCTACAAGAGGTGCACACCCAGGCCCTGTTGTGGAAGGAACCTACAAGAGGTTCACACCCAGGCCCTGTTGTAGAAGGAACCTACAAGAGGTGCACACCCAGGCCCTGTTGTGGAAGGGGCCTACAAGAGGTGCACACCCAGGCCCTGTTGTGGAAGGGACCTACAAGAGGTTCACACCCAGGCCCTGTTGTGGAAGGAACCTACAAGAGGTGCACACCCAGGCCCTGTTGTGGAAGGGGCCTACAAGAGGTTCACACCCAGGCCCTGTTGTGGAAGGGGCCTACAAGAGGTTCACACCCAGGCCCTGTTGTGGAAGGGGCCTACAAGAGGTTCACACCCAGGCCCTGTTGTGAAAGGGGCCTACAAGAGGTGCACACCCAGGCCCTGTTGTGGAAGGGGCCTACAAGAGGTGCACACCCAGGCCCTGTTGTGGAAGGAACCTACAAGAGGTTCACACCCAGGCCCTGTTGTGGAAGGGGCCTACAAGAGGTGCACACCCAGGCCCTGTTGTGGAAGGAACCTACAAGAGGTTCACACCCAGGCCCTGTTGTGGAAGGGGCCTACAAGGGGTGCACACCCAGGCCCTGTTGTGGAAGTGGCCTACAAGAGGTGCACACCCAGGCCCTGTTGTGGAAGGAACCTACAAGAGGTTCACACCCAGGCCCTGTTGTGGAAGGGGCCTACAAGAGGTTCACACCCAGACTCTGTTGTGGAAGGGGCCTACAAGAGGTGCACACCCAGGCCCTGTTGTGGAAGGGGCCTACAAGAGGTGCACACCCAGGCTCTGTTGTGGAAGGGGCCTACAAGAGGTTCACACCCAGATTCTGTTGTGGAAGGGGCCTACAAGAGGTGCACACCCAGGCCCTGTTGTGGAAGGGGCCTACAAGAGGTTCACACCCAGGCCCTGTTGTGGAAGGAACCTACAAGAGGTTCACACCCAGGCCCTGTTGTGGAAGGGGCCTACAAGAGGTTCACACCCAGGCCCTGTTGTGGAAGGGGCCTACAAGAGGTTCACACCCAGGCCCTGTTGTGGAAGGGGCCTACAAGAGGTTCACACCCAGGCCCTGTTGTGGAAGGGGCCTACAAGAGGTGCACACCCAGGCCCTGTTGTGGAAGGAACCTACAAGAGGTTCACACCCAGGCCCTGTTGTGGAAGGGGCCTACAAGGGGTGCACACCCAGGCCCTGTTGTGGAAGGGGCCTACAAGGGGTGCACACCCAGGCCCTGTTGTGGAAGGGACCTACAAGGGGTGCACACCCAGGCCCTGTTGTGGAAGGGGCCTACAATACCAATCGTAGATAGATCAAATCTGGCAAGACATAATATATTGTTTCAATTGGTTAAAGGCAGATATAAAAAAATCAAGATATATCTTTCAAATTCAAATATCTTATCAAAGAGAACCGTGTAGAACCGGTTAGAATTGGTCTTCAGCAACCCATGCTGTAATGGGGTTCGCTGACTTAGTTCATGCATGTCATCGTATCCCAATTGTGCAGGTTGATGCTCATGATGTCAATCACTGGATTGTCTGGTCCAGATTCCAATATTTACAGCTGGGATATTTATCATTTACAGCTGGAATATTGCTGAGTGCTGCGTTAAACAACAAACAAACAAACCTTATAAAAAGTGTGTGTGTGTGTGTGTGTGTGTGTGTGTGTGTGTGTGTGTGTGTGTGTGAGTTGCTGAGAATTATAGAAGAAAGGTCAAATCATCAAATGTATGTATTTTCTTAGATAAACATAGAAATAAACATCTTGTTATGACACCACACTGCTTGAAATCAGTGTGATGCTATCATGTTTTTAACAATCAAACACATCTGTTAACAATTGAGCAGAATACAGTAAAGTGGCCGCATTAACAACTGAGTACAGTTCATTTGTGGAACACAAATACCACTTGTGGAAATCAGTGTTTTCCTCAATACATGGTACATACATGATACATGGTATGTATTCTTTAAGCATATCTGCAGATACGATCGTGTAATCGGTGTGCCACTCAAACTGTCGAGGATGGGAGTTCTAGTATTTTATCAAGTATTTTATCGAAATAACGCAAGTCAGTTATTCCCTGATGGACTGTGAAGCCGAGAATCATAGATTAAAAGTTAAATAGTCAAACATACGGCTTTATATATCAACAAAAATAAACTCGGTTCCCATATTACGACTTGTTAAGTATTTCTTACAGGAAAGGCAAGAGTGAGCAGGGTTGCAACATTCTGTACACAATGATGTCACTGCATTGCAACATTTTTGTCTCATGCATGTTTTAGGACAATGTGATGTCTTACTATGATGCATAGACCATATGGCAGGTGTATGGAATTTGTGCTATATTAGTACACATATTATTATCATTATTATTATTGTAATACTTATTAAGCATGGAATGTTGCACATTAGAAAATTGTGGGAATTTACGTAAATGCACATGTTTAATGATCTGCAAAAGACATAGCACACTAGCACATTGATATGACGTTTTCTTGTACATAAACATCATATCCATATGCTGTTCATATATTTAAAAAGTAAAATACTAATAATTATACTTTGTGTGAAACAATTAACATGGTTAATAATTCTACAGAAAGTGTGAATTTGGTCTTGCAGTTGATAAATGCACCTCACGCAATAAAACAAACACTCACCCATTCTCTCTTCATTTCTATAGGTAGATCTAGATTAAATCACATGTTTCAGAACTACCTATCTAAAGGAAACATGTCAACACAGACCAGTGGCCATGATAACAAGAGTCATCAGAAAGATCACATATCCCCCCGGCAGCTGTCTGTTAAGTAACCACTAGTAAATGTGCAATTCTGTATGTAATGAGTCAACAGTTGAATGTTCTTTAAGAAGCATTCATTGTTTACCCACTGAATGGTTTTCAAATTCTGGCCCGGAAACGAACCCGTTCCCCAAAGTAGTCTAGGTCCAACTTCTTTCAATAAAAATTTAAAAAAATATAAATTTGTAAAAAAAAAAAAATATCAAAAGGCACCACTTCAGTATGTGCCTGATAGATTTGCCAAGTTTCGATCAAATACACTGAATGGTTTTCGAATTCTGCCCCGGAATCGATCCCCATCCCTAATTGAGTCTATGTCCAACTTCATCATGTTCATTCCATAAATATTTAAAAAAATAAAAATTAGAAAAATCCCAAAATATCAAAAGGCACCACTTCAGTATGTGCCTGATAGCTTTGCCAAGTTTCGATCAAATACACTGAATGGTTTTCGAATTCTGCCCCGGAAAAGGAAATGATTACGGACGGACAGACGGACTGGCTGATGGCTATATCCCCCCTCATTATATGCCGGGGGGATAAAAACAGCACTTGAAACTGGTATACTTTGTGTCGAACACTGTGTATTGGTTTGTGAGATTGCACAGCATTAACGTCCTCTATATCTCCTGTGCTAGCATTTCGGTAAACTGCCTCTAACCCTTGGACCCCTCCCCGTGGTTCTCGCAACTCTTAAATTACCTTACAGTTTCATAAACGTTATCACTTGTATGAAACAGATATGCCTTCCTTTAAGTATTGTAATCTCATGGAGGCATTCAGGGTTATGGCCGAGAACGTTGCCACATACATCCCATATCAAGCGTACCGTATTTCCTCAATTAGACACTCGGACATCTCTCTATTCACAAGGGCCCTTGACCCAATGTGTTAGAGACCCACCCACCGTCTACTAGAGGAAACATCATTGTCAGTACCAATGTATGAAGTATGGATTAACCAAGGGAATTGCAAGATTCATAATAGAGGCATAACAAATGTTTATGTTGCACAGACATCCGGATTAGTTCAATGTAATTTTACATACCATTCACTCAACCACGTGGCCTCTGTGGAGCATGTTTATGTTGCACAGATAATACCGGCTTAATTCAATTTAATTTTCCGTATCATTCACTCAATCATGTGGCCTGTGTGGAGCATGTTTATGTTGCACAGATAATACCGGCTTAATTCAATTTAATTTTCCATATCATTCACTCAATCACGTGGCCTGTGTGGAGCATGTTTATGTTGCACAGATAATACCGGCTTAATTCAATGTAATTTTCAATATCTTTCACTCAATCACGTGGCCTGTGTGGAGCATGTTGATGTTGCACAGATAATACCGGCTTAATTCAATGTAATTTTCCATATCTTTCACTCAATCACGTGGCCTGTGTGGAGCATGTTTATGTTGCACAGATAATACCGGCTTAATTCAATGTAATTTTCCATACCATTCACTCAATCACGTGGCCTGTGTGGAGCATGTTGATGTAAAGGTACAGAATGTCATCACAAACATTTGAGCAATGGAGGCTGCACAATCAAATAGCATGTGAACTTACAAAATAAATTTAAAAACTTCATTATATATTATAGAAAAATAGTTTAGTCTGCAACATCTGTCGACAGAAATATGTCTTCACAGGTAGTAGATATCTCAGGTATAATGTGCAAAAAGGAAATTCCTTACTTTTGCTCTGGAAGCCTTTCAAGAACACTTGATGATGCCCTCTAATTTTGACCGTAATCAATTTACAGAATCAAAATATTCACACAGTCATCCTGAGGCTTATTTGAAGAATCCAAAAGAAATCGAAAGTCATATTGTGCTGTGTGAAGATTATTTACACCAAACCCAAATGACATACAAAATATTTCGCGCTATATATTACCCGTGTATTTACAGCTATGGCCCCTATCAAACATGATGTACCACTCGAGCGTGAGCTTGTGTTGTTGCCGACTTCGTCTGTCGCAGAGTCGATTCCGCTTTTTCTGGCTTGTGTTCAGCTATAGGTATGATAGTCACGTGATCATTGTTGTGCCATTCTCGTAACAAGATGTGGCCATTTTGTTGGGCTTGACTGTCATAAAGGTTGACGTCGCTCTTTGAGTGGGGAAGACTGGTGTGGTGCTTGAAGAAGTCTGGTTCACTGCGGACATAGGGCAAGGTATGTGCTTTCTTGATAGCCTGGTTCTGGTCATATTTGGCCTGAAAAACAACATTAGAACACTGAGATGCTGGTGTGAGTGGGATTGATCAGTTTAGATGTCAGAAGTGGGATCCTTTTTGTATGTTTGTTGTTTAACATGTTCAACACCGCACTCAGCAATATTCCAGCTACATGACGGTGGATTGTAACTAACTGAGTCTGGACCAGACAATCCTGATTGATATCATGATTATCGAACCATGCAATTGGGATATGATGACATGCATCAACCAAGTCAATGAACCTGACCACCTGATCTCGTTAGTTGCCTCTTATGACAAGCAATATCGTTTTTAGGACAATGGGATTCAAACCTGTAATCAGCTGATCCTGGCATAACAGGGGATGTAACTCTGCATTTGTACATTTTATAAGAATTATTTTTTTCTTATTTAAGGAAACTGAAATGGAGACACATTGACAAGAGTAAGTAAGTAATTATGCTGAAAAAAGCACTATTTAAGCTGACAACTTAATGATTTTGAGGTGAGGTGAAATGTGGTTGAATGTCGCGTACAAGATTATTGCACTTAACATAGCGATGTGCATGCACCAAGTCAGCGAGCCTGACCACCGGATCCCGTTAGTCGCCTTTTATGACAAGCATTGTCGCCTTTTACGGCAAGCATGGGTTGCTGAAGACCTATTCTAACCCGGATCTTCACGGGTATATCATCAGACATCGGACCATAGTTACCAACCTTATTATAAGACAACACTCCAAATATGGCCACCAACATTCCTAATATATTTGTTGGAGTCACTGGATTCTTCAGCACCAATAATGATCCACTTATAATAAATATTCTCTTGGTGGCATTGGCTACAGCATAGCTGAGAGATGTCACTATGGAGAGGAGGGTGAAGGCGAAGATGTTGTGGCCCATGTTGCAGAGGCCGTCACATAACAACATCATCATCATGTATAACTTGTTATTGCTGTTTAACTGAAACAGACCAAGAAAATCACACGTAAAAGTCTTTCTTTCGATTGTCAAAAGCTAATCGAACTAAAGTTCGGCACGTTTCAAAAGTACCAGACATCAATAGGCATTAAAATTTAGAGCAAGCTAAAGAAATGGATCCAGTAGCGTCATATGGGTCACGTGTGTTGCCCTGAGTTGAAATTGAAAAGTGCTGTTTGCGTGAGCTATTCACTAGATACGTTGATGTGCTGCTTGTTGAACTTGAATAATTCGCTGTGCTGTTCGAGGACTAGTAACAGCACTTTATGGGGACAAGAAGGAACAAATTGCTATGTTAGCCTTGCAATGTGTTCTCGCAACTGTACATTAATATCTCATATTGTCCCTTCTGTACCTATAACAGAAGAACAAGGCATCTAAGAAAACAGTGATCAATATTCAGCTGATATTCATTCATCTACTTGACACCGATCTTCTGTACCTCATGAGCTGTTCATGTAAGTCTCAAAATAGGAATTTGTATTTGCTGATAATACAAATTGTTGAGTGAAGTTGAAATTCAAGTCCAACTGAAATTCCAAAAATCAGTCATAGATGTGAGGGCAAGAGAATTCCTACTTGGCTACCCTAGTGCCCAAGTTATTTTGGAGGTGGAAACAGGATACATTTATCATATGTGTGGGATAACAGTTTTTCATATCTTGCAATCAGCTCCATAGTGGGGCCCCTTGCCTCTTCTCTTCAGCAATGTCGTACATAGAACACAAATCATCAAACTTTGGTTGTGATGGATATGCTTATTCCCACATAACTGAAATGTGTTTAAAGTTATCCACAAAGCGATTTCAGTGCTACAACTATCGTAAGCCTATGACAAAGTGTTAGAGTTACAATAACCTTAAGTCTAAGCCTTTCTTAAAGTATCTGAAGCTTATGTTAATGTATTAGAGTTACGATCACCTAAGCGCTATGACCATCATACGCCCTTGTTAAAGTATGGGAAGCTATGTTAATGTATTAGAGTGATGATCACCTTAGAGTTATGAGCATCGTAAGCCCATCTTAAACATGTTAAAGTGTCTGAGGTACGATCACTTCAGCACTAAGATCATACCTTCCACACCTTACAACATGTACAATGTTAGTCTAGACTTACAGTAGTCGTAACGGAAAGACGAGACAGCGTTTCTACAACAGTGTCCTTATCTCTTGGTGGAAAAGAATACGAAGATAATAAAGAATCACTTTAAATACTTACAAAATGTTCATCATGTACGATCCTGCGGAGGTCAAAGAGGACCCAGAGTGGGAGGAAGCAGACGGTGGAGATGCGCGTGATGAGAACGAGCAGACGCATGTGATGCAGGCCGGTATCCTTCAAACACTGCACACACAGACACACAAGCACTAAACATATTGCTCAACATGCTCAACAGGCAACAGTTTTAAATATCTGGGTTTACTGATTAGAAATACCTGAGCCAAGTCACGATCATAAAAATCCTGTGAATATCCGGGTAAGAATTGGCCTTTAGCAACCCATGTTTGTCGTAAGAGGTGACAAACAGAATCAGGTGGTCAGGCTCCCTGACTTGGTTGTATCCCTATTGCGTGGATCCATGCTCATGGCATCAATCACTGGATTGTCTGGTCAAGACTTAATTATTTACAGACCGCCATGATATAGCTAGAATATAGCCGAGTGCGGTGTTGAACAACAAACAAAAATCAAAACACAATCAGGAAATGACTTTCTTATTTCAAACCTATTTTAAGTTTGCTGATCCCACCAGGAATCTTAGTCCCATTGAAATATTTAAGAACTGGTGTCAATATTTTTTGGCGTTTATGAAGTTTAAAGGTTAAACTGTTGTACATACTGTGTAAATCCATGGGCTTTAGAAAACTGTGCACGTCAGTTCTTACATTCATAACTCAATAAACGCAAATACATATTGAAGCTAAGTCTTATAAATTATGTCAACAACTTCAATTAACACACAAAAACCTACAACAATACAAACTCAGCGACATTGTTCAGCACAATAATGTAATGCAAGCCCTGCCCATTTTATTATCAGCCAATCAGGAAGCAGTAGTCTGTTAGTGGGTGTGGCCTAATATGTCTTTGGTTTATGAAAACATTGGTTTACAAATCAAATGCAACGGATTCACTTGCATGATTAACTATTTCAAAGTCAGCATTTTCGCAGTGATCATGGTGGTTTGAATTATTTTTCCACATCATGTTATGCAACATTTTTGACTGCCCATTGACCATGTTGACATATGCAATTTAAATATGAATTATTTAGCACATTTTGCACATGAATGTGTACTGGGGACATGCACACATGCAATGCTTAGGGACTGGTCATTTATCCTCAGGGGGGGTGGGCTGGTGGGATTGGTTTAAGGACTGTATATCTTCGTCGACCCCCACCCTTTTTATGTAACACTTTTTCATTACCCTCTTCCCCATAATAAATGACCAGTCCCTAAATCATGTTCAAATTAATAATATTAATTTTTAAAAGAATAGAGCTGTGTAATTTTCTTTATGCTCCCCTCCACACAGTTGCGATACATATTGGCATGATACTTACCAATTTAGTGTTGAAAATGTTGTAATCATGTTTCAAACACATTTTAATAATTGTTGACATTAACAATACATTCTGTACTTACCATTTTTGAAAAAATAGTTTGCAATGAAAAGCAGAGTGTGGCAAATAAGGCACTTCCGAGCCCAACATAATCAAAAGCCAGCTCCGTGACTGTTGCTATGACAACGCCGCCTATGATTGGTAGTAGGGACAAATACACCTGGAATGAACAAGACATGACATCAAGTCTCGCAGAGTCTGGGTGGCGTGCGGTGTGCAGTGGTGTGGGACGAGTGGGACAATTACCACTTTGGTGAAATGGGTGAACGTGGATATGGTGCCGACAAGTCAGTTTGTTTGTGGTTTAACGCTGCACTCAGCAATATTCCAGCTATATGACGGCGGTGTGTAAATAATCAAGTCTGGACCAGACAATCCAGTGACTGACATCATCAGCATCGATCCACACAATTGGGACCGATGACATGCATCAACCAAGTCAGCAAGCCTGACCACCCGATCCCGTTAGTCGCCTTTTACGACAAGCATAGTCGCCTTTCATGGCAAATGGTGCTGACAAAACAAAATCTACAAACAAAATGTGAGAGAACCAGGATATGAACCCACATTCATAGATTTCTGGCACCTAAGGGATACAACTGTGCACAGTGAATTGTGGTGCCTTTGGTGACTTGAAACCAACAGGCAGAAACAGTGACACAAGATATATTTTTTTCACCAACAACCTATGAATTAAAACCCTATCCTGTTGACCTGGCACCAGCTGGAGTGAGACTTAATAGCTAAACAGTTTAAACTGCTGAATGAATCAATACAGAAAACAGATAGGTGTAAAATCAGCGTGTGTCACATCTGCTTAAAAGCAAAATAAAGAACCTGTCTACAATAGTTCAGGGCCAAACTAGATTTTATTACACAACACATGGGGATGAAGCAAACCTTATTATAACCTAATTCCCACCACTACTTGTGGTGTGTCAGTGGGTTGGTAGAGGGCTTGAGGTGGTGTGGAGGTCCGGTGAGGTGGTTTGGAGGTCAGGTAGGTGGTGTGGAGGTCTGGTGAGGTGGTGTGGATTTCTGGTGAGGTGATGTGAAGGTCTATTGAGGTGGTGTGGAGGTCCGGTGAGGTGGTTTGGAGGTCCAGTGAGGTGGTGTGGATTTCTGGTGAGGTGAAGTGAAGGTCTATTGAGGTGGTGTGGAGATCCGGTGAGGTGGTGGTGTGGAGGTCCGATGAGGTGATGTGGAGGTCATGTAGGTGGTGTGGAGGTCCAGTGAGGTGAAGTGAAGGTCTATTGAGGTGGTGTGGAGGTCAGGTAGGTGGTGTGGAGGTCCGGTGAGGTGGTGTGGATTTCTGGTGAGGTGATGTGAAGGTCTATTGAGGTGGTGTGGAGGTCTGGTGAGGTGGTGTGGATTTCTGGTGAGGTGAAGTGAAGGTCCATTGAAGTGGTGTGGAGGTCCAGTGAGGTGAAGTGAAGGTCCAGTGAGGTGGTGTGGAGGTCCGGTAGGTGGTGTGGAGGTCCGGTGAGGTGGTGTGGAGGTCCAGTGAGGTGGTGTGGAGGTCCAGTGTGGTGATGTGGAGGTCCGGTGATGTGGTGTTGAGGTCCAGTGAGGTGGTGTTGAGGTCCAGTGAGGTGGCGTGGAGGTCCAGTAAGGTGGTGTGGAGGTCCAGTGAGATGGTGTGGAGGTCCAGTGTGGTGGTGTGGAGGTCCGGTGATGTGGTGTTGAGGTCCAGTGAGGTGGTGTTGAGGTCCAGTGAGGTGGCGTGGAGGTCCAGTAAGGTGGTGTGGAGGTCCAGTGAGGTGGTGTTGAGGTCCAGTAAGGTGGTGTGGAGGTCCAGTGAGGTGGTGTGGAGGTCCAGTGAGGTGGTGTGGAGGTCCGGTGATGTGGTGTTGAGGTCCAGTGAGGTGGTGTGGAGGTCCGGTGATGTGGTGTTGAGGTCCAGTGAGGTGGTGTTGAGGTCCAGTGAGGTGTCGTGGAGGTCCAGTAAGGTGGTGTGGAGGTCCAGTGAGATGGTGTGGAGGTCCAGTGAGGTGGTGTGGAGGTCCAGTGAGGTGGTGTGGAGGTCCAGTGAGGTGGTGTGGAGGTCCAGTGAGGTGATGTGGAGGTCCGGTGATGTGGTGTTGAGGTCCAGTAAGGTGGTGTGGAGGTCCGGTGAGGTGGTGTGGAGGTCCAGTGAGGTGGTGTGGAGGTCCAGTGAGATGGTGTGGAGGTCCGGTGATGTGGTGTTGAGGTCCAGTGAGGTGGTGTGGAGGTCCGGTGATGTGATGTTGAGGTCCAGTGAGGTGGTGTGGAGGTCCGGTGATGTGGTGTGGAGGTCCAGTGAGGTGGTGTGGAGGTCCAGTGAGGTGGTGTGGAGGTCCGGTGATGTGGTGTGGAGGTCCGGTGATGTGGTGTGGAGGTCCAGCGAAGTGGTGTTGAGGTATGGTGAGGTGGTGTGGAGGTCCGGTGAGGTGGTGTGGAGGTCCAGTGAGGTGGTGTGGAGGTCCAGTGAGGTGGTGTGGAGGTCCAGTGAGGTGGTGTGGAAGTCCAGTGAGTTTATGTGGAGGTCCAGTGAGGTGGTGTGGAGGTCCAGTGAGGTTATGTGGAGGTCCAGTGAGGTGGTGTGGAGGTCCAGTGAGGTGAGGTGGTGTGGAGGTCCAGTGAGGTGAGGTGGTGTGGAGGTCCAGTGAGGTGGTGTGGAGGTCCAGTGAGGTGAGGTGGTGTGGAGGTCCAGTGAGGTGAGGTGGTGTGGAGGTCCAGTGAGGTGGTGTGGAGGTCCAGTGAGGTTATGTGGAGGTCCAGTAAGGTGGTGTGGAGGTCCAGTAAGGTGGTGTGGTGGTCCAGTGAGGTGGTGTGGAGGTCCAGTGAGGTGGTGTGGAGGTTCAGTGAGGTGGTGTGGAGGTCCGGTGATGTGGTGTTGAGGTCCAGTGAGGTGGTGTGGAGGTCCGGTGATGTGGTGTTGAGGTCCAGTGAGGTGATGTGGAGGTCCAGTAAGGTGGTGTTGAGGTATGGTGAGGTGGTGTGGAGGTCCAGTGAGGTGGTGTGGAGGTCAGGTAGGTGGTGTGGAGGTCCGGTGAGGTGGTGTGGAGGTCCAGTGAGGTGGTGTGGAGGTCCAGTGAGGTGGTGTTGAGGTATGGTGAGGTGGTGTGGAGGTCTAGTGAGGTGGTGTGGAGGTCCAGTGAGGTGGTGTTGAGGTCCAGTGAGGTGGTGTGGAGGTCCGGTGATGTGGTGTTGAGGTCCAGTGAGGTGGTGTGGAGGTCCGGTGATGTGGTGTTGAGGTCCAGTGAGGTGATGTGGAGGTCCAGTAAGGTGGTGTTGAGGTATGGTGAGGTGGTGTGGAGGTCCAGTGAGGTGGTGTGGAGGTCCAGTGAGGTGGTGTGGAGGTCCAGTGAGGTGGTGTTGAGGTATGGTGAGGTGGTGTGGAGGTCCAGTGAGGTGGTGTTGAGGTCCAGTGAGGTGGTGTGGAGGTCCGGTGATGTGGTGTTGAGGTCCAGTGAGGTGGTGTGGAGGTCCGGTGATGTGGTGTTGAGGTCCAGTGAGGTGATGTGGAGGTCCAGTGAGGTGGTGTGGAGGTCAGGTGAGGTGGTGTGGAGGTCTGGTAAGGTGTGTGGAGGTCCGGTGAGGTGGTGTGGAGGTCTGGTAAGGTGTGTGGAGGTCCGGTGAGGTGTGTGGAGGTCTTGTGCGGTGATGTGGAGGTCTGGTGCGGTGATGTGGAGGTCAGGTAGGTTGTGTGGAGGTATGGTGAGGTGGTGTGGAGGTCTGGTGAGGTGGTTTTGAGGGCAGGTGAGGTGGTGTGGAGGTATGGTGAGGTGGTGTGGAGGTATGGTGAGTTGGTGTGGACGTCTGGTGAGGTGTGTTGAGGTATGGTGGGGTGGTGTGGTCTTGTGAGTTGGTGTGGAGTTAAGGTGAGGTATGTGGAGTTAAGGTTAGGTGGTGTGGAGGTCTGGTGAGGTGGTGTGGAGGTCGAGTGAGGTGGTGTGGAGGTCCGGTGGGGTGGTTTGGAGGTCTGGTGAGGTGATGTGGAGGTCCACTGAGGTGGTAGTGGTTCCAGCAGATCATAAATATTCAGTTAGGTATAACCATCTGATCATGATCAGTGATAATTGTTTTGATTCAGCAGAATACTTACAGTAATTGTCTGTGTTTCCCCCAGAATGAGTCTTGATAATATCACAGTGAACATTGGAAGGGTAGCTTTAACTGAAACAGCAAGGGGAGGTCGACATGGTTAACTTGGCTACCAAGCAAAGCATCTGTACAGCATTCAGTGTTCTCAGGTGTACATGTTGTTGACTACCCCACAGTCACATGATGGTGGACTGTGAACAATGAAGTCTGGGCCAAACAAACCAGGGATTGATATGATAAGAGCGTCCCATGCTGTCAGAGTACGATTACAAGAACATCAACCAAGCCACAAAGTCTGACCACAGATCCAATAAGTCGCTTCGTATGACAAGCAATGGTAGCTATGGACCTATTAAACCAGGAAGCCCCAGGTGTTTTCCAATAGAGAAAGGACGAATGACATTACTCTGATGTCAAGCCATACAAAGTATTGGCACTGAAAACAATCTGAGGTGACTTGATCATTTTGTCATATTGCATTAGCATTTTTATCAATAATGTGTCTAATGTTACACACGCCAATAACAAGTTTGCTGCAACACACGTGTAGTCCTCCTCAATGCACTTAGCAGGGGATCATCTCTCAGTGTGGCCATGACCTGGGAGGATTTGTTTGTTTGTTTGTTGTATAACGCCGCACTCAGCAATATTCCAGCTCTATGACAGCGGTCTGTAAATAATCGAGGTTGGACAGGACAATCAAGTGATTGACATCGTGAGCATAGATCCACGCAATTGGGATACAATGACATGCATCAACCAAGTCAGCAAGTCTGACTACCCGATCCCGTTAGTCACCTTTTACGGCAAGTATGGGTTGCTGAAGACCTATTCTACCCCGGAATCTTCACGGGTCAATATTCATGTTAAGTGTACTTTATTACCATGTTCAAAATTATTCTTATGAAATTTTCTAGTTTTTTGTGATGCACATAATGAATCATGCTCTCTCTCTGTGTCTCTCTGTGTGTGTCTGTCTGTGTGTGTGTGTGTGTTGTGTGTGTGTGTGCGTGTGTGTGTCTGTGTGGTGGTGTGTGTGTGTGTGTGGTGTGGTGTGCGTGTGTGGTGTGTGCGTGGTGTGTGTGTGGTGTGGTGTGGTGTGGTGTATGTGTGTGTTTGGCGTGGTGTGTGTGTGTGTGTGTGTGTGTGTGTGTGTGTGTGTGTGTGTGTGCTTTTACTAGTGTGTGTGTGCTTTTACTAGTCCAGACTAATACCACCTTTATAGTGCTAGCCCAGTGAGATACTATGCCACAGTTTACCCCACTCAGATACAGTAAACAGTCTCCGGGCCAACCAGTACTTTGTTTTAGCCCACCAGACAGGGTAACAACAAGTACCATCTCTTAATGTATTTTGGTATAATCATGATAATGCGGCCAAGGATCGAATGCTTTACCTCTAGACCATGGAGGCTGTCCATTCAAACCTTCAAACTATCAGAATTATAAGCCAATAATACATCAGAAACTAAATTGTACAAAATCATACATCAACAGATGTGACTGACTGAAAACTATCATGATAGTAATATGATCATCAGAAAATTGAATGGGCCCAATTATATTCCTATCCATATTGCTATTCTGCGTATTGATTCAAGCGACAGCCTGTCTTGCTGCTTAACATATTAACACTGCTCCATCAGTTACCATCTGCCAATGAAACAACTCATCTGCTACTATAGAAACTAAAATATAAGGTGAGGTGAGGTGAAATAAGGTTTTACGTCACATCCAAGATTGTTGCACTCGTATCGAGACGTGCATGGACTTATACCGATTCTTAGGGCCACCCCACTGAGATGCCATGCTGCAGTTTAACATGAATACCCCACTCCAACACAGTATACTGACTGAACTGACTGACAAGTCCTTGTTTTAGCCCTTTAATGTCAAGCGCCAGGCAGGGTAACAACAAGTACCATCGTTTAATGTATTTTTCTATCCCTATCTTGTAGCTTGCGACCCCCATGGTATAACCTGGGACCAAAAGTGAGTGGGTATGGTTTTATGCCACTTTGAGCAATATTACAGCAATATCACAGCAGAGGACACCAGAAATGGGCTTCACACAATGTACCCATGAAGGAAATTGAACCCAGGTCCTTGGCGTGACGACTGAACACTTTAACCACTAGGCTACCCCTTTGGGCCAAAGACACTTACTGACCTGCAGTACTGCTTGCCTCTATTACTATCTCATTGCTATTGTCATTTATTCAACTGTTGCAACAGCTGTACTTGATCGTCTACAGATTTCTAACTCAGCAATTTGATGATTCAGATTTGACCAGAAAATATGGGATCAATGGAGCGACCACTTTCAGTGATGAGTGCTTTATGTTTTTTGTCTTGCTCCTCGCTCACATTGGTCATCTTCCCGAGGCAAGGGAGATAACTGACCATAAAAGTCCAGTTTCCACCCTTGCCGAACTAGGCTGGTATTATGGAGTTACATTTTGGCTGGACTAACGAGGCTATGCTTAGTCCAATAAAAATCGCTCAACAAAATTGAAATCCGGTTGTAAACTGTCATGCAGATTTCGCTTGATTGCAGGATTTGCAAAGCATGTGCACTGCCAGCTCATTGTCAACAGATATTTTCCAAATCATTTAATGTTTTTAATAAAGGTGCTCACGTGATTTGATGCACTTCGCGATGTAAGACTCATTTTATAACAATATAGATTCGTTTATCGATCAGATAGTCTTGACTGAGCGCCGCCATTTTGTTTGAAGTAAATGCAAGTGATACAAGAGGTGGATCTGATTGGTTTATAAGAGAGGCATAGAAGGGACATAAGTCGTAATAGCCACTGGTGGTGCTACGATCAAGCCCAGGAATTCCAGTCTAGTTTGGCAAGGACGGAAACTGGACTTTTAAGGTCAGTTAACTCTCTTGCCTCGGGAAGTTGACATTGGTTAGGAAGATACAGACTTTACAATAAAGTTGTAATACCATAACCTTGGCTATAACAAATTATTTTTACATTTCCATCCCCTCCTGCCTCAGTACCAAACAACAGGGTTCCGATAGTGTCTTGAACCATTGAGTGTTGACTCTCATAAGTTAAAATAGATAGAATTATTATTCAATGGCCCGCATGTTATCAGAAATGAGCGGGACAATGTAAATTGACAAAGCCCTCATATTGTTTGAAGGCCATTATCACGCCCGTTGTTAGGTAACGTCATCTGGTTTGTTATATGATGTTTCCAGATGTGTAAAATTCGGTCAGCGTTACCCTTATATTGATAGCTTTCTCTGGGTTTTCAATAAATTTGGGGCCCAATCTACTAGGTACTTTTACACCAATGAGTATACATTTTTAAAAACAATTCAGCTTAAATGCTATCAGCTGTCTTCTACTTTGTATACGTGCTGGCCCAAAATGTGATATCGCGTCACATTAACTCTCAACAGTGAGATACATGTGCATGACATATCCTTAAAACAACAAAAGACAAAGTGCCTTGTTTATGCATTATTCACAGAAACTGACTGGAGTTTAGGATTGTGTGATACCTGCACTTTATACTCATATATATTCATAACTTGACCGCCGTCATATAGCTGGAATATTGCTAAGTGAGGCGTTAAACAACAAACAAACAAACAAACTTGAACATGCTGAAAATGCTACATTGTGGACTTACACAGTATTCTTATGGTATTGTTTCTTTTTAATATGTCATGCATACTTGCATCCAAGCAACTGTAAATTAATAGAGTATTGGCTACTATATTGTGTATTTGTGCTCATCAGCTCCGAAACAACCTGCCTTGATACATTATGAAAGAAACCCTATGTGTGATACCTTGTTTCAGTGTTTATCCTGTTAATGGAATACACTGTGTAGTCATGACAGTAAACCACCTAACATGCATACTTCATTTGAATCACATCCATCGGTTAATGTACACAGACGCCAAGAACAGTTTGTTAAAATAAACTAAAACAAAAATAACGCCTCCCACCTATCTTTCATTTAAATGTGGCCAAGATGGATCAGGATTCACCTGACACCGCCTCCCACTGACATAACTGAATGTTACTATAATCTTCATGCAGAGACGTATTACATCGGAGTTAACATTTTCATGATTATAAAAGATCTTATTTTCATATATTTGAGTGAGTGAGTGAGTGAGTGAGTATGGTTTTACGCCGCTTTTAGCAATACTCCAGCAATATCATGGCGGGGGACACCAGAAATGGGCTTCACACATTGTACCCATGTCGGGAATCAAACCCGGGTCTTCGGCGTGACGAGCGAACGCTTTAACCACCAGGCTACCCGACCGCCCCTCACATATTTGAAAATGTGCAAATGGGACAGATCTAATAAATCTCAAATATGTTCATAAATTACTTGGCTGATAACTTCTGACATGATATGATGGATTTAGTGAACAGCTGCAATGGAGTGTCCTGGGTAAGTAGCTGTAATGAACTGACGAGGAAGCAAGTACGCTGGCGACCATGGCGACAGCTGTTACAACTCAGCAGGTGCTTCCCCAATACATCAGTCTGCCTGGTGTGTTTGACACCTCACACCACAGTGAAACAGTGGGGACAAGAGATTAAGGGGGTGTGACTTATATTGAGAAGATTCACCAGGACAGTTTACCAAAGACAGTAGCTGCATATGAAAAGATTGACAAATATATCAAAGATATGTCGGGAGTAGTGCACTTTACCGAGCGCACTTTTTCAGATCCAATTAGCGCTGTGGGGGCTCGAACGTGCTTCGCCAGCTCACCAGCTTTGCTCAACCACTGGAACACGAGTGCTATTTCATGATATCAGTGTTCGTTTAATGGGTCATTAGCACCCAATTAACATGCATGCGTAATTCAGTAAACAATAAATTGCGCATGTGTGTGCGGTCACAGTCTGCTCTCCCATTCATCTTTACTTAAAACCACACCCGCCATTGTATATGTCAACGTGACCGACCTATCGGAACCGGATTAACGCTTGAAAAGGCATAAGAATTTATGGCTAACCCTTGCCAAAAGCAAGCTTACCCTAAGGATCGAAAAGGGGTGTTGGATCTTAAAGATGTGTAAGTTTCCCTAAGAGCGAAAACGGGTGTTGAATCGTAAAGACGTGTAAGTTTCCCTAAGACCAAAAACGGATGTTGGATCGTAAAGATATTTCAGTTTCCCCAAGACAGGAAACGGGTGTTGGATCGTAAAGATGTGTAAGTTTCCCTAAGACCGAAAACCGGTGTTGGATCTTTAAGATGTGTAAGTTTCCCTAAGACCGAAAATGGGTGTTGGATCGTGAAGCGAGAGTCACCAGTGCGTGAGGCATGGTAACAGTATAGCGAGACAGCAGTGGCACTATAGCGCGGTAATTGAGCGGATGGTAGAGTTCGGGCTGCGCCTGGTAGACTGCATTGTTGCCGATATGTCATAATGTCATAAAATCAGATCTTTGTGCTCGCTCAGCTACACAAAGATCAAACGACATCCCATTACACACCATGACAGAATGACCTATTGCGAACTTTGACGACCAATGAAAGCTCCAATGTTCATAAGGGGCGGTCGGGTAGCCTAGTGGTTAAAGCGTTCCCTCATCACGCCGAAGACCCGGGTTTCGATTCCCGACATGGGTACATTGTGTGAAGCCCATTTCTGGTGTCCCCAGATATATACTACCCAAACAACCTAAAGAACACCCACAATCATCTTCCCTAGGCAAGGGGGTTAAATGACTGTAAAAGAGTTTATTTCTGGTGTAGACACAAGGGTCCACTTGCACAAACTAAGTGAGTTTAGTGCTACAGCTATTGTTAGTCTATGTTAAACAATAAGAGTAACATAAACTTACAATAGTCATAGCTCTGAGATTGCCTTGTGCACATGGGCCACGTGAATTCGTTACAGTGATATTCAAGAAATTACATCTGTGAAAACAGGTTTAGGCTTGCATTAACACCACATACAGTGAATTCTCGCTAAGTAAAAGCCTTTTAACATGTTAAGGGGAAAAACCTCTTTGGCCCCAGCAAGCTCACTATCTAATCAGTACATAATATCATGCATAAACAAAACTTTCCACAGTCAAAACAATATACTAATCTTCAACAAATGATACATGTAAATATTTCAGACTGATATTCTTACTGTACTGCATGTATTGATTTTTTTAATATCCACATACAATAATGAACTGCTTTCATGATTGCATCATATAATAAATAATTGTTTATAAAAAACAACATAGATATGAACAAAAACATCCTGAACACCTCCTTAAGGGAATCAATGTCAAAATTAAAACAAATAAATAAAAGGACACTCCCTAAATAGTATGTATAGAGCTGTATGCTCCTTCACGAAAAACTTGATTATGTGACAGGCACATCCCTGAATTGTCTGGCATTTTGTCTAAATAAAGTGCACCGAATGGCTTGCATTAGGCCTGTTTGTGCTTATATCACAATTAGTGTGCTTGTTTACAAACAAGATAAAAGCCTGGTCATGTGATAAGCCTACACCCGTAGAGTGGTCACTGCAGATTGGGTTGGTTTGTTGTTTAACGCTGCACTCAGCAATATTCCACCTATATGACTGCGGTCTGTAAAATAATCGAGTCTGGACCAGACAATCCAGTGATTGACATCATGAGCATCGATCCACACAATTGGGATCGATGACAAGTATCAACCAATTCAGCGAGCCTGACCACCCGATCCCGTTAGTCGCCTAGCATTGCCTTTAATGGCAAGTAAGAGTTGCTGAAGACCTATCCTAACCCGGAATCTTTACGGGTCGTCACTGGAGAAGAACAATCTGTCACAGAATAAGGCAAACAAAGCTTCAGAACGGTTGTCCCTTAAACAACAAACAAACAAAACTTGTATGATGTTAAACAGTACTATGTTGACAGACCATCTACTGGCATTCTGTGGAATATGTTTTGGTACTTTATGTTAAAGATGCAGTCATCATATTTACCTGTATGTGCATAAGATACTGAACTTTTCCATATACTGACATACGATGACACAGACGACAGAAATTTGCCCATGGCCAGTGGCAAAATCATTGTGAAGTAATAACGCCTTGACATTTCAGTCACACTTGGAACATCCATTGTTGAGATGATTGGTCCTAGGAGAATCGCGGCCGTAGCTAGTTGCACCATCGTGATTGTCATAGGATATGGGAATTCTGATAAAATAATTTTTCCAATAATATTGTCAGTGGTGCTGCATAAATACCATAAAATGCACACTACCACAATTTTGGCAGCATCATAGAATGCACTGGCCCTGTGATCCTCCTTCATTTTGACTAGATCCTACTTGATCGATTAACTTCTTAAATGTTACGTAATCATTTCACCCTGGAGCATCTCTGTCATCTCTTTGACATTTCTAAAACAGATGTTTTCATTCCGGCAAGTACACGTTGCGTCCTAGGTGGCGCTGTCACACAATTCAGAGATTAATGATCATCACTTCCGGTTAATTTAATAAGTTTTCTTTAATTACGAACTCTATACATTACCCAATGATAAAATACGTTTTCTTTGTTAAAGATATAATCAACGCGATGTTTTACGTGAATAATTTTAAAATTCAATTTTAAAACTGCAATATTCAGTCCGGGACTACAAGATGTCAGCCTCCATGAAGTGGGGTGCAGGCTAAAACGGCACCTCAGCAAAACGTCACCGATTTCTCTGGCGAAAACATCGATGTTTACTTATACGCGAGCTATTAGATCTCGACACGTGCCAGTTCATCTACATATTTGTGGTAATAGATTATTTCTAGGTCAACCCTTTAATCGCATTCCCATCGCGAAACGTGCAATGCGGCGCCGACAATGCCGATCAGGTTTAAAGTGATATAAGGTGTGTTGGCAACAAGGCAGTTTTTAGGGCGCAGCTTTATTTAGCGCTAATTAGCTCAGGCTGCCGGCTGTGGCTCCAGCATCACAGATATGTAGGCGTGCCTCTTCTATCCTTAGGGTTGGTTATGTTAGGGTAAGGGTAGGTTACCCCAACTCTATCCTCAGCCCTGGGATTTCCTTTCCGATCAAACACCTCTTTACGTTCCTTAGGGTTGGGCACCCTACTATGTCCTTAGGGTTGGGCACTCACTACGTTCCTTAGGGTTATAGTCACGCTAGATTCTATGTCATTTAACGAATTAATCCAATGACATTTGAGGAAACTACACTTTTTATCAAGTTCGAGTTTTGCTGAAAAATGTTGACTACTGCAGGCAAACAACCAAGGTAAACAATTGGGTGTTGATGACTTGGTAAATGAGAACTAATTATTTGTGATAGTGGCTGTGGTCCTGTGGTAAAGTGTTTGTTATCATGGTTATGATACCTGTTCAATACCGGGGTTCCACACAATGATAATCAATGACTGATTATAGGTCGATGGCTGTTTATGTTGAGCATGTTTTACAGCAATGGAGTCTTGCACGTGAACTCCGGGCATGCGCATTAGAGCGATTGTAGTTAACTGGTTCTTGACCGATACTACCACAGTGTTGGCTTACCGGATTAACTTATTTGCCAAGCTTTCAACATGGCAACATGAATTTGATTCTCCGCACTGCGCTAACTGAAATCTGAAAACAGTGTGTGCCTGGTAAGATGCACTACTCGTGGTGTGTTGACTGATATGAGGAATTTGTTTATCACTGTTAGCATGGTTAGCATGTTTAGTAATCTTATGAAAACAGGAAGAGACCTTGCATTTCCAGAATGGCACCAAGTGAACCACTTGGGCTTCGCCACTTGGTTTGGTGTTGACACAGGCTACAATGTACCTCATGCTACGATATTCACTCAGAATGAGTATTCTACCATATCAACGGAATGTTCTCTTTGCAAAACTAGGTACCTCCGGTTCCCAATTACATGACTCTCATTTTACTTGTAGTGTTTCCTTTTGCAAGATACAGGCACAAACGTCAGCTAAATGTTTAGTATCTATAGATATTTTTATATGTGGACATTCATAACATGTGTTTTGGTGATACCACATTGTAATGGTTGTATGCTTTTTCTCTTTGCATCTTTAGATATGAGCGCCATGACTGATACCATGTGATGCGAAAATCAACCTTTATCAAATGTGTGCTGTTGCTTGCCCTTGTCTTCATCTTCCTGCAGTACTTCAGCTTTACAAGCCTCTACAGTGTGGTAGGTCATACCTCAACATGCTCAAACACTGGGGCGGTGGGTAACCTATTGGTTAAAGTGTTTGTTCCATTGCATGGATTGATGCTCATGATGTCAATCACTGGATTGTTTGGTCCAGACTTGATTATTTACAGACTGCCACCATATTGCTGAATCATATCTTAAGTCATATGTCAGCTTTGACAATTTGGGTGTTCGATATATTATAGTTAATTATGATTGCAGGACACTATATAAACATGATACTGTGTATGGAGTGTCATTGATTGAAAGTTATTGTATCAACATATCGACTGAGTCAATATGTTGATACAATAACTTTCAATCAATATTTGGTTATCACGTGACCTCACGGGAAAAGTGTTTTTTTAAACTAAAGATTTTTTTAAAAACAAGACAGATAACTTTATCACAAATACTAAAATATCGTTGATAGCAATAGTTATTTGAATACTTTTTTCATCTGTACTTAATTATTGACCATAAAAAAATTGGATATTGATCGTCCGAGAAAGCAAAATGGCGGTTAATCAAGATTCAATATACGACTAGCTACTGAAAAAAATAAAATCTGCAAATCCTCATTGTATGTCAACCAAGTTAGCCATGACTTACAAAATGATCGTCCAGACTTTGAGGGTTTGGCAGATCCGCTTGACTGATCTGCATCGGTCGACTGGCTATCGTCACGCTTTCGCTTCTTGTCTGAGGTTACGTATCGTAGCATTGTGAGGATAATGAGGTACATCGATGATGCAAGGTATTAATGTACAGTTGTAAACACCTTTCACTCAAATTAACAAGATGTTCTCAGTAATTAATCCTTGATTAATCAGTGTCAACTCAGTTTATTGCCTATTACAGTGATTGACCGATTGGACTATCATGTAGGTACAATGTATTTACAGCAATCAAAACAAACAAAGCTTGTCAGTGTAGTTAATCTTCATTGTGTTGCAACTGCAGACAGAAACTGCTCAGTCCTAACTGTTGATCATGTCCAGTCAAAATTTAAGAATGTCCGGACAATACTTTTTAAAATGTCCGGTAAGCAATATTTTAAAACGGACATTTGAGATTCCCAATCGGACATGTCCGGCGCATATGACGGTTTCCGGACCCCTGATCGACTCATGTTAATAATTCTGTATGCGTGTTGATATAAGTCACCTTTGTGGACCAGCACTTGGTGATATTAAAATGGAATTTTCTGCCTCCTCATTGTCCATCTCAACCTTTGTAATCTTAATAAACATAAACATGTCTGTGGCAGTCAATTATTACCTTTGTATCGATATCAATAAATTTGTATCAAAATTTGAGATTTATAAAAATTGCGATATTCTGACATCCAGGGATCCACAGCGAAGAATGGAAGGAACTCTGGTGCCCAGACTGCAGCTATACTGGTTAGTGCACTGTAATGTTTTGTAATAAATTATCTTGGATTCCAAAATTAAGTATCTGATGCCCCCTGTAAAGTTTCGGGTTAGAATTGATCTCCAGCATCCCATGCTTGTCGTAAGAGATAACAAACAGGAACGGATCGTTGATGCATTTCATTGTATCCCAATTGTGTAGATACATGCTCATGATATCAATCACTGGATTGTCTGGTTCAGATTCGATTTTTTACAGACTGCCATCATAAAGCTGGAATAATGCTGAGTGCGGTGTTAAACAACTAACTAACAACAGAGTGCCTGATGCAGGCAAATTGGGGAAAAAACATGTGTATGTTCAAAATTGGATTTTTAAAGTTTGTTATGTGAACAGTGAAATATCAAGTGTTATGTTCACTGCAATGACAATATCACTTTTCTTAACTTCAGAAAACTGCAGTCATAACATTAGTTACAACTATAACAGCAATTCCATATGGGGAGTCGGCAAAATGTATCCCAGCCATCACACTATTGACAAGGTGGAGGTGGGGGATGAAAAAATTACACATGTAGCTTATATCATGAATATGTGATCTTAGTTTAGTTTCTGACATAGTTTGTGATAAACAAGTGTTTACTTCATGTCGTGTTTAATTAAAACAGGACCTGGTCAACACATTCACCAGCAAGTGCCACCACCGGGATATTCCAATATTCGTAATCGAGCCAGAAGTGCTCCAATCCCTGTTGACTGTCAGTGAGTCGGAATCTCAGCTTTACTGCGTCCATCTCTGCTCAGCCGGAGATGTCATCTCACTGGGGACATTTGGGGAAGACTGGGAGAAAAGGGTATGATTGTCCTTCAAGATGAGTTTGGTAAATGTTCAGATGAACAAGATTATTGAATAGAAGCTAAAAACTTGAGAATAAAATCTGAAAACATGTTACCATTAAAAGTATCCAATACAACCTTATTCCATTCTAGGGCTCCCTGTTGCATGAACTCCGTGACCTTGACCTTGTACCAAATGAGGTGACCTCTCCTGACCCCCGTCTGCTGTCCTTGGAGAGGTTAACTGTTCCCAGCATTCCAACACATTACCTCATTCACCCGTCGGGTAGAATTCGACCCCTGATCCACCTAGTGGTGTTCTACAAAAGGGCAGGCAACTTCTTGTGGCACAGCCACCTTAATCTCTCAAATAAGACCAGTGCGCTCCATCTTGAGGGCCAAAGTTTACCATTTGGAAACAGTGCTGGAGGATACGACAGGTAACGTTCCCTACTGCAGTGATATGTTGGGAGACAATCCATATTGCATCGACTTGAGGGAGTTCATCATCCCCAGGCAAGGGAGCTAACTGACTATAAAAGTCCAGTTTCCACCCTTTCCGAACTAGGTTGAAATTATGGAGTTATATTTTGGCTGGGCTAACGAGTCTATGCATAGTCCAATCAAACCGTGTAGTGAAATTGACTTCTGGTTCGTAAACTGCAGTACATATTCTGGTCAATTGCAGGATTTGCAAAGCATGTGTATGGTCAACTCGGCATCAACAGATATTTTCAAAATCTTTTCATGTTTTTAATGAAGGTGCTCACATGATTTGATGCACTTCACGAAGTAGGAACTGTTTTATCACAATTTAGATTTTAGATGTGCCACCATTTTGTTTGAAGCAAATGCAAGCGATATGAGAGGTGGAATCTTATTGGGCAATAGGAGGGACATAGATGGGTTATAACATGTAATAGCCACTGGTGGCGCTACGATCAAGCCAAGAAACTCCAGCCTAGTTTGGCAAGGGTGGAAACTGGAGTTTTAACTCCCTTGCTTCGCAAAGATGGAGGGAGTTGAGGTTAACCCCACTTTGAGCAGTATTTCAGTTACAGCAACACACACCAGCTTAATGTAATGAAACCCATGAGCACAGGAATAGTGCTGATAATTAGAGAATCAATATGAATAAATATGGGATTCAAACAATCTAATAAAACCAGATCTTTTTTCCCCTGAAGATCGAATGATCCATAGTTTTTTTCTTATTAGCCAATCAGCATTCTCAGTATGAGTGAATCAAGCCACGAACCCTTCTTAGTGCTCAGCCTTAAGGGGCTCAAACAAGGACTGGTCAGCTCTGAGTCCGTATACTGTGTCATGTTAAACTGCAGCATGGTATCTCAGTAGACTAGCATAATAAAATTTGGATTAGTATGGGCTAGTTACAACACCGCATCGCTACATAAGTCCAATAATGTAAATTGAGATGTTAAACCCCATTTCTTTTAAAAAGTCTATTTAATGATTCCCATCTCGTGCAGATTCCCCGTCCATGGAAACAGGATTGATGGTATATGGCTCCACTTTCCACACACAATCAAAGAATTCCTGGCACAGATTCCGCACTCCAAATTTATTGAGTGCGACTATCACAGAGCTCAGGTGTTCCTCAATAAAAACCCTCAGGACAATACTGAGGAAGCCCAACAGTTCCTACGAAAAGGAAGACAACTCTTGTCACGAGGAAAAGAAATTCTCGATGACCTTGGTGTCCCGTTCTGGCTCAGCAGTGGCACATGTCTTGGTGAGATCATTGTTACCATAGTTACCAGAGGACAATTATGTTGGAATGGTTTTATTGTTTACTGACGAGAAGCTCCAATGACCTTGAGACTGGATAAAATATTGATGGGTTTAGACATAAGTTAGTTTGTAGACAGATGACATGTGATATCAGAGCTCCAGATAAGCTGAAGTTTGTGTAAAATATGCATGGAAACAATAGTATCAAACCACACTGTAATTATCCAATGCCTACAATTGCTATACACAGTTGTAACATTAAAACAGGGCATAGGTGGCCAATGCACTACAGTTTGCTGCACAGAGTTGCATCCCTTTATTGTGCCAGAATCCGATGGTCATGTTATATATTGCGTTGATCCTTTCCTGGTTCTGCCTACGAACATGGTGAATTTACAGCTCACTTCTTCATTTAAGAATTGACTTCCACTTTGTTTGAGTTCATTAAAGTATGAGGGGCGGTCGGGTAGCCTAGTGGTTAAAGCGTTTGCTCGTAACGCCGAAGACGGGGGTTTAATTCCCAACATGGGTACAATGTGTGAAGCCCATATCTGGTGTCCCCCGCCGTGTTATTGCTGGAATATTGCTAAAAGCGGCGTAAAACCATACTCACTCACTCACTAATTCTTGTAGACCAGTTAGGCAAGCCTTCCTTTACTATTCACAGCACTCACTGTTTTGCAGGTTGGTATCGACAGTGTGGAATAATCTCCTACAGTAAGGACATCGACTTCGGAGTGTGGATCAAGAACTACCAAGAAGATATTGTGGCAGCTTTTGAAGGAAGAGGCTTTTCTCTGAAACACGTCTTTGGCAAGGTGAGTCATAGTAAAGATGGCGGCAGGTTTGGCCATGTAGCTTATAAATACATAGGGCTTATGAATGATACCGCCCTGTGGGGTTCTGGGCAGGAACAAGTTCCCGGTACCTCGTGCCTTGTGAAACGTGACTGATGTATGTATGGGGATGCCAACCCCTCCCATGATTCTCTGATCCCATCTAGTTATTTTCGTATAATTCTTCTCTGGGGTGACTCATTGCGTTAACTTCTTGAATTATTTCCTTGTGAGAGGCCTGTATGAAAAGTGATATGAATAAAAATATTTAAACAAAAACATAGTGACATTATTATCGAATATCCCAGTATCATTGCATGGTGACCCTGTGCAACATGCTTGTCATAGCTGGTCAAGTCAGTGAGCTTCTGTCACTTGTATAGAGTGGTCTGGACTGACAGCTCCCACATAACCCAGGTCTTCTTTTAAAATATTTTATGTATTGTCGTCTGACACTTCAACCCTTACAAGGTGTCAGTTGTTATTACCTTTGGCGATGGATGTTATTCACCCTCAGCTGTTTGGCACTAGGTCCAGGTTTCATTGTCCGGGCATAGCTAAAATGTACACGCTGGGGGAAGACAACTTCCTGTGGCTACCAATGGTATACCCTGCAGGTTATTGCTACTCATGACCCAGGGATCCACCTTTCCCCAATTCAGCTCGAGACCCACCGAGTCGCGAGCAGTTTACAGTTGCTTGTTGGAATCTTAGTGCTTGCAAGCTCAGGGTTTCTGTTCCTAGAGCTATTACTCTGGGTGCCATCTTGCCCTCACTGACTCGTGGGCACCCCAGGATTGGATGAGGCACATGGATTGAGCAGACCAACTGGCGCCTGGGGCTGAAGTCCACGATAATGACACTCCCGTTTTGATTGCCTCTTTTGGGGAACGAGTGGTGTCGTCAAGAAGGCGACTAGGGATTGGGGTTCAGCCCCTTATCTTACCTCATCTCAACCCCCCTACCCCACCCCTACCCCTTAGGTTTACAAACTGTCACTGAGGCTGTGGCACAGGTGAAAGCCCCAAGGGGATACAGACTTTTAGGGGATCCTGGCTGTGGCCAAAGTCCACTGAAGACCAGCGACTGCACTCACTCCAGTCGGGGACGCTACTGTTCAGGGTGTACCTCAGTACCTGCTTCCATCTGTGCCAGTTGGCGATCGATTCTCTTGCTCTTCGCCTAGGCATGTGAGAGAGTCACGACTAATTCCCGGACTCCCATACAGTTTTCTCTGACAAAGGTGGGCACGCACAATCTGGTGGACCAGTGACTTTGAGAAGCCCTATGATGCTGCTGAGCTGAACTCCACATCGATGGGAGTTCGGGGAGTCACCATAGAGAAGAATTATATGAAAAATACTTTAAAAAATAAGCAGTGATTTATAAGTAATTGAGGATATTTCTTCTCTCGTAACATGTCTTGAGGACCAACCATGTAAGGTTTACTTTTGGTATGTACGAGAAGCTAATTGACTTGGCTTGCCTATGGCAAGCGTGTTGCACAGCGTCACATGATACCTACAATGATACTGAAGTACGGTAGGTCAGTGTACATGCAGGGATATTCGATGATAATGACACTTTATTTTAGTTGTGTATTTAAAAATATTTTTTATTCATATCACTATTCATACAGGCCTGTCACAAGGAAAGAATAGAAGAAGTTAACGCAATGAGTCTCCCCTGAGAAAATTATCCTCAATTAATTATAAATCACTGCTGATTTTAGAAAACAATTCACTTACCCAGTAGGTCTCATTTGCTCACCCCTGAATCCCTGATACTAATTAACACAGATGTCAAACGTGCATGTCTGAGTTCATGCTCCAAGGGCAGAATGTCGATCTTACAGGAAAACCTACAGAACAAGGCAGAGAATCCATCATGCTAGATTCACATATTATTCTATCCTCACCTTACAAAGCATCCTAAAATCTCCTTTCTCACTTCAGTGTGATGCATGTGTATTTCTCTAAAAGCTGCACACAGTATATGTGAAAGAACGAAGGGGTGATGCTTCACGATGTTACAGGTGCACATGTTACACCCAATCTATGCAACTTCCCATTGTGTGCATTGCGCAGTGCCGTTTGCTCAATGGACAGTGACGGGAATGAGTTTTAAAATCTTATTCACAGAAGTCAAAAGGACAAAGTTATTTTATAAGGATATATTCACCGAGTTATTTTACAAAGATCTGTCACTGAATTGTTTTCACACACGGATGCATCAACATTAAATCACAAATTACTATTTATATGGTAAAATATAAATACAATACTTTTTCTCTTTCACAAATAAAATACTTTTTTCATTCACAACATTTGCCCTTTGCGTGCAATGAGCAAATAATTGTTTGCACATTGAGTGCATTGGGCAAGCTGTATTGCCCATTGCAAGGATTGGGCAATTGCACAGATTGGGTGTAACACATATACCGGGAATTGTGTTTTTTTAAACCACGTGAGCACACTTTTTAAGGTTAATACACATTTTTGTTCCAAATTGCAGTTTCTGACTGACCTAAAGTACACAGGTAGAACATGTATTGATGTTTGACTGACCTAATGTACACATGTAGAACATGTATTGATGTTTGACTGACCTAATGTACACTGGTAGAACATGTATTGATGTTTGACTGACCTAATGTACACATGTAGAACATGTATTGATGTTTGACTGACCTAATATACACTGGTAGAACATGTATTGATGTTTGACTGACCTAATGTACACAGGTAGAACATGTATTGATGTTTGACTGACCTAATGTACACATGTAGAACGTGTATTGATGTTTGACTGACCTAATGTACACAGGTAGAACATGTATTGATGTTTGACTGACCTAATGTACACTGGTAGAACATGTATTGATGTTTGACTGACCTAATGTACACATGTAGAACGTGTATTGATGTTTGACTGACCTAATGTACACATGTAGAACATGTATTGATGTTTGACTGACCTAATGTACACAGGTAGAACATGTATTGATGTTTGACTTACCTTATGTACACAGGTAGAACGTGTATTGATGTTTGACTGAGTTAATGTACACAGGTAGAACGTGTATTGATGTTTGACTGACCTAATGTACACAGGTAGAATGTGTATTGATGTCTTACTGACCTAATGTACACAGGTAGAACATGTATTGATGTTTGACTGACCTAATGTACACAGGTAGAACATGTATTGATGTTTGACTGACCTAATGTACACAGGTAGAACATGTATTGATGTTTGACTGACCTAATGTACACAGGTAGAACATGTATTGATGTTTGACTGACCTAATGTACACAGGTAGAACGTGTATTGATGTCTGACTGACCTTATGTACACAGGTAGAATGTGTATTGATGTTTGACTGACCTAATGTACACAGGTAGAACATGTATTGATGTTTGACTGACCTAATGTACACAGGTAGAACATGTATTGATGTTTGACTGAGTTAATGTACACACGTAGAACGTGTATTGATGTTTGACTGAGTTAATGTACACAGGTAGAACGTGTATTGATGTTTGACTGACCTAATGTACACAGGTAGAACATGTATTGATGTTTGACTTACCTAATGTACACAGGTAGAACATGTATTGATGTTTGACTGAGTTAATGTACACAGGTAGAACATGTATTGATGTTTGACTGAGTTAATGTACACAGGTAGAACGTGTATTGATGTTTGACTGACCTAATGTACACAGGTAGAACATGTATTGATGTTTGACTGACCTAATGTACACAGGTAGAACATGTATTGATGTTTGACTGACCTAATGTACACAGGTAGAACATGTATTGATGTTTGACTTACCTAATGTACACAGGTAGAACGTGTATTGATGTTTGACTTACCTAATGTACACAGGTAGAACATTTATTGATGTTTGACAGACCTAATGTACACAGGTAAAACATGTTTTGATGTTTGACTTACCTTATGTACACAGGTAGAACGTTTATTGATGTTTGACTGAGTTAATGTACACAGGTAGAATGTGTATTGATGTTTGACTGACCTAATGTACACAGGTAGAACGTGTATTGATGTTTGACTGACCTAATGTACACAGGTAGAACATGTATTGATGTTTGACTGACCTAATGTACACAGGTAGAACATGTATTGATGTTTGACTGACCTAATGTACACAGGTAGAACATGTATTGATATTTGACTGACCTAATGTACACAGGTAGAACATGTATTGATGTTTGACTGACCTAATGTACACAGGTAGAACATGTATTGATGTTTGACAGACCTAATGTACACAGGTAGAACATGTATTGATGTTTGACTTACCTTATGTACACAGGTAGAACATGTATTGATGTTTGACTGACCTAATGTACACAGGTAGAACATGTATTGATGTTTGACAGACCTAATGTACACAGGTAGAACATGTATTGATGTTTGACTTACCTTATGTACACAGGTAGAACGTTTATTGATGTTTGACTGAGTTAATGTACACAGGTAGAACGTGTATTGATGTTTGACTGACCTAATGTACACAGGTAGAACGTGTATTGATGTTTGACTGACCTAATGTACACAGGTAGAACATGTATTGATGTTTGACTGACCTAATGTACACAGGTAGAACATGTATTGATGTTTGACTGACCTAATGTACACAGGTAGAACATGTATTGATGTTTGACTGACCTAATGTACACAGGTAGAACATGTATTGATGTTTGACTGACCTAATGTACACAGGTAGAACGTTTATTGATGTTTGACTTACCTAATGTACACAGGTAGAACATTTATTGATGTTTGACATTGTACATTTCAGGAATCTGACAGTTATGAGCTTTCTTTTAAAGCCGGAGACATAAAGATTGATTTGTTCTTTTTCTATGAAGAACCCAAGTACATGTGGAATGGTGGGACCGAGGCCTGGACCGGCCAGAAATATAAGTGAGTCTTGACTGAAAAATGAGTGAGTCTTGACTGAAATATAAGTGAGTCTTGACTGAAATATGAGTTAGTCTTGACTGAAATATAAGTGAGTCTTGACTGAAATATGAGTGAGTCTTGACTGAAATATGAGTGAGTCTTGACTGAAATATGAGTGATTCTTGACACAAATAAAAGTGGGTCTTGACTGAAATATGAGTAATTCTTGACACAAATATAAGTGGGTCTTGACACAAATATGAGTGATTCTTGATAGAAATGTATGTGGATCTTGACACAAATATATGTGAGTATTGACAGACATGTAAGTGGATCTTGACAGAAATGTCAGTGGATCTTGACACAAATATAAGTGAGTCTTGACTGAAATATGAGTGAGTCTTGACTGAAATATGAGTGAGTCTTGACTGAAATATGAGTGAGTCTCGACTGAAATATAAGTGAGTCTTGACTGAAATATGAGTGAGTCTTGACAGAAATATGAGTGTCTTGACTGAAATATAAGTGAGTCTTGACTGAAATATGAGTGAGTCTTGACAGAAATATGAGTGAGTCTTGACTGAAATATGAGTGAGTCTTGACTGAAATATGAGTGAGTCTTGACTGAAATATGAGTGAGTCTTGACTGAAATATGAGTGAGTCTTGACTGAAATATTAGTGAGTCTTGACTAAAATATGAGTGATTCTTGACACAAATATACGAGTAAGTGGATCTTGACACAAATATATGTGAGTATTGACAGAAATATAATTGATTCTTGACTGAAATATGAGTGATTCTTGACACAAATAAAAGTGGGTCTTGACTGAAATATGAGTAATTCTTGACACAAATATAAGTGGGTCTTGACACAAATATGAGTGATTCTTGATAAAAATGTATGTGGATCTTGACACAAATATATGTGAGTATTGACAGACATGTAAGTGGATCTTGACAGAAATGTCAGTGGATCTTGACACAAATATAAGTGAGTCTTGACTGAAATATGAGTAATTCCTGACCCAAATATAAGTTGGTCTTGACACAAATATGAGTGATTCTTGATAGAAATGTATGTAGATCTTGACACAAATATATGTGAGTATTGACAGACATGTAAGTGAATCTTGACAGAAATGTAAGTGAATCTTGGCAGAAATTTATGTGGATCTTGACAGAAATGTAAGTGAATCTTGACAGAAATAAGTACATCAAATGACTTGAGCTCAATGTATGATTGAAAACATGAAAAGATTTGGAAAATATCTGTCAATGCCCAGTTAGCAGTACACATGCTTTGCAAATCCTGCAATCGACTGAAATCTGCCGAGTGGTTGCCATGTATATGGATCTGGTGTCAATTTTGATACACAATTTTTCATTGGACTATGTATAGAATCGTTATGCCAGCCAAAACACAACTAAGAAATTCCAGCCTAGTTCGGCAAGGGTGGAACTGGACTTTTATAGTCAGTTAACTCCCTTGCCTCGGAAAGATGGACTGAGTCTTGACACAACAACCCTTGGGGAGTCCGTAGCATAAACCGTAGCTTAATTATTTCCAACTGTTGTCATATCAGTGAATCTACTGTTTCAGGTATTTTTTCCCCAAGTTTGATGTCTGTTGGACCGAGTTCCTAGGTCTACGAGTCCGTGTCCCGTGCCCCACACTGCCCTATGTGACGGCCAACTATGGACAGAACTGGAACTACCCGGTACGGCACTGGGACTGGATGACAAGCCCGGCCAACGTGAAGGAGAACGGGGTGTGGCCCAAGCATGAATGGGACAAAGTGATTCAAGTGTATGAATGAATGTCAAAGACTGTGATACTGTTGGAGCCTAATAGTGAAGTTGAGGTTTAAATTAATTTTCATACCCTGACAACGAGGGCAGCGGTAAGGAAAGTTTGAAGCATTATTCTCCCAGCCAAAATATCATGATCAATCTGAACTTGTAATTTTTGTATTGTTGCTTTCTGATCAATAGCTCAATACTAAGGTGTGTTTGAATTCTTTTGCCAAAATGCCTTATAGTTTTTTAACAAGAATTTCCTTTAATCTATTGTTATTTTCATCCAACAGTGAAATCTGTGATAGTTCTGAAAACTTGATCAACCTTAAGACCTTACATCTTTTTCAATCAGCTACCCCCTGAGGAGTCGGGGTAAGGGTAGGGCCCCCAGCAATGTATGCTTGCTGTCAGACTTGCTTGATAGCATGTCAGAATACCCCAACGACATTGACCATTCTTCATAATATCAATCATTGGTTTGTCTGGTCCAGACTCAATTATCTACAGGCTGCCGTCATATAGCTTGAATATTGCTGAGTGCAGCTTTTAACAACAAACTAAATAAAGCAGTCAAGTCTTGGTAATTCCAGGTTAGACTAGGTCCCTAGCAACCAATGGTTGTGTGTCATCGCACCCAAACAGCATGGATACTTGCTCACACAACCGATCACAGGTTTGTCTGATCCAGACATTATTACTTATAGATGCAATATTGCTGAGCTCAGCGATAAACAATAACAAAACTAAGATAGTCAGCCTAGGCATGAATTAAAAGTACTAGTTCTATGGGGGCACAATAAAGAGTTAGCAAGTTGGGTTTAATATACCACTTGTATGAAATCCACATGCACAGATATGTCCTGCCAAGCCAAGGATTCGAACCCACTATCAAAGGATTGCAATGCTGCAGCACAAATTGCACCCGGACTGGGCCACCTGTGGCGCTGGGAATACTATAAACTGTAGTAGCTTTGAAGAATTCTTTGGTGTTTAGTGCAAATATTTGTTGTTGCCTTGTGCCAAGGGTCTAAGTTGTTAGTTACTGAAGCCATAATGCCATACCTTACTATAGAGGACAATACAGTTATTCCATGACCTGAATGACTAGTGGAACTGAAGGTGGTGGTTTCATGCCCATACTCACCACACACATGACTTTAGTTTGTTTGTTTGTTTGTTTGTTTAAGGCCACACTCAGCAATATGATGACGGTCTGTTAATAATTGAGTCTGGACCAGACAATCCAGTGATTAACATCATGAGCATCGATCCATGCAATTGGGATACGATGACATGCATCACCAAAGTCAGCGAGCCTGACCACCCGATCCCGTTAGTCACCTCTTACAACAAGCATAGTGGCCTTTTACGGCAAGCATGGGTTCCTGAAGACCTATTCTACCCCGGATCTTCACGGGTACACAAGAGTTTAGAAGAGGGTACTTGACTACATGTTCTGTCCTGGTGTTCAGAATGAGGGGAATAAAAAGACTGATGTGCTCGTGGTTAGTATACTGAGTGGGGTATCCGTATTAAACAGCTAGCACAATAAGACTGGCATGCATCTAGACAAGTACGTGAGTGAGTGAGTTTGATTTTATGCGGCTTTTAGCAATATGCCAGCAATATCACGGCGGGGGATACCAGAAATGGGCTTCACACATTGTACCCATGTCGGGAATCGAACCCGGGTCTTCGGCGGGACAAGCAAACGCTTTAACCACAAGGCTACCCGACCGCCCCAGACAAGTACAAGAGGGCACGCATGCACGCACTCACACACATTATGAATAATTAAATCACCATCATTCGGACTTTGTTAATGTAAAGTTTTCCTGCAAAGTGTTTTAATCATCTCACCTTGATCTTATGGAATACATGTACATTGTGATATTTAAGGTGAACATCATGTACCCTGTGTGTCTAGAATGTTTTATAGAGTTTCATGTCTATATGAACGGTGGGGTAGCCTTTGGTTAAAGTGTTCACTCCATTTCTGGTGTCCCCAGTGATATTGCTGGAATATTGCTAATAGTGGTGTAAAACCATACATCCTCACTCACTCACTCACTCACTCACTCACTCACTAATGCCTGTACAATGTGTGACCTTGGCCTGGCTTGCAGGTTCTTTACATAATCACACATAATACACACTATCCTGTTGTACAAACGTTTGTTGATTGTTTGGTCAATGTAAAATCGTGGGGCTGTGAATAAAACACGTTTTATTAAACTTGAAGGGTGGTTGTTGTTTTTCATTTTTGAAAACATGACTTTCTTTTTCTTAACTATGAAATACTGCCTGCGTGGTGTAGTGGATAGAGCATCTTTCGGGAGAGTGGAATATCGGTGGTTTAATCCCCGGTTGTGTCTAAAACAAGGATTGGGGTCTAAAACAAGGACTGGTCGGCTCGGAGTCAGTATACTGTGTCTGAAAGGGGTATCCATGTTAAACTGCAGCATGGTATGTCAGTGGGCTAGCACTATAAAATCATCAATACACTGGACTATAATTGTGGCACTTTTTGGCCGCTAACATTATATTTTGATACAGACTAAAGTTAAAAACGAGATACCTCCCGAAGGCATTGATATTTTAATGGGAAACTTTCACAAGTAATTTCATGAAGTGACATTTCTTTTTCAGTTCAGTATAAAATAATGATTTCTGTCATTTACGTGACATCTGTGATATGTGTTTTTTTTAACGAAGTTGACTGCAGTTGTAATATTTAAGTTCAGCTGTGAAAATCGAAAACAACCCATTTGATATATCCATTTAGATATTGTAGGAATTAATTGTAGGAGTGCTTTTAATATATGAAATCTGCTTCACTAAGCAAATTTAAACTTTACTAGGATCAGGTACATCTGTCATTTTAATTTAGTAAATATAAAGCATATTTAAAAAACTATCTCGATCTAAACCTGTGGAGAAAGTTTTTCCCTTGACCGTAAAAATGACAAAATAGTATCGGGGCCCCATTTTGCCCCGAAACTGCATTTCCAAAAATACATATTAAGTTTTGTTTTAAAATTATAGTGATTTTAGAACTGATTCGAACCTGTGTTTTATGTTTTACGACTTGAAATAGGTCAATAGTATTACAAAATGGTTTTATGATGATGGTTTCTGTTTTATCTAGTCCAACTTAAGCCTAATTGATTGAGACTTTGTCAGTCTTATCTCGCGAGCAGACATCATGTCCAATACAGAGTAAAAAAGTTTCAAATCCAAGATCAAATGAACATTTTATCAGTTTCTCAGAGGGCACAAAAAGAAGCTCAAAGACAAGGGACTCGTGAAGATCTGGGGTAGAATACGTCTTCAGCAACACGTACTGTCATAGGCGACAATGCTTGTAATAGGCGACTAACGGGATCAGGTGGTCAGACTCGTGACTTGGGTGATGCATGTCATCGTTTCCCAATTGCGTGGATCGATGCTCATGGTGTCAATTACTGGATTGTCTGGTCCTGACTCCATTATTTACAGACCACTGTCATATAGCTGGAAAGTTGCTGAGCACGCGTTAAACAACAAACAAACAAACAATCAAATTGAAGACAAGGGGAAGCTTGGTCAGAGTCCGACGTCTACTGACCAGCCCCGAATTGAAACGCGTTAGCTCGAATGTGTAATCGTCCAAGAGATAGCATGGAATTTATTTTCCTTAGAGGAACAAAACGATTGAAAGCTGGTCAAGACTCGATTATTTACAGACCACCGTCGTGTAGCTGGAATATTGCTGAGTGCGGCGTTAAAGAACAAACAAACAAAAACCACAAAACCTTGTTCCTAAAATATGGACTTTTCATTTTCTCAGTAATTTTATTTTACACGCCCAGCATTTTTAAAACAATTATGTTCATTTTCAAAGTCTTCAAATGATAATTCATAAAGAGAGTTTTATTCAAGTGATTTATTATTTGTTAAGGGGGATAACATATTGCCACTAACAATGGTGAGGTATGTTAAATCCTAAATCGTTACATTTCCACCCGCAAACTGACAATGATGAGCAACGCAAGTGTTGCTAAAACCACTTATTAAAGTAAAGGGCTGTGCTCCATGTGACTTCCTCCCTACCAAGTGTGTACTGCTACAAATACACCACCCGGTTTACCACGTGCCGTCCATCTGGAAGAAAGTTCATGTTGCAGGACCTGCATTGTGATCACAAAAGGAACAAGGTTTGAAAGTGTAAAATGGTTCATATTCAGTCATCTAGTACAGTGATGACCAAATGCCTCCCTCACACAAGGGAAAATTCCAATATATTCAAAATACACACTTTCGTATATTTCATATATCCAAAAATATACAATTTTATATATTTGGTATATCAAAGGATATCCAAGGTTCGTAAATATAAGTCTGGAAGGTAATTTAAGGTACCGACGTTTACTACAATATCTGAAAAACTATTGGACCTACTCCAGTCAAAGCTGTTATGAGATTATTAAACAGTCATACATAACTGGATTACATTTAAAGACAATCTGTCTATTTAGCTATCACTATATTTCATCAACAACCAGACCTGTTCGTCACGGGTGGAACGAGCATTCATTGAAACAGACATCTGCATAATGCTACTTCTGCGTCACAGGGCCATATGATACAGTTGAACCAATCAACTCAACTCGAAAGGGTGCATGGGAATCACGCACGTTGAGACGCCCAACGCTAACACCGTATTCGTGCGTGCGTGATTACACAACCATCACATCTTTCTTTTCGCGTTTTCCTAGTATCTTTATGAATTTACACCATTGTCGGATGCCAGGCTTCAACTGCTTTTCCAGTTTTCAGTGGTACTTCAATTAATAGCAAATGACCGCATCCACAACAAAGAAACAATTTAAAACCCCTTTCTTATTTTCTGCCTTTCTGTATATTTTTAATTGTCTTTTCTGTTACCTAATGTATCATTTATCAAGTTACAAGGTTCAAATGCAACATGACTATAAACATTTTGAATAAACTTTGGCTGTTTTAAGAACCATGTGAATTATTCTTCATGTGGTGTTTAATGTTACTTCAAAAGTATTCTTTCTTTTATATACCCTTTGACCATCAGCTTGTTTCATAAGTAACCCTTTACCAAACACAAATCAAAACAGAAAATTTTCATATATTTTTGTAAGTCTCTCTGCTTATATAATTCATCAGTTTCAATTTTCCTTTCAATACTGCTCCTCTGCCGTGGATATGTTCATCTTAACCCCGGACCCTTAATGGGCACAGATTCAAATACTATTCATCTAAACGTTCGTAGTATTAAAGACAAACTAGATATCCTTGAAGTTGAACTTAGACATTATGATGTAATTTGCATATCTGAAACATGGTTACACACGTGTATACACGACAGCGACATAATTATTCCTTGTTTCCAGGTTCCATTTTGGAATGACAAGTCAACTCTAGGCCGTGGCGTAGTTATTTACGTTAGAGGTGAGGTGAGGTGAAATTGGGTTTAACGTCGCGTCCAAGATTATTGCACTTATATAGCGACGTGCATTTACGTTAGAGATAATATGTATGTCAAATATATGGATCAGCTTCTTAAAGTTGGTCGAGAGGCGATATGGGTACGTGTTAGTGCAAAATTCATGATTATTTAATTGGTAATGTTTATAAGAGTGAAGCGTATTGGGAACTTATTGATCAATCAATAGGAAACACAGTTGATATGAATATGTACACTGTAATTGCAGGACATTTTAATATAGATATACTTCGAGAGAAATAATCCATAAATCCATATTTTCAAATGGTGTATGGACTTTCAAAAATTATTAGAGAACCTACGAGGATCACATTCCTTTTTTTTTTTTTGCTGAGTATAGTTACCAATAACGTATTGCTTATACAAAATCAGTAAACATAATGTTATCTTGCTTGCTCTGTTGTTTAACGCCGCACTCAGCAATATTCCAGCTATATCGCGGCGGTCTGTAAATAATCAAGTCTGGACCAGACAATCCAGTGATTGACATCATGAGCATCGATCAACACAATTGGGATCGATGACATGCATCAACCAAGTCAGCGAGTCTGACCACCCGATCCGTTAGTCGCCTTTTACGACAAGCAGAGTCACCTTTTACGGCCATAATGTTATCAGATTTTGCAGTTATCAAGTGTAAAATGTGCTGCCATCTTATTATTTGAAACCTCTGGTGAGAACTGTCAGTTCCAAATAAAAATCCCCACAAATCTAAAACACACATAATGTTTATGTCAAAAGTGAATACATGACTACAGTTATGAAAACTAGTTTTTTTATTCTCAAAGAAAATGGCAGCATATACAGTGATGTAACATGTCAACAATCAACAGAAAACAAAACATCAGGAACTTCTGAATACTTTGCCACATTTCTTGTAATGAGAAGGGCAATTATTTGAAGCATCACACTTTCACTATATGGAGTAAGCTTTAACAAAACCATTGCACCTGGACAAATACAGGACCTAACTGGAGCTAGGTTACAGATGGTTTTTGTGGTTCAATATCTGTCAATTTGACAGCCAATTATTTCAAAGCTATGGAAAATGTACTCAGAATCTACAGTTGTAACCGATGACCTGATCTTAGTACTATGATGGTTTTGTTCAATGAGGCCCCACAAGAACAGAACAAAACATTGAGGACTTTTTTTTTTATAATTACTCAGTTTACAGACTTACTTTCTCAAGAAAACTAGTGGTCAGGGGTTGAGTTCGTTTGTATTTTTGATAAGTTGCTAGCTACACCGTTTGGAATGTTTGTCTTCTCCTGGATTTTGCGCTACAAGGATAAATAATATTGTTTGTATATTTGTTTGTTTTTCAACACAGCCCTCATTAATATTCAAGCTATATGACGACAGTCTGAAATAATCAAATATAGATTAATTCAAGTGATTCAAATTATGAGCAACGATCTACACCATTGTGTAAAATGACATGCAATCTACCTAGTCACTGACCCTGACCACATGATCCATTAGGATTAATTAAACAAAAACATCTACAGATCACTACCATCATTTAAAGAATCTGGTTTTTTAATTAGCACTGTTCAGGCTTATAATTCTATTTGACTGAGTATTGCTCTACATATCTACACTGCGATTAGGAGATAGTCCTTTTGTGTTCTTTAGGTATATTGTTGGACGTCAGAAATAATATATAATTTAAAACTGAACATGTATGCTGGAGATTTGAAATTATCATCAAGAAATATTAAATCTATTCTTCCTAAATAATTCTCTAGTCAGATCATTGGTTAATACAGCAGTTACCATGTTTACACACAACACCACTTCTCATGTCCTGTTCTTGTATTTGTAACAGTGAGTGAGTGAGTGAGTGAGTTTAGATCACAGGTACATAGTGATAACAAGCGTTGGATTAGATTCAGCCAACATCTGGCACTTTAACCCACGATTATAGTATTTCGGCACTGAGGGCCGGCCACAATTTGAAGTGGGAATTGCAGCGCCCCAGACACCTTGTATTTGCAACAAAGATACACACATCAAGTTGACACAAAAGTTGGTGAACATCTGACCAATCGTGTGATGGGATTTGTCAGCTTTCCAACTTAAAAAACAGTGTAAAAATATTTCATTAAAGACTATCACAGGTACCCTTGGGATGCCCCGACGAGAACATTTGATTTTAAATGCTTATAAAAAAGGTACACATTATATTATGGCCACAGCAATATACACTGGATACAGATCACATACAATACCCCTGAAATAAGATCAAAGCTGGTATATAATAAATATAGATGTTACATAAACATCAGTATCTGTCCCATCTCTTCATCCAAGACAACTTGGATGACAGAACTCTACACAGAGAGACCAACACGGGTCTTTTGGGTCATGTGTTGCGATGAGAGCTACCTACTTTACTCTTCACATGGAACGAGTTGTCAGTATCTGAACATCGTGTAACATCACAGGGCTCGATTTAAGGAACTTGATCTAACTTCTACCATGTGGATTTTGACATGAAAACCTAGTTGCACCAGACAAACCAGGTTGCACCAAACAAAACCTAGTTGCACCAACCAAACCAGGTTGCACCCCCGTCCCATAACTTTATCAAAGTTGAAACATAGGCTGGTCTGCTGCCCGTGTCACATAAATTATTGACACGTTGCTGTAAAATATAATAGGAACGTGTGCACATAACCTTGAAGTAACCACACATTGATGACATCACGCCTAAGAAAGCAGGACAAATTTCACGTAACACAGGGATTAGTGTTGTAGCATTGTAAATAAACTTTAAAAGTATTGCGTGTGTTCAAAGATGGATTTTGTGTAAAGGTAGAACTTGAATTGGCGACTTAGTGGAGATAAATAATCTTAAACAATGATTCAACATGAAGGCAAACACATGCAAATGTGTTTGGTCAGAACAACATAAGTTGTTTCCATCATGTGAGGAGTTCAAAAGTTTTGTCAGGTGAACAACGTTTTGAAACATAACCCTACACAGACACCTTAAACTTCACCTATCACACAGTGATGCTATTCATTTTTCAGAGTAAAAATATTAAGATTACAGCAGACTTTTACTAAAAAGATGATCTAGTTGGACGGAAAACTTCCAGACCTGTTAACTCCCCTACCCTTAAAATTAAGCAATTAAGATTTTTGTTTATATAAGATATTGAAGTTTTGCATGGTTTCACAACACCCGAGGAAGACGGTCCTGGGTGGGTGGTCCTGCCGCTTAGTGTTGTCTGGGTCTCCATATACCAACTGAAATGTCACAACCAGCACTAGCAAGAACACCATTCTGGTAGGAAATCTGAAACAAGCAAGAACTCAAAATATAAACCTGTACCATAATGTCACAAGTCATCACGGACACAGCATACCTGTATAGAAACTTTTATAAACGATGCTTCAGCCTTGTCAGAGTCTAGCAAGAGTTACATCCCTTAGTAACTAAAAAACACTCAATGGTTGTTTACAAATAACATGCTACTAATATTAACATATTGCATGTCAATATGCTACATGTATGTGTCTGTGTAAATACAATTCCAAAATTTCTTTTCTCATTTTTTTTATGTGGTTGTCCTGAAGCGAGTGAGTGAGTTTGGTTTAACTAACTCCGCTTTAAACAGTATTCCAGTTGTATCGCGGCGTGTCAGATTTATGTGGGAGAAAAGCCCGAAGTAATGGAGGTCTCGGACGTTTACCAGTTCGGTGAAACCCACAAGCACGGATATGGTCTGAACTATTAGAGATAGCTCATGTATGGCATCATGGTCAGGACCAGGACCAGGACCAGGTACTCGGATCCCATTGCTGCCAAGAATCCCCATGGAGGGAAGCGGTCTACTCTGAATAAGAATCCTCATGAAAAGAAAAGGATTGCCATTTGCAATAATTTCCAATTTAACATTCTGGCGTGTTGCCCAAGCTGTTTCTGCAGCAATGCATGATATTTGCACTTGAATTTGAAACCACACTCCCTGGTACAACACATGGCTTCCTACAGCGCAAAGAAAGAGATGCAATGCCTCACTCTAGAATGAACACATGGCTTCCTACAGAGCAATTGAAAGAGATCCAATGCCTCACTCTAGAATGAACACATGGCCTGATTCTCCAAAACCTTGGTTGAAAGATGTGAGAAGTCAGACTCCTACCCCTGTTACTCCATCAAGATGACTGGTGAGGGTCGCTATGACTCCGGGGTTGCGACTGGGTTCCAGCACTTTGATTGTGTGGTCCGTGGAGCTTGTGTAAACCGCGCCGAGGGTGTGGACGACCCCGGTCAGCTTCCCCTTGTGTCCCACATCATATTTCTGGAACCAACACAGTAACTTATACTCTACAGTGCTCAACATGGAACCAACACACTATACTTGTACTCTACAGTGTTCAACATGGAACCAACACAATATACATGTACTCTACAGTGCTCAACATGGAACCAACACAATATACTTGTACTCTACAGTGCTCAACATGGAACCAACACACTATACTTGTACTCTACAGTGCTCAACATGGAACCAACACAATATACTTGTACTCTACAGTGCTCAACAAGGAACCAACACACTATACTTGTACTCTACAGTGCTCAACATGGAACCAACACACTATACTTGTACTCTACAGTGCTCAACATGGAACCAACACAATATACTTGTACTCTACAGTGCTCAACAAGGAACCAACACACTATACTTGTACTCTACAGTGCTCAACATGGAACCAACACACTATACTTGTACTCTACAGTGCTCAACATGGGACCAACACACTATACTTGTACTCTACAGTGCTCAACATGGAACCAACACAATATACTTGTACTCTACAGTGCTCAACATGGAACCAACACAATATACTTGTACTCTACAGTGCTCAACATGGGACCAACACAATATACTTGTACTCTACAGTGCTCAACATGGAACCAACACAATATACATGTACTCTACAGTGCTCAACAAGGAACCAACACACTATACTTGTACTCTACAGTGCTCAACATGGAACCAACACAATATACTTGTACTCTACAGTGCTCAACATGGAACCAACACACTATACTTGTACTCTACAGTGCTCAACATGGAACCAACACACTATACTTGTACTCTACAGTGCTCAACATGGAACCAACACACTATACTTGTACTCTATAGTGCTCAACATGGAACCAACACAATATACTTGTACTCTACAGTGCTCAACATGGAACCAATACACTTTACTTGTACTCAACAGTGCTCAACATGTAACCAACACAATATACTTGTACATGATTGTTTTTCAACAAGGAACGAACACAATACAGTTGTATACAAGAGTGTTCAACAAGGAACGGACACACTATACTTGTCCTCTACAGTGCTCAACAAGGAACAAACAGACATTACAATACAGCAGTCAATCTTGGGTCAGCAACTTGTAAAATGAAATCCTAAATCATACATAACAGTCCATACCAATGCTATGCTATCTGTTTGACCACCTCTTCAGTTTAATTTATTACTAAGGAGGTTGTAGCTACAATTAATGCAGAAAGCCCTTCACCATTACATGATATACATGACCACCTATTGTTTCAAAAAGTTTAATTATCTGCAAATCTGATATCATATGCTAATACTGCACTTTGACAAGTACCGTATTAGAAAGTATATTATCCTACAAACCCAACAGCCCTACACATGTCCATGCCAAATGAAACAAAATAATATTGCAACACACATAAAAATAATTAGTTAGATAACCCCTATAAACTGTTTTGCAAATATCCATTAGCCATAAAACTAAAAAACATTACCTCAGAATAACATGAATATAAGACAAAGAAAACAACCACCCCCATGTTCGCTATTGTCCAAATCAGAAAACAATCGCTCATGATAACAATGCTTGCTGTACTGTTTCAGCCCAGGAGTGTGAGTGAGATGGGATTAACGCCGCTTTTAACAGTATTCCAGTTATATCACGGGTTGTCAGCTTAATGTGGGAGGAAAGCCCGAAGTGATGCAGGTCTCAGACGTTTACCATTTCAGTGAAACCCCTGAGCACGGTTATGGTGCTGACAAACCTAGAAACATAATAGGGGCGAACCGGGATTCGAACCCACAATCATAGGTTTCTGGCATGCCCAAGGGACGCAACTCTGCACAGTGAATCGCGGCGCCTGACGACTGAACCACCAGTGCCCCCTCACAGGTTCTCAAGCTCAGTCACATTACAGCTTCATCAACAGGTTATCAAGCTCAGCCAGTAAAATTACAGTTTCAACAGGTTATCAAGCTAAGAAAAATTACAATTTTATCAGGTTATCAAGCTAAGAAAAATTACAGTTTTATCAACAGGTTATCAAGCTCAGTCAAATTACAGCTTCTGGGCCACCCGTGCCTCCTCTCAGCCCAGGAAGTTTTGTGTTTACCTCAACAAGATCAAAAGCACCATTTGCAGTATCCATGAGATGTAGAAATCCTTGCTTGTCTCCGTACCACAGTTGGTTGTTGCCATAGCTCATGTCAAGAGGGTAGGTGTCCAGCTGAAAGGAGAGGAAGTTGTCTCCCTTAATGAATACACAAGCTCCTTACAGAGAAGTCCCATTCCCTGACTTATACTATCCCTGCCACTGGACACAACTCTCCACAGTGCTAGGTGGCCTACAACCATGAACGGAGTGACGGGTAACGGACTGATAGTTATGTTAACAAGCAAGGAATGACTGTCATGACAGTTTCATTTGTCAGTCAACTCCAATGGGTCAACTTAGCAGCCAAACATTTCATAACAGCTGTAAATGGAAGCTGTTAGGGTTGATTAACTACCAATTCCATGTTGACTACAATGGCCAGTGAGTAAAAATAATCTTATTGATGGCACACTTAAATTTCAAAGGACATGCCAAAACACCCCAAGGGCCTGAATCACAGTTGACAAAAAACATTTCAATCCCAGTGAATAAGGATTACATGTTCAAATTCAGACACAGCTGGACATTGTACCTCTAGTCTCTTGTAATTCTTATCTGCTCTCCGGTCATAAATGCAGATTGTTTTGTCTTCACTTCCTGTGATGATGAACTGGTCGTCCACAGCAACACACAACACCGGTTTTCTGTGATATGTTTTCTTGGTGATGGTGCCACTACGACGGTCAATCAGGTGCAGATTCTTGTCGTAGCCCGCCGCAATGATAAGATCGTGTTCTAGGTGCAGATCAAGAACTGCTGTTTTGCATCTGATGATGGAGAGAATATTTGAAAAAATCTATGTCATAGCAACCACTTTGGTGAAACCCAAGAGCATTGGTATGGTGCTGACAAAACTAGAAATATAATCAGATTGAATCGGAGGGATGCAACTATGCAAAACAAAAATTTAAGACAAGAAAACAAATGATGCATAGGGCAAATTACTCCATGCAGCTGTTTTGATGTTTATTGAAGTGTTCCCATAGGATGCTGTGTTGACGTTAAGCCAAAAACATAGTGCATATAGTCTTCATCACAGAAAGCCAACTTCATGAAAGCAGCCAAACGCGAAACATGTATTGTACTTATTCAGGGTTCAAACAGATCTTTGGACTCTAAATTCAATCACTTTTTAATTATTTTTCAAGGACTCTTTTCTCGTTTAACACTGCCCAGCAGAGCTTGATGTAACATCATAAGGAACTTGATTAGCTTGCACCACCAGGTGTCCATTGACAAGAAAACCAAGTGTCACCAAACAAACCAGGCTGCACCCTCATCCCTAAAATTGATCAAAGTTGAAACATAGGCTGGTCTGCTGCCAGTGTCACATAAGTTAACAACACATTGCTGTAAAATGTAACAGGAACGTGTGCACATAACCTTGAAGTACACACAGTTTGATGACGGCAAGACCAAGAAAGCAGGACAAATTACACGTATCAGGGATTAGTGATATAGTATGGTAAGTAAACTTTAGGGGTACTGAGTGTGTTCAAAAATCAATTTGTGTCGGCAAGAGGGTGGGGTCAATCTGACTCTCCTACCCAGAGTTACATGCTAAGTCATCACTGCACCTGAGTGTGGGTCAATCTGACTCTCCTACCCAGAGTTACATGCTAAGTCATCACTGCAACTGAGGGTGGGTCAATCTGACTCTCCTACCCAGAGTTACATGCTAAGTCATCACTGCACCTGAGTGTGGGTCAATCTGACTCTCCTACCCAGAGTTACATGCTAAGTCATCACTGCAACTGAGGGTGGGGTCAATCTGACTCTCCTACCCAGAGTTACATGCTAAGTCATCACTGCAACTGAGGGTGGGTCAATCTGACTCTCCTACCCAGAGTTACATGCTAAGTCATCACTGCAACTGAGGGTGGGTCAATCTGACTCTCCTACCGAGAGTTACATGCTAAGTCATCACTGCACCTGAGGGTGGGTCGATCTGACTCTCCTACCCAGAGTTAACATGCTAAGTCATCACTCCACCTGAGGGTGGGTCAATCTGACTCTCCTACCCAGAGTTACATGCTAAGTCATCACTGCACCTGAGGGTGGGGTCAATCTGACTCTCCTACCCAGAGTTACATGCTAAGTCATCACTGCACCTGAGTGTGGGTCAATCTGACTCTCCTACCCAGAGTTACATGCGAAGTCATCACTGCACCTGAGGGTGGGGTCAATCTGACTCTCCTACCCAGAGTTACATGCTAAGTCATCACTGCACCTGAGTGTCGGTCGATCTGACTCTCCTACCCAGAGTTACATGCTAAGTCATCACTGCACCTGAGTGTGGATCAATCTGACTCACCTACCCAGAGTTACATGCTAAGTCATCACTGCACCTGAGTGTGGGTCGATCTGACTCTCCCACCAAGAGTTACATGCTAAGTCATCACTGCACCTGAGTGTGGGTCAATCTGACTCTCCTACCCAGAGTTACATGCTAAGTCATCACTGCACCTGAGGGTGGGTCTATCTGACTCTCCTACCAAGAGTTACATGCTAAGTCATCACTGCACCTGAGGGTGGGGTCGATCTGACTCTCCTACCCTGAGTTACATGCTAAGTCATCACCGCACCTGAGTGTGGGTCAATCTGACTCTCCTACCCTGAGTTACATGCTAAGTCATCACTGCACCTGAGGGTGGGGTCAATCTGACTCTCCTACACTGAGTTACATGCGAAGTCATCACTGCACCTGAGTGTGGGTCGATCTGACTCTCCTACCAGAGTTACATGCTAAGTCATCACTGCACCTGAGTGTGGGGTCGATCTGACTCACCTACCCAGAGTTACATGCTAAGTCATCACTGCACCTGAGGGTGGGGTCAATCTGACTCTCCTACCCAGAGTTACATGCGAAGTCATCACTGCACCTGAGGGTGGGGTCAATCTGACTCTCCTACCCAGAGTTACATGCTAAGTCATCACTGCACCTGAGTGTCGGTCGATCTGACTGTCCTACCCAGAGTTACATGCTAAGTCATCACTGCACCTGAGTGTGGATCGATCTGACTCTCCTACCCAGAGTTACATGCTAAGTCATCACTGCACCTGAGTGTGGGTCGATCTGACTCTCCCACCAAGAGTTACATGCTAAGTCATCACTGCACCTGAGTGTGGGTCAATCTGACTCTCCTACCCAGAGTTACATGCTAAGTCATCACTGCACCTGAGGGTGGGTCTATCTGACTCTCCTACCAAGAGTTACATGCTAAGTCATCACTGCACCTGAGGGTGGGGTCGATCTGACTCTCCTACCCTGAGTTACATGCTAAGTCATCACCGCACCTGAGTGTGGGTCAATCTGACTCTCCTACCCTGAGTTACATGCTAAGTCATCAATGCACCTGAGTGTGGGGTCGATCTGACTCTCCTACCCAGAGTTACATGCTAAGTCATCACTGCACCTGAGTGTGGGTCGATCTGACTCTCTTACCCAGAGTTACATGCTAAGTCATCACTGCACCTGAGTGTGGGTCGATCTGACTCTCCTACCCAGAGTTACATGCTAAGTCATCACTGCACCTGAGTGTGGGGTCAATCTGACATTCATAACCACATTTTGATTTCATTGAGAACAAGTTTCAGTACAGACTGGTGCCCAGATCCTCTGCTTGGTCTGTCGCAGGTAGAAATGGGAACAAGTCTAGAGTTTCAAGGAACTAAATTCTCATTATTATCTGGTATTACAATCGTGTCAGATTCAGGCTTACTTGAACACATCGGCTGGCGCTACCCCGGCCTGCAGGTCCCACAGTCGGATGAAGGTATCCCAGGATCCTGTGGCCAGGATGTTGTCCTGCGAATCCATGGACCAGATCCATCCCTGTGCACAACATCCAACAGTTGTTTACTTCATTCAATCTAACCAATCGGATTACAGACTGGGTCAATATGCAGAACATTCTGAAATGTTGGCAGGATTGATATAGGGGAGGTCAACTAAAATGGAGGTTCCTAAAATACCATCAAGAATGAAGGATTGGACCGTTTAATCAATGTTTGTGTCTTTATTTGTGATGTTGCAAATTTCCAGCTAAATTAAAATGTCTTGGTCAGAGAGACCAGTAGTTGACACCATGACCAACGTCAGGTTCCACTGTTTTGTTCATTTGTTTAAAACCGCACTCCGCAATATTCCATCTGAAGATCTGGTGCATCATACCACCTTGGGTCAAGGGTCAAGGGTCAAGTTCAGGCAAGGGAGGATTAACCTGTGTATCAATGTCGCATCTGACACGAACGAAAATGTGTGACATTTGAATACTTTGGTATTCAATGAGTTCAGATAAACAGTGGAAGTATTTTCCAATGAGGATTACTCTATCATGTCTAGCTTCAAGATTCATAAACATCAGTGCTCAAGAAGCGCACCCAATATGGTCAGGGGTTTATATGAGCATTTTGAGGTGTTTCAGTCCCACAGATAAGTCAGGTTAATGATAATATTTTGCAATGGCAACTTGCATTTAACTGGTGATAAAAATAAAACTGAGATAGAGTCTTTTGTACCTAAATGAAATGCATTACAAAGAGTTTTGTAAAAAATCCCAAATATGTACACGCCTAGAAAACCTTCATAAGTCCCTCCTGCAGAACTGTTATCCACATCATCTGTTATGTGACAATAAATATATTGTTAGTTAGTGACTGATTGGAAGTGGCAGCAATTTGATGGAGGCACTTGAAAAAATATCATCTTCTGGTAATGACTTTGATCTCTCATAATTTAGAGTTACCTCCCTTAGTTGTGTAGAGTCCATACTCTGTCGCAGCGCTTGCTACCTTTGTTTTCCTCCCAGTATATAGAGAGCTCCTCTGTGAGGCGCTTGTTTACAGGCTTGCTAACAGCCATCATGTTTTAATATATGGTTTGACTAAAGATGTTCTAAGAAGGCTGAATGCGAACTTGACATGTGACCAAGCTGCTTGCCCAGTGCCGACCAGAAACCTCACGCACACATGAATGTTCTACGCCCATTGTTACCTTGTGGACCTTGTTGTCACTGAAAATTTCCATGTCCTTCTTGGAGTCTTCCTTTGTGGAGTCATACTTGGCAAGGTCAAGGATGGTCAAGTAGCGATCTCGTGATCCAGCAGCCAGAATCTGTCCATCCTATGAATATGATGAAGTAAAGACACCATAAGAGTGAGTGAGTGAGTGAGTTGGGTTTAACGCCGCTTTTAACAGTATTCCAGTTATATCGCGGCGTGTCAGCTTAATGTGGGAGGAAAGCCCGAAGTGATGCAGGTCTAAGACGTTTACCACTTCGGTGAAACCCACGAGCACGGGTATGGTGCTGACAAACCTAGAAACATAATCGGGGCGAACCGGGATTCGAACCCACAATCATAGGTTTCTGGCGTGCCCAAGGGACGCAACTCTGCACAGCGAATGGCGGCGCCTTAGACGACTGGGCCACCCGTGCCCCCTGACACCATAAGAAGGCTCATCTATGTACTTACCCTCTTCTTTGATATTCAATAGGTCCACTTGGCACAAGCATCTGAGACTAACGACATGTGGCGCTCATCACTGAATCTTACTGATATCATATCGGTGCACGTTGAGAAACCGTAAGCCTGTTAGAGTTGCGTATTTCAATGTTAGAGTAAAACCAATCAACCACTGACAAACTAAACATTGGGTATATGAATGACAAGAATAGAAATTTCAGTTATATGTGTCAAGCAAACTACATTTTGATAAATTGTAATGTATTAAACATCCATACTCCCATGAGGATCCGAGATGGAAAAGGTCTTCAGCAACCTAAGCTTGCCGTAAAAGGCGACCTTGCTTGTCGTAGGCGACTAACATGATCAGGTGATCAGGCTGGCTGACTTGGTTGATGCGTATCATTGTATCAATTGCATGGATTGATGCTTATGATCTAAATAACTGGATTTTCTGGTCAAGACTTGATTATTATTAGACTGCCGTAATATAGCTGGAATATTGCTGAGTGAGGCGCTAAACAACAAACAAACTTTTTGAGATTGCCCAGGATTTGAACTGTAAATTATTTGCAACCATTCTGAATTTACATTTGTATAAATAGGATGCAATAGTTTTCCAGTAACGAGTTAGCTCACCTTCATCAGGTGGACAGTATCAACAGCAGCAAACATATAGTCATTATAGGTGAAATGTTCCAGGTGAGCTTCCTGATTCGTCCATGCGGCATGAGTTTCCTCCCTTTCTGCACAGGCCTCTTGCCAGTCCAAGTTGTCAACTGATGGACAGCAAATATTGCATCAAACTGATGAATTGCTGTCAAAAAGCCATTTAAGTGTTATTTCTGCAATATCTTAACCTCTTGTGCATACAAAATGGAAGCATCAGAAGTAACGATGAAAACAAATAGAATCACAAGTACAAGAACATCATCATGCTGACAAACTTATGTATTCAAAATTATCAAAATGATTAGGAAACATCATGTTTGTTTGTCAATCATAATCATTCCTCATTCATTATTTATCATCATCAAGGGATTCTATATCAGAGCTACAGATAAGCTGCGTATTTGCGTAAAATACTCCCCAAAATATTAGAAACCCAATTACTTTCAATTAACTTGGGTACAGAGTACAAGCCTATAGTTAGAACGCTTAGATACATCTAAAACATTATTTTTTTAAATCTTAAAATGTTTACTCATTTTGGGAAAAAACCAATAGAGTGATGAATGGATGAGTGAAAAAATATTGGTCACCCAATGAAAAATGTAATAACTCATTTGAAAATTCATAAATAGGAATTTGTTTATAAATGCATCTTCTTAATTTCTACCATACACAGTATCTTAATTCTTCATAATTGAGGGTTTGTTGCTGGTTTAGACTTGGCTCATGGAAATACACCCTAGACTTCAACTTTGTTCATAAATATTCTCATGGCCTAAAGTTATGAAAGGTATATGAAATAGTAAGCTTCCTGTTTATTTAGTGCAGTTAAGGCATTATTTCTGTACATTTTATTGGACTATTATGCACTTAGTGCAATGTCCAGGTTTGTGTTGTACACCTTATTGTTAAATGTTCATGCCTTTGTAAAGTAAACAAGCCCAACCTAGTATAATACTGCTGTATTATGAAGTTAATGTGTAAATTTAGGAAATTCAAAAGCCATATACTCAATGAAATCCTTTCTATTTGTTACAGTTAATCTAATGTTTGTACATGATAGTTGAGACACAAGAGTAAGAAAGAATAAAGAATCAAGAATCAAGATTGTTTGGAACTTCATGTTGTAATCAACACCAATAAAAACAGAAACCTTCGAGTAAAAACTCAAATGCTCAACAAGTTATCTGGAGCTCTGTATATTCAGCACTAATATCAGGCATTGTATTATCTAGTCCTGACAGTTCCACATTTCTTATTTGATTTCTAAAAAACAATGTTTGTCAACTAACAAATAGCCATTGACAATCCTGGCAATGTTTGCAATACCTGGTCACCGACAGTGAACAAGTTCTGGTATACAAGTAAATGCTAAACTTAAATGAAGGTGACAGCACAGTTCTTTCCTATTAATAATGCCTGCAACAAACCATTGTCATTGCCAACGCTTTTGAGTCTATTTGACTAAGCTTAATTCTTGGCATCATTTTCAGTACATTTTCATCAGCTGTACCAACTCACATTACTCACATTACAAGACCGAATACAATGTTACTGACTCAAGCAACTCACATTACTCACATTACAAGACCGAATACAATGTTACTGACTCAAGCAACTCACATTACTCACATTACAAGACCGAATACAATGTTACTGACTCAAGCAACTCACATTACTCACATTACAAGACCGAATACAATGTTACTGACTCAAGCAACTCACATTACTCACATTACAAGACCGAATACAATGTTACTGACTCAAGCAACTCACATTACTCACATTACAAGACCGAATACAATGTTACTGACTCAAGCAACTCACATTACAAGACCGAATACAATGTTACTGACTCAAGCTTTGGACTATTTGCCAAAGTTGCAGACTAAACAAATTGATTGTGAGAAATGATATGCCGGATCTACCTGGAACGGCAGGGTACTTCTTTGGCCATCGTCGACTGACTCTTGTTTTGAAATAGGTGTCTCCTGACAACAGTTCTTCAAAGACTCTGCACACGCGCTGCAACTTGTGAATGACCCGAGCATCGAGGAAATCACATATCCTGATGAGCAGCTCCGGAGGCAGCTGATCCAGGGTCAGGTTGAGGCCACCATCATCAGCATCTGTAGCTGCCATTGATGTTTCCTCATCGACTACACCATACATTGGCACTGTATGGAAGACAATAAGTGAGAGAAGGATGCTTTACCACAGTCAGCAATATACCAGCTGTATAATGGCCGTCTGTGAATTGTCAAGTCTGGTCCATATATACAAATGGTTGATAATATAGAATGCAAAGAAGCAAGTCTTTCAGCTGCCTCATATGAAAGCAAAAGTCTGGTGGGTGAGTGAGTGAGTTTAACGCCACTTTTAACAGTATTCCAGTTATATCGGGGCGTGTCACCTTAATGTGGGAGGAAAGCCTAAAGTGACGCAGGTCTCAGATGTTTACCACTTTGGTGAAACCCACGAGCACGGGTATGGTGCTGACAAACCTAGAAACATAATCGGGGCGAACCCAAGATTTGAACTCACAATCATAGGTTTCTGGCGCGACCAAGGGACGCAACTCTGCACTGCGAATCGCGGCGCCTTAGACGACTGGGCCACCCGTGCCCCCGATAAACAAAAGAACTACAGTAAGCACTTCTTCTTTTATTATGAACATAATTCATTTTGGCCACATAGCCTTGTTTGTGAATCTGACTCAAAGACTCCTTTGCATGCAGCTTCCCAATAAGGATGTCATAGGCACACGTATACATGTAGTCATGACGATGGAAGAATATAATGCATACAGAACTGTGTGTAATAAAGATGCAGCCTCAAGCTATACAGCTTTAAAACTGAAAGCCCAATGCCTCGAGGTACCTTCATCATGTTCATAAAAATGCCTCATTCCTTTAGGCAGTGTTTAAAATACCTGCAGCCCAAGACAGTCTATTTTGCAATCTCATTAAAATCAGATCTTAGTTCTCACTACCACGAAGATCTGAGGACATTCCATTACATGTCATGTCAGAACAACCTTTCATGAACTTTGACCAACATTATCCAATCCGAAAGCAGCTTTTTCAAGCTTTATGGCACTAGTTTCAGTCAGGGTATATTGTTTCGGGTATTGTGGTTAGATTGGCATATTATATGCTGATCTGTGTTTATCCCTCCCACCTGATGAATACCTCACAGGAACTTTTTCTACTTGAGTTTTCAGTTCAAAATGAAAGGGAAAAATAAAAATAATGTTATATTTCATGTCTTTGGTCTTGGTCAGGCACGCTCTCTTGTACTAATGCAGATTTCATAGTGCTAGCCCACTGAGCATGCTGAGAAATAGAAATACATGTAGGAAAAATGTATTATACATAATGGTAAATATGGCAAACTTTACAAATGATGTTCACTGTGACCTTTGCAAATACTTAGATCAGAGACCATATATCGGTATATGGTCTCTGCTTAGATGATGGCTTCTTGTTAAGAGAAAGTTGTCTTTTAAAAGTGAATGAGATGTTTTACGGTTGTTCATAAAAGTTACTTTCAAGTATTTTCACAATTTTAGTAGATCTATTTTCAGAGTAATACATCTTTGGCTAAAATCAAGGTTGTTTTTTTCGGGGGTGAGCAAGGCAAACCGGGCAGACTAAAAAAAAAACAGAATTCAAAATACATGCACCCGCCAAAGTGTAGAAAATGTAAATTCCAAAATTCTGGGCAACAAGCCAACTTATTCTGGTGTTTTTCTTACCATTTATTGACGAGCAGCAATTCATTTCCTCAAACAGTTACTATTTTCTGTAGCATTCGACAAAAGAATGGAACTTGTTAAAATAACATAGATTGAACACATTGACGCGTCATGACTCAGTAATATTGTTAACTCTTTAGATCACCGAAATCTATTTTGAAGAATGACAGCTTATAGATCCTCGCCGACAGTAAATGTAAGATCTGATGTCATTGGTTAATTTAGGGCAACCGGAAATGCCCCTCAAACGCAATAGTTCGTATTAAATCGAATTAAAATTATACACCTTTCGTTTAACGACGGAAGTATTTATTACAATTCGTTGAAAACGTGGGTATGAATGAGGGAAATGTTACCAACCGAAATATTTGCTCATAAATAAATTATTCCAAGGGAGATAATTCATTATTCTATCCAATGATTGTATGTCTTATTTCGTGAATTAGGCATAAATTTGCTGCGCGGAATATATTCATAAGTCTATGAATAGGGAATGTTTGTGGACTATATATTCCTTTATAAAACGTATGTGTTGTCGTTCCTGGAGTTTCACTAACTGAACTAAGTAGAAAAGCCAATCTACTTGTGACAGACAGTGCGCGCAGAAAATCACGATCGAATAACTTACGTTTCATTTCTGCAACATTATGCTATTGGATTTTGCAAGAGTCATTCAAAGGGAGATAACTGCCGTGTGACGGAATCTATTTGCTCATTTCATATCCCTCCGCCGCGTTCGGATAATCCAAGATGGCGTGGCAGCCGGAGGAGAGTGGTCTTCGGCAAATATTACAGCTGTTGAAAGAATCGCAGTCTCCAGATACAGCCACGCAACGCGCCGTTCAACAAGTATCCTTTAAACACCCGTTTCTTTTTATTTTCCTTGATATTTTACATTGTCTATGTGTAAGACTCTGCGTTCAAATTTCATGTTGTAGATTTAACTACTTTAACACGTGTTTCGTCATTTGCGCCGGTTATAATTGTGACAGCAGGCAAATCAAACGATCCTCATGATAACAGCAATACTGTATTAACGGTGGTTTGTTAGCTGAAGAAAGGTGACACACTATGTACAGTTGGAAGGGCAATGCTACTGATAATTTCTCTGTGCATCTACTGAACAGTGAACACCTCATCTCATGAAAAATTCTAAAAGGATACCAGAAAACATCCAGCATTAAAAACATTGGGATTGTATGACCATTACAGTCAACTCATGGGATCTTTGTCATTAGTTGAAACTAAGTGATCGACAAGGCTGACCATTCTGATAATGTATATGGGAAAACCTTCCCAAATTGAGTAATTTCTGATTATCCATTGGATACTATTTTAAGTTGGTGGGACAAGTGCTGGGCTCTTAAGTCTCTTTGTTGATAGACTACATGTGTTATAAGAGGCAGAATGGTAAATAGATTCTCTTCTGAGTACATGTATTTTTCAGTTGCTAAGAACTGAACATGTTGGTGATAACTGCAGATCAGTGTATAATACACAAATGAAAGATGTATTATAATATGTATGCTGATCTGTGTTTATCCCATCCACCTGATGAATACCTCACACAAACTTTTTCTTCTGAAGTTTTGAATTCAAAATGAAAGGGAAACATAAGAATAATGTTATATTTCATGTCTTTGGTCAAGTCTCGATCTCAAACTCAATTATACCACTTAACTGTTGATATTGATAGTCCTGTTTTTGCATGATACACCATGTTTACCACACTAATTACTTTGAATTTACATGTTGTCCAGTAATAGGAAGTACCTAGTTATTGCTTTTGACATTTGTGCAGGTACCATGGATACATGCTGGGAAAATAGAAATAAGACACTGGATCAAAATATGACAGATAAAAATATTAATACAGTGATCATGTACATGTATTTCTTTTTTTACTTGGAAATCCTAGTTTTCAGGAAAGTTGAGCTTTAGTCATGTTAGTTGCAATGTTCATGAGATATACTGATAAAGTGAAATGTGAAACCTTAACCAGTGTGCAGAAATTGGAAGAGCTCAATAGGTATCCAGACTTCAACAATTACCTAATTTTTGTTCTCACCAAGTTGAAATCTGAAGGTGAGTGATTTGGCCATGATTGATAAAATATTGTCTCCATCCTTTTTAAATATTTTTTGCTCCACACCTTAAGGTGGCACTGGTAGCCCAGTTGTCTAAGGCAATAAAAATTTGCTGTTGTGAGTGTTGTCCCTTCACTACACCAAAAACCTATGATCATGGGTTCGAATCCAGGTTCTTCCCAATTATGTTTCTAGGTTTGTAAACACCATATCTGAGCACATGGGTTTCAAAAAAGTGGTAAACATCACTTGATCAATTCCGGCTTCCCTGACACATCATGTTGACACGCTGTGATATTACTGGAATACTGTTCAAAGAGACAGTATACCCAACTCACTCATTTAATAAGACTGTAATTGTGAGTGAGTGGTTGCCATGAGCGAGTGTCAATCCGCTTGCCAGGATCTTCATTAAGTGTGTTCAAGTCAAGATTCACGTTATGTTTTTTATCTGTCGGCACCATACCCATGATTACCCATTTCAAAATTACCTGCATCAGTATTTACTTTTTCTCATGAAGCAGGCAAGCCGAACTACTATTCAATTCTCTGTTGAACCCAACTCATTGATGCCAGTTTGTAACCTGGCAGATTATTTATCACTCATGCTTAAGTAGAAATGGTTCTAATGGCAGAATTTGGTATTAAGCATGAAAGTCAAGGAATCCTTGAATCTAAATGTTATGAAGGTGTCCCAAGATGCAAATGCTATAGGAGAAGCTCTAGTTTAGTATGTTTACTGAACATTTGTCTTCCTTGTTTTATGAGTTTCAGTCTCATATGTCAGATCTGTATTTTGATCTGTATTACCCCCTGCCTTTTCAAGCATCAAGGTGGTTGGGTAGTCTAGCAGTCGAAACATTGAATCCCTCACTTTGATGTGGCTGGAATGATGACAAAAGCAGCATAACTCACTCTGTCACTACTCTATCAGCTTGTCATTTAATTGTTGGGTTATTTCTAAAACTTAAATAATGTTTCATATTGAAAATGGTGGCACTTCCTGGATCATGTCCGCAATTCACTGTGCAGAGTTGAGTCCTTGGGCACGTAAGAAATGTAAGATTGTGGGTTCGAAACTAGAATCACCCCCATTGTGTGTCTCGGTTTGTGAGCACCATATCTGTGCTCATGGGTTTCACCAAAGTGGTAAGCATCTTGGAGCTGTATCACTTGGGGCTTTTCTCCCACCTGAAGCTGACACGCAGTGATATGACTGGAATACTTGTCCAAGCGGTGTGAAGACCAACTCACTCACTCCTTGATCCTGTGGATACATGTGAGTGAGTTTATGCTTTACGTCACATCGGCAGTATTTCAGCCATATCGTGACGAGGGGATACATGGAGTTCGGTATAAATTTGAATTTGACCCTGGAGTTCGTGGAAGCCCTCAACCATGTTTTTGTGTTGTTTGACCCAATATGCAATATGAGCTATAACATTATTGAGAATCTTTGACTCTTCTTCAACTTATCATGGTCACTATTTTTCATTCAGATGATCCAACGAGATCCTTGAGTGGTTTGATTTTGAAGAACAATGTTCGTGCCCATTTTGAGAAGTTTCCTCCAGAGGTAACATCCTTCATAAAGCAAGAATGCCTGAACAGTATTGGAGACCCTTCCCCACTCATAAGGGCCACCATTGGAATTCTTGTTACAACAATTGTTGCCAAGGGGGAACTGCGCAATTGGCAGGATTTGTTACCAACACTCTGCCAGTGCTTGGATTCTGAAGACTATAATGTTTGTGAGGTATGTGCTTTCTCATATCATATGTTTAGTATATGTTCTCTTTGTCAATTTTTAATTCTCTAATCAGTTTATTAGAATTATGGTTCATATTATAGCCTTTATGGTGACATGTATGTCAGTGTTAACAGGAACAATAGAGAGTAAATGGCTTAAGTGCTAAGTTTTACATTATTTCATTGAATACCTGTGAAAAAAAAACAAAATTCCCTATTAGTCTTTTGTTGTCACAGTCTAGTGAAAGATCCCAAAAGTCCATGCTATTTTGTTAGTATGTACAATATTGAGTATTCTGCTAGCCACATATTAAGTGTCAAATCCTTATAGCATGGAAGTTTGGATGATGAATATATTGATACTGACAGTTGACCTTACACTATGTTGAGGAAAACATACCCAAAATATTTTTGGACAAGGATAAAAATATCTTTGTTCTTATTTGGAGAATAATATCTGCAGGAATTATTACACATTCATTTATATATAGGAGTGACTGGGGCGCATTATTGTTATTGCTGTGCAGTATCACAGTAGTGTTTGATGATGTTGGTTTTATGGCATCTATCGACTCTATCAATTATACAGTGGAATCGGTGGCAACTATTCATTAATAATATTGCGTTTGGACCATGGACAGTTGTGATATATCAATAGTTTAATTGTACGTTACTAATATCATGAATATATGGTTGCTTTAATATATAGTACATCTTGGCTCTACTTTTTATGTTATGTTCAAGCAGTGCTAGACATGCCAATGTAATATATATGTTCAATTGCACTGATTTATATAATTGACTACTCAAAGTTAGATTGCTGACATTGCCTATTATTCCATGATGAACAAGACCTATTTGTATATATGTATGTAAATAGCATGAATCAAGCCTGAAATAGGAATTATTCCAAGAAATCTATGTCTCAGTGTTGTTACACTGAACCATTGTTTCAAGCCAGCTCTTTGCTGCTTATTTTCATATTCAAAATGAAAATATGATATTCATTTTTCATTCAAAATTGGCAAGAAACATATTATGAATTATCAAGTAAAAGTGTCAGTTTTGAAGATGAAGTCCCTGTCATATGAGGATTGTTGAGAGGCTTTGATAATGAGTCGGGTGTTGTGGAGCATTGGATAAATAATCAGTTAAATCGATTGCCAATATGTCTAATTGATAAAAGTAGTCCCGTTAATAAAGTTTGTTGCCCTGCAGTTTAAACATGTTAAATCCCGTCTTTCAAGCTTGTTAAAGCAACTTGTGATCAGCCAGCCGTGAGCAAGGCTGGCCTATGATCAATAGTACCTCATTGTTTGTTATTCCTGTTGTCTTCTTTTTTCAAACTGTTACCATATGTTATTCAGAAAATAAAATTAGAAGTAATAAATTATTAAAGGTAAATTTTCATAAAATTATAAGTCTGATCGATGGCTCTCTCTTCCCATCAACCGAAAGTACCTTGATGACTACTGCGTTACTACAGATGCATGAGGAAAAAAGCTCTTATTATTATATGAATATTCATCTACTTTGAGTTGTGATATTGCTGGAATATTGCTTCGGTAAACAATAAATAGGAAAATGTAATCTGGGGGCATTCATGGTGGCACATAATGGGATATGCACATGACTCATTTCAATTTACACATTCTCGAAATTGGAGCACATTGATAAATGTTTCTTCTAAGTGACTGTTAGCTTCATAATATGAAACATTTTGTATTTGAAACCATGTGCCCATCTGCTGCATGCAGGTGGTAATTACTGAGTCATTATTGAACAGATGCTGCACTGGTGCACTCCAGAATATGAACACTGGTTGCCAATGCTGACCAAATAGGCATTCAAACTTGGCATTGGATGAGGATATCTTAGTATCATTATTAAATGGCTATCAGCATTTGAACAGGATGTATATTATTTTTGTCAGGCAATTTTGGTGTTCTGAAATGAAAATATCTTGCCAGAGCCATCAGAAGTAAAATATGTTTGTGACTTTCAGTGTCAACAGGGATTTATCTACGATTACAAACTAAGTTGTAACTTTGTTCAAAATTAGATTTTTTAATGTTCTTATTTTTGTAAATTCTGAGTTTGGGGGAATTTGTTGATTCAAATTGGGAATATTTGCTGCAGACGTGGGGCCAAATATGTGCCTCTGAGATGGTCTTGATAAATGTTTTAATGACTGTCCCTTACTCACCAGCGTTCAAAATGAAAAATCTCTCTCATGCCTCAAAAGCCTTATTAAAGCTGAAGTGTAAAAAATGGTTATTGGCGTTCAAAACTTGTTCTTTATCAGAGTATTGGTTCAGGACAATCACTAGTCTTGGGTGTTGTGTATTCTTTACTTTAGGCTTGCCTTCATTTCAACTCAGTCAGTACCTGCCAATTACTTCCAATCAATGCTATTTAGATTTTCTTAGATTGTTTCTGTAAAGTAAACAACCAATTTGTCGAACTTAATTTCCTTTGGGCTCTTGAAATCAGATTAGTTTGAAATCTTTTATGCAATGTGAAAGAAGAATTAACCTGAAAAATGATCTCTTATCGTAATAAATTATTTGGTGGACACAAGCAATCCAATCACCAGCAACCTGTGTTTTTCCTACATCGATGCAAAACAAGGCAGCCTCTGATCACCATGATACATTGTAGCTGACAAAATCCGTCGCTTGATCCCAAGAATGAGGATTCCCGAGAGAATTACGTTTGGAATTGGCTGAGGGGATTATATTGATTTGTTGGTGTTGTCCCTCTCCAAGGCTTGGGTTAGCTGTATAGCTATTCTAGTCTACTAGCTTAGCAATGCCCATGTCTCCTTGACAGAAGCTGATCAATTCGAGAGGGATATTGCACCCTTGAATGTCTGCACTAGTAATTGAACCCAGAGAAGAATTTCTATAAACTAACCCAAAAATCAATTCTTGCTGTGGTAGTTGGATCTGAGCATGTTAAAGCTTGTACGTAACCCAGCTTGATTGATTAAGGTTACCCTCGGGCTTGAATTGGATTCATTTATTGAAGTGTTGGAACAGACTGTAACAGAGTTCCCATTAATTCATGGGACTCATACTTTATCGTGTTTATGGTTTTGACAAATTATGTAGATATGCTAATTGCTAATTTCATGGATCCAAGAAGTCCTTATGTTCCTGTGATAAGAGCATACTGATACACCGCTTGTCCATTCTGTCATGGTTACGTGATATTCTAAATCATATAATACCAAATCACTACTATAGCTTTGTTTAGGAAGTGACATCTTTTTCCCCGACTCTCTTAGCAGTAACTAAGCACAGAAGGTCTTCCTCGTGAGCTTGAATTTTACCACTAAACTGACTCCTGAAAGAGATACTGGCCACTCAATATTTGAAAAGTAAAGGAGTTTACATCAAATCAAGAGATATTTGACATGTGGGGTGGGGAAGAAACGTCCTTTTGCTCACAAGCGTTCACAGGTGATATGCTGCCCACACTAATTGGGAGTGCAAGGTATATTATTTGTATTAATAATGGAAGAATTTTTCAAGTGTAATTTGATAGGACAGTTATTTGAACCTGACGAAAAATGAAGCAATACTAGCATATGGGCCCGGGTTATTTACTAAAATAGAAAGGAGATATAATACACTGGATAATAGATGATGGAAAAGAGAAAGTGTACACTTCTTATTAAAGAATTAGTGATAACAAACGTTCAGATCAAAAGAAATGACCCCTTCATTAGATAAATTGGAAAAAGGAGTCTTCTGAGTTTTTTCCTTCCTACTTTTATATAGTCCATTGACATATGCTTGCTTGGATGTTCCCAAAGGAGCGTTTAGTCCATTTGTTACCAAGCAACGGAAGAGGGTCCAGCCGAAAGCAGTCAAAATCAATTATTGGTATAAGAAAGACTTGATGAACACCTGAACCTTGGATCAGCTTGTTTCATTAGCTGTCTTGCTTAAGGACTTGTGTTCAACAGACTGGAGATGCTGATAGAATCAGGACTGATTCTTATCTCCGGTTGGTGTTGAGATGCTAATCTGTTCCTCACCCTCTGTGATGCTGACAAATGTATTGATTATTCACAGCCCTGTCTCGTTCTCCACTCTTGCGACCTAAAGCAGTCAAGTACCAATGACATCAGGTTTTCAAATCAGTTCGTTTTCTTGGACATGATTTTTATTCAAAATGTCCTACGAGTCCTTTTGAAGTTCCTGACCCACTCACTTGATCACTGAACCACTCATTTAATGATTGACCAACTCACTTCATGAGAGATCCATTAAAATTAACTGGATCTCCCTGAGAATATACATATTTTGTGACCATTTATGAAAATTACGGCCAAGTAAAACTCATATAATTATTGGTCAGGCCTCATTATTTTAGCATGGAACTACACAAATTAATGTTGAAACTTTTGGTATGCTATAACACTAACGTCAAACACTATGTGATACTGAGATATGGTACCCTGTATCGGCTAATTTGTTTTTGAAAAATGTATTGGCTTTCTACATGATTTGGATACGTGAATCATTGTATTGTCTGGTCCAGACTCGATAATTTACAGACCGTTGTCATATAGCTGTAATATTGCTGAGTGCGGTGTTAAACAACAAACAAAATTGTACATGATTTGTAACCTGTGCAATAGGTTCCAGTAAAGGTAGTTTATACACTTCATTTAGTTCTTTATGATGTTTATTATTCATTTGTGTACAGTGTTCCTAAAACCCATAACATTGTGAAAGAACCTTTTCATTATCCTGCAGCAGAATCCTATCGTATCATGTAGAATAGTAGACATTTGTACGTTGAGAGTTAATGAGAATCTTGAGGAAACCGTCTGTCGGTTTTGATTTTGTTTCACCTTCCAAGTGTGCTTCTAATGAAATGTTTGTAAATTTTAATGACTAGGCAGTGTTTTAAATTCATTCTGGGATCCTTGAAATTTAATGCTATAGTATTTGAATCTAGGGATACCCTAACTTTCATATTTGTCTTTAGGATCATGAAAAGGACACCATGAAATGTTTGCTTAATTCGAGACACTGCTAAATATATAGTGTCCATGTTACAAGGATGGTGTGACGCATGGCTTGATATTATTCATATGATATTATTCCTGATGAAGCTGTAATTTGATTGGGCTTGATAACCTGTTGATAAAACTGTAATTTTTCTCAGCTTTATAACCTGATGAAGCTGTAATTTGACTGAGCTTGATAACCTGTTGATAAAACTATAATTTTTCTCAGCTTTATAACCTGATGAAGCTGTAGTTATACTAAGCTTGATAACCTGTTGATAAAACTGTAATTGTTCTAAGCTTTGTAACCTGTTGAAACTGTAATTTTACTGGCTGAGCTTGATAACCTGTTGATGACACTGTAATTTTGCTGACCAAGCATGGAACCCTCGACATGTTTAAGTGACATCTTGAAAGTGACTTAAGTTACTGTTGTTGTAGCGTTTGTTCATGAACGTATTGGCTACTGAGGCTACAGTGCTGTTGCACAACATCCTACATTCCTCGTAACCAGTGATTGTAATAACTGTATTGATGTGAAAACACAAGATCAATATAAACTGGGTTGACACAGAGCAAGATGATCAATACAAACAGTTCTTGTGGAAACAAAAGCTGGGATGTCCAATACTCTATGTGGCAGCTCCACGTTTTCTGAGTTAGAAGTAATTACTCTTTATGGCTTTGCTTAGCGGAGTGTTGGATTTCTGTACTCAGCTGAAGATTTAGCTATGTCAATTTGTTTACAAAAGAAATTAGGAAAGTGTACCATGAAGTAATTAATTGCGAAAATTCAGGGTGAATGTTTACTGTAAAAAAAGTTTTGTTTAAATTTTATTATTTGATCCTTCTTTATTGACAGTGTTTGAAATTAAAGGGATTTTGAGGTTTGCTCCTGTAGTGTTTGAATCAAGGGACTCAGTAATCCTTTTACTTTTAGCATTGGGCTTTGACAAGGACATCTTGATGTTTAGGTTTAATTTCAAACACTGATTGCCATTTTATTATAAGGTTATGTTAGGGATATAGTGAAAGACCTAGCTACAGTGGACCAACAATGTAATAACTACTTCTACACTGTCAGGGGTAATTAGCTTAATAATTTTTATTTGGTGATTGTGACTATTCAATGATCTATCTGTGAGTGTCCCAGAGTGTCAGTGTTTTCATTATAAATGTTATTCACAACAATTTTTTTATGGATCCACTGATCCTAAAAATATCAAATCTCCATTTAACAGCCAAGCCTGATAAACACCTTTTGATTTCCATGGTCAGAAGAACTTAACTCAATAGCGTTACTAGCCCGGGTACAGGTTAAATTCTCTTTTAATGTTAAAACAATGGGGAAGTTTGCACTAGCCCACAAGAATTTGTACTTGACCTGGACTAGAAGGCTAGTGTTAAGTTCTAACCCTGATTTCCTTTGCATCATTAATTTTCATCAGCTGTGTCATGACAAGGACCTCTTGACTTTCATACTTAATTTCAACATTGGATTATATTTTTAAACATCAAATAAGGATAATTGATACATATTTTAACAATGGTCTATAATTAGTACAGCTTCCTCCAAAATATTTCATAAAGATGGTTCGTCTTTGATGTTCAGTGTATTCAGGCCTTACTGTACAATGATTCATGATTGATGAAGGTACAGTGTCCACTGAACAATTAACTAGATCTGATACATCATCAGTGTTAATTTTACACTATCTTTCTGAAAAAAAACACATGAAAACACATAGATCGGTGAGAAAATGATGCTAAGATTTTTTTCTGTTGAATTGAGTTTTGAAACGGTAACTGGGAATGATGAAATCGTCTCCGATGGTTGTTGGTGTCAGACTATCTGTGCAAGCTTCGGAAAGAGAGTAAAGTGTTTCGGTATTGATTTTCTGGATGCAAGCCGTTTCTCTGGAGTCAACCCACTTACAGGCTTGAATAATTGATCAACTTGCTGCATTTAGAAGAAATATATCCTATCTTGTTTCAAATGTCTTGCCAAGTAATTTGATTTGAGGTATTTTGCCAAAGAAAATGCTCAAATGTCAGCAGCTGTATCATGTGTATTGTATTGCTTTAGTCTAATTGTGTAGTATCTGTGGTGGATGTAGCCATATTTCCATGCGGCATGTGGTTTAGGGTCTGAAATGATATATCTAAGTCAAGCTCTATACTATAACAATATACTTGTTTGTCAGTGAGCTGCATGAGTATCTGATTTGGACATGTCAGATGAAAGCAATATAGGATATATATTTTTGTACACAATTTTAGAAACTTAATCTACTGATGTGTCGTCCAATATAGGATATACAGTTGGAAATTTTAGAAACTTAATCTACTGATGTGTCATCCAATATAGGATATATATTTTTCTATACAGTTGGAAATTTTAGAAACTTAATCTACTGATGTGTCGTCCAATATAGGATATATATTTTTCTATATACAGTTGGAAATTTTAGAAACTTAATCTACTGATGTGTCGTCCAATATAGGATATATATTTTTCTATACAGTTGGAAATTTTAGAAACTTAATCTACTGATGTGTGGTCGTCATAATTTATTTCTTAACCGCTAGACATTTATTAATTCAAACACTGTGACGAGTCTGTACTAGTGTGCCCCCAGCAGCTGTGATAAGAACATCCCTCAAAATCTGCCCAAGTGTCATAATTATTGTCAGTCTTAAATAATCTGGAGGTTTACAGATCTCAGATTGGTCCATTTCATCATGTGCTCTAAAAAGATGACAGCACTTTGTAATCTGCAAGCCCTAAAGTTTCTGTATTAATTCCTTCTGACAATATCTGCTCATAGAATTAGGTTTCACCAGAGTGGGCTGCAGTCTGCATCACTTGGTGTTTTCCTCCCACATGGACCAGAAATGTATTTGTATAACTGAGCTGTGTAAGATTGAACTCACCACAGGGATTTATCTGGACCTGCTCTGAGACACATATTTTATCACATTGACAGCAAGCGTCTATGAAAATACCCTGATTTGAATTTCAAAGTTTCCAGTTAATGTTAAGTAATAATAACTAATGTTGCAGCATTGTAGAGGTGATGATTTTTCTAAAATTGCCTGCCACGGGCATTTAGTTTGGCATGTAGTATTGTTGCCGGAACATTTGGGTATCATCATCAGTGCCATTTTATCCAAGGTGACCATTTCCACTCTAAATCAACAAGCAGTAAATAGTTTTGGTGACTATTGCAGTGCTTAAAACTCATGTGATTCCACTTTCCATAGTATCATATTGTGCTGAAGACAAAATAAGAAATTGATTGACGGTAGTTGTCAATGACAAATAGCATTGACAAATGTTTGAGTGCTATATTTTCATAGCAGTAATCCTTTCTTTGATTTTACTACATATTTTTCTCGCTGGAATAGCAACAAGCTCTCAGAACATGTGAAATATGTTCTGCACTAGTCCACAAGACTATTCTGAAATAAAAAGTAATTTCTTTTACTTGGATAATACATATGCATAAAAGAAATTGAGTCACCACTTGCAGACATAGTAGGTTCTGAATCATTTTAATCATTGCCTGGATGGTGATTCAAGGCCTTTCAAGCTGATGCCTATATCGGTATTTGGGTATTATCTTCCATGCAACATTAGAATCTTAAACATTCTTGTCCCCTGTGTCAGCTCTGGATCTGTTGTATGTTGCAGGGAGCATTTGGTGCGTTGCAGAAGATTTGTGAGGACTCAGCAGAGTCACTGGACAGTGATGTGGTCAGCAGGCCTCTCAATGTCCTTATTCCTAAGTTCCTGCAGTTCTTCCGCCACCAGAGCCCTAAGATCAGGTTTGTATAGTTAATTGTCTCAGTAATTGTCATTGCAAAGATCGTATGTCAAATAACAAATATTTCCTTGTCACAGGAGAGCAAGTGTCAACAACATGTTTGTCTGGTCCAACATGTTGCCATGCTACTGTAATATTGAGGCATAAAGAAAAATCATTTTCATTAATAATATTTGTATAGCTGCTCATGCTCTTGTCTGGCACGTCCAAAGTAAAGGTGTGAGGGTGAGGTGTCCAGGTTATTTATTTCAACAGAACTGAGATACAATATACTGGATTATGAAGGATTGCTTTTGGCATGGGATAAATTAGTCAGGAACCATATGGGACGACAAACACTCTGATGATCCGTGATATATGGAAATATTGTTAGCGGAGTCGTATCTGGAGCTGTGTGTATAGTCAACAACTCTGTGAAGTTGTCATCATATTGATGCCTATGATGTAATTTCAAAAGATTTTTGATAAAACAGTTGATAAAAACTATTTACAGTAACTAGTAACCCAAAAATAATAGTCTATGTTAATGAGTTTTCTGTAAATGAAAATATAGGTAGTCCAAACCATGTCTTTTGCCCTCAGATTAATATGCTTTGTAACCATGGTTATTGAAAGCCATATTTTCCATGTTGTCTTGATCTGCAGAAATACAATTACCAGTATTCCACTGAGTACATCAGGAAAATCAATGTGTGTGCGATGCGGGTTAGTTGACATTGTGAGTGACATGCTGCTCTTCATTGTTCCAGGTCCCATGCCATAGCTTGTGTGAACCAGTTCATCATTGGCCGAACACAAGCACTGATGATTCACATTGACACCTTCATTGAGGTAATAGAAAAAATTAAAGACTTTTCATACCTTCCCAGTGTTAATATTATTGATCAAGCTGGTAGAAATGTTGGTTGTTGATAATAAGCAGCCCCATGATTTTGTAATAGCTAGGCTTTCTTGTTTGACGTTTAAGAACTTAATGAATAGGGTGGTCATGCGGTATGGATAGTTGCTCTATATAACTGGATTGTCAGGCTCAAATTCCGTAGTTTACAGGCCCCTGTTGTATAGCTTGAAATTTGCTGATTGAAAACAACATTATGTCTTAATGTTACTGATGCTATTAACCACTGGTTTGCCTGGCCCGATTGGGTAATTAACAGGTGGTCTTGATAAGACTCTAGTATTGCCGACTTCAGCACAAACAACATTCCCAGACTCATTAAAACCAATGACTGTCTGAATCATATGCAAAGTAATCTATCATGTCCATGGCTATCAACTTTTGCGACAAAGTTTTCTTTGTCTCCTATTTTTGCTTGTTAAACAGAATTCAAATGAATCTAGGAATTGATCTTCCTCTTATATTTATGAACACCTTAATGGGATAGTACAAGAAAGGAATTGTTGGTAGCTATTAATTGATTTCATTGAATATTCATGATCTAAGGACAAGATATTCCCATTAGGAAGATGTGGAACAATTGCTGTTGGCCCAGATATTGATGCAGCATCACGTACAGGATACTGAACAAACCACACAATACAAATCTATATTGATGAGTCGGTAAAATGTTACAATTGATAGTCTGCTTTGGTCTTGTAGGGTTGCTCTAACATGTCTTAGGTACGTATTGAAAATGTGTAATATTGCTAAGAATAGCATTTACTACAAATCAATTCAAGACAGGTAATGTGTTTTTCACACTGTTGTACTGAGACATGTTAATGGCAGTTATGATGATACCATGAACTCTCTCTTACTGATCTTTGTGAAGACAGCTGTTCTCTGACACTGCCATGCTGTCTCCATCTTGTCCACACACACTGTACATGGACAGCAAGCAACGCACCAAGTAAACGGATGTCATGTTTCCCCAAAGGCCAATAGCATTACATTCTTTGTAAAGTGATGTTTCTTTTGGCAGCTGTTTATCCCAGTACACATTCTGTTATATCATTTCATCTCTGACACTTTATTTCTTAATTTCCATTTCACCTCCATGTTGGATTCTGGGCAGAATACCAAGGCGTGTATATAGGGGTTCCAGGCTGATGGCATGTCCAAGACATGCACTGATGTCATATCATTGCACATGCCCAGATCCCCAAGGTCTTTTGGTATCACATGTTTGATGAAGGGGTTTCAATGTGATGTCAGATTGAAGAAAATTAACCACTGGTCATGTTGATATAGACACACTAAACTTACAGTGCACCAGATTACGGACTAGAAATCTCAGTTTTATGTAACATACAATATCAGTGGTAGAAACTAAAACTATTCCTTATAATAACAAATAGCAAAACCCTTCCAATGGCAAATTTCTACTAGTCTTTATGATCCCTTATCTATTGGGCAGTTTGGCAAGGACTTAAGGACTGGTGTCAATTCCTAACGCTGCAATATGCATTTTTGAACAGCCATGCTATTTGTAACACCACCAGGTCTTGCAATGTTGACCATTTGTGTCCATTTTAATCTGTGACCAGTGTGTAGGCACAAACATTTGCTTTAATGCTATCATCTACTGGTTTGACTTGCCCAGGCTTGGTTGATCACAGGTCACAATGATTCAGCGGACTCTGCTAACTGTGCCATAGATGTAAAGCTCGGTTAGATTGATGTCAACATTTTGTATCCAGAGGACACTGCTGTGGTTTTAGTTTAACGTCTCTGACTGTGATGTCTCTTTGTAGAACCTGTTTTTCCTGGCAACGGATGAAGACCAGGAGGTCAGGAAGAATGTGTGCCGGGCGCTCGTCATGCTGGTGGAGGTCAGGATGGACAGGCTAATGCCACACATCAACAACATTATTGAGGTCAGTAGTCCATACACTCCCTGAGAAACAGTCTGTTTATTTTACCTTCAAGCAGTTATGCCACCTGTGTTACATTAACTTAAATTGAGTTTATGTGAATGGCTTTTTCTTCTTCAATATTTGGATAACAGATTTATTTGGTCTGATGTCTGCGAAAGTGAAAAAGAAATTATTTTTTTCTTTTTTTTCTTATGCTTACATAATTAACTGTTCTTTATGATGGGCCAGCAGGGATATCTTGATGGTAATACATACATACATTTCTGAACCAATTGAGAGGTTTGAAAGAGGAATCAATTATCAATAGTCTAAAAAACAGGGTTTTAGATCAGTTAATTTTGCTAGATATTGAATTATTGCCCTATCAAATGTCCTATTAAAAGATATTTTACAATTTTGGTTGTTGAACAGAAGAATATCTATCTAGACTTGCTGAAATCATGAAAATTTCCCAATTACGAGAATAGCATTTGATATATAATTGATCTACGTCACAAGCACAAAGAGGTGTTCTTTAGAGGCTATTTACTAGTGTGACAGCTGTCATATTGCTGGAATATTGTTGAGTGCGGTGTTTAACAACAAACTAGTTTGGTCTATAAGCTGACACAATTAGACTTCCAATACTATTCAACAGTCTGCCAAAACCCTTTGAGCCTGCTTGTCCCACCTATTTTGTCATTTTTTTCACTCAATATTGGTCTTTGTATGTGGACTGTAGTACAAGGTGACCAGAACACACGGACATTTACTGGACTGTACTCGACACAGTTGGCCCCATGAAGATTCCGACCCATGCTTGCCGTAAAAGGTTGATGCATGTCATTGATCCCAATAGCGTGGATTGATGCTCATGATATCAATTACTGGATTGTCTGGTCCAGACTCTATTATTTACAGACCGCCGTCATATAGCTGGAATATTGCTGAGTGCGGCTTTAAACAACAAACAAACAAACCAAGACACAGTTGCTACACAGACTGTTATTCAGATGAATGTGGGTATCTAATAAAGAGTGTTGTTGACTGTTGCAGTACATGATGATGCGGACCCAAGATGATGATGACACAGTAGCCCTGGAGGCTTGCGAGTTCTGGCTGTCACTGGCAGAACAGCCCATCTGTAAGGATGTTCTGGCACCACACATCGAAAAACTGGTCCCTGTCCTCGTCAAGGGAATGAAGTATTCGGAGATTGATATAATACTGCTGAAGGTGATATTTTGTTTGAGTTTGACCGTACTATGAAGGGTGACACTTCGTTTTCAGAAGATGTTTGAAATGGTGAAAGTTTCAGTAAATGCATAACAGTGTTCAAAATAAACGGGGATCCACAGACCCTTGGGGTTTGCTCCTGTAGTATTTAAGTCAAGGGACCCCCTCATTCTTTAACTTGTAACATTAAGGTTGTGACAAGGACTTTAGGTCGCTACAAAAGATTTTATTATCATTAGTGTTTTTTAACCCATGTCAAGGAATGAAAAAATATTGTAAGGGCCAATTTACATTCTTTGATAAATATTCTTTTGGGACCACGGTTAGAATGTCTCCAGGACCCTTATATCAGTGCATACTGAATTGGATGCTGGTCAGGCTCAGCTGATCACAGGACATCCAGCTCCAATGATGTGGATCATTGCTCATGATTTTTAACCACTAATTTGTCCAGCCTTGACTCAATCATGTACAGGCTGCCATGATACAGCTGGAATACTGCTGACTACAACATTGAACATGATTCACCCCATGAGATTTAGCTGCATGTTCCATGAAGATAACTACCCCCAAAGGGATTCTGGGTTAGAATTGGTCCCCAGCAGTCAGGTCTGGTTGTAAGAGGCAACTGGATTGATTTCTGGTTATTGTAACAGATGTAAGCATGAATCATTGCTTCCAATAATCACTTGATTATCCAATCCGGATTTGATTTACCGCCGTCATATGGCTGGAATATAGCATTTTTAGTGGGGCGTTAAACAGCAAACATGAAGATATCTAACTGCTTGATATGTTGCTTGTCAGGGAGACGTGGAGGAGGATGAGATGATCCCAGACAAGGAATCTGACATCAAACCTCGCTTCCACAAGTCCAAGACACACAGCCAGAAGCACCAGGAAGGAGACGAGGTGAATATCAATAAGGAATCCTCTGTTCATGAATACATTTTGATAAACATGCATACTTCACTGTGAGGAAACCTCATCAATTGTACCTTTACGCTGGATCGAACTCACTCACTCAAAAACGTTCAGAACACTATGGACCTAAAAGGGCAGGGGTATATAGTTACACGGAGGAATTCTGTCAATCCGTCCTCCCGAGGACATTTTCTTGTGTGGTCTATAACTTGAAAAAATATTACCATATACAGTGATCGCTCGCTATTGCGCTCTTCGATAAAGCGCTACTTCGGTTATTACGCGCGGTAACGCATGGCTCCCAAAATTTATGTACACTTTTAATACTGAGAGTTTTACACAGACATGATTGTATTGTTGTTCGTTGTTTATTTGCACATAACGCTTCTCATTGCATAATCAACGGTTTATCGCTGAATGGAGTTCTAATAATCTGTTTGAAAACATCCGCGGCAGGTCCCGGAAATACGATTGTTCTACTAGTTAACTTTTCACACTATACATCCTTTGATCTTAGAAGCGCATGCATGCAATAAAAGAGAACCACAAGTGAAGTTTATATTCTTAATTAGTGGGCAATCCAATTTAAGGCTCAACTGTCACACACATGTAGTTGCTGTCACAACAAGGCGGTCATTCATTTCGTAATCGCGCTTTCGTAACATCGCCTGTTTTTTCCCCGTAGTTATAACAAGCGATTTCATTGGATTAAAATTTGTTTCTAATGACGCTTTCTTGCCGAAATCTGCTACAAGTTTCGTGATTGGTCAATTTTGAGCACGTGACCTCAGGCAGCCAATCAAGCTGTGATACAAAGCTCGTGTTTGATAAATTTCAGAAGTTAGCGAAAGATTTTTTGTTAAATCGTGTTATTCTGAACGTTTTAAGCAGGAAATCACGATATATATTAAAAATATGGAACTTCGCGAATGTATCGTGCTAGGTTACGAGCTGTGACAAAGATTTTTCATGCATATATTTTTGCATTAAACGTTGTGTCCGAGCCGAGAATTCAAGGCGACGAAAGCCGAGATGTCATTTGACTTACATTACACGCGATCGCACGAAACGATGGAAATAATAACTTAGATGTAAGTTTGATTACTTTTAGATATATTTTTGTTGATTTTATTTATCACTTTGTATAATATATTTAAAGATTTGCTTAAAATAGTCTTTATTTTGCTCTTTGACATGTTCGATGCGGACCCGTTGTCGAAATGTGTGTCCGAGAACTTTATTTTCAATAACATCGCGGGAAATAGTGAATAATTTTTTAATTTATTGATAAAAAATGATAAATTAGAATGGAATACGTATTTCAGACATTGTGAAATATAAAAATATATACTATTTTGACGTGACGTGAGATAAACACGTAGGCCTATTGATGATTTGAGATTTGCCGAGCGCGCTCCCCCGCCTCGGCCTCGGTTAAACGGCTCATCGTCTATAACGCCCACCAATTATTTGGACCCCATTGGTAGCGCAATAGCGAGCGATCACTGTAGATTCTTTTCAAACTTGAACACTTTTTATACCTATAGAAGAGATGCGGTGCAAAGTTTGAATTCAATAATGGATTTTCTGAAAGAATACAGCTGCCTTTTTCCCTTAAAAATATGTGCAGCCTATAACTTGAAAACTACTTCATGGATTCTTTTCAAATTTAGGTAACAGTGTCCATATTAATGGAAGAGGTGCAGTGCAAAGTTTGATTTTGAAATGTGTCTTTTATGAAAAACATGATGTTTTTCATGTTGTAAACTTTTTTTACTTCAAGATTTGTGCGACCTATGACTTGAAAACTACTTCATGGATTCTTTTCCAATTGTGGGTACAGTTAATAATGACAAATTTCTACTAGTCCTTATGATACCTTAACTATTGGGCAGTTTGGCAAGGACTACAGGACCAGTGCCAATTTCTGTCGCCGTTTGATGAGGCAGCAATTGAATTTTATTTCTTGTTTTCAATTAAATATGTTTGTAGAATGTTTCATTTTGTGACATGTCTTAATTTTAGGATGGTGAGGGATCAGACGACGGCTATGATGATGACGACAGTCTGTCAGACTGGAACCTTCGTGAGTTTTCATTGTTACTCTTTCACCAAATGTCTACAATAACTTTGCTTGAGGAATGATTATGAAACTATATTAATGATTGTGCAGAATGATGCATAAATCTGTAATCGTATTATGACCTCAGCTTTGTTTCCCATTTGTTTTACATGTTAGGAATGGCAAGTAACATACAAACCAAAAGGGAATTGATGGCTCAACATTCTATGTCCCACAACTTAAATAGTGCCTGTCATGACAAGTTGAGAGTTTACAATCAATCAACTGCAGCTCAGTGGCTTTATATCTTGAATTCTACCATGAATTTGGAATTTACTCGATTCTGATTGGTCAATCAGAGGCTATTAAATCACAATAAACCCCCTCTGATTGAAACAGCTGGTTTGACGGCCGCATCACCGCGGATGCTAATATTCATAGAATAGTACTATTTTCAGTCATTGTCGGTAGGCATATTTAAATAATTATATCTACAATTATAGGTTACAAAATCCCCAGATGCGGTTACTACAATATTCAAAGGATGTGTGGCAATACATTTCATGCAGAAAAACACGATAGAAATCAACAAAGGGAACGTATTTATGTTTTGGAGACAACAGAGAGCTTGGAATTTTGGCGCTTTTCTATATACGACTGTGATGTCATAACTTTTGCGTCACAATGAGCGATATGACGTCATAATAGTGACGTGCGATGTGGAGCGAAAGCCTTGCAAAGCTTGCTTTGTTTTCTTTAGGGATGCCCACCTCATGTTAGCTTACCAAATTGCTGTGGTTATATATGCTTTCAATGCCTTGTCATATGTTCGAGTGAAGTATTACGGTGTCAACAAACTGCTTGAGTATATACATCACCATATTTTGTTCTGCGATTCCGTCATTCATATCGTTAACCCACTCAAAACACTGAACTTAACCCATGCCGCTTCACTCAGTATATTTGCTTACACCAAAGAGTTCGCGTTTTATTTAGTCATGGTAGAATGGAGATAAACATACTGTGTTTTCAATGTAGAGCTAGGTTACCTGTAGATTTAACCGCGCTAAATTTAACATTTGAAACCTCACGCTGCGCGTTCGGTTCCAAATTCAATTTAGCGGGGTTATCTCCTAATTGGTGATAGTGTTCCCCATCCTCCTCCATCAAGTTATTTTTTACTTTTTTGCACCAGTTGGATTTCCAGGTTAGGTTAGGACAGCAGCACCCTATTCTTCTTGTCATACGGGGTGGAATGTGGAGAAGTTTGTCAGGACCAGTGACCTGGTTGATTGTTTGCCATTGTACCGCATCAGCTTCTGAATCTTTGTTTATGATATCAACCACTGGTTTGTTTTAGCCAGATTTGATGGCAGGTTGCATCATGTATCTGGAATATTCTTGAGTCCAGCGTAAAACAACAAACTCATGTTCATATCACATGTCTGATTAGGCTTTTGTGTGTGTACACAAGTCTGATTGGAGAAGCATCACAACCTGTACCTACAATTATGTCCATGCCAGAAACCTATGATTGTGGGTTCGAATCCCGGTTCGCCCTGATAATGTTTCTAGGTTTGTCAGCACCATACCCGTGCTCGTGGGTTTCACCGAAGTGGTAAACGTTTGAGACCTGCATCACTTTGGGTTTTCACCAAATGCCTACAGAAACTTTGCTTGAGGAATGATTATGAAACTATATTAATGATTGTGCAGAATGATGCATAAATCTGTAATCGTATTATGACCTCAGCTTTGTTTCCCATTTGTTTTACGTTAGGAATGTCAAATAACATACAAACCAAAAAGGAATTGATGGCTCAACATTCTATGTCCCACAACTTAAATAGTGCCTGTCATCACAAGTTGAGAGTTTACAATCAATCTACTGCAGCTCAGTGGCTTTATATCTTTATATCTGGGTGATGGTATTTCCAGGTTAGGTTAGGACAGCAGCACCCTATTCTTCTTGTCATACGGGGTGGAATGTGGAGAAGTTTGTCAGGCCCTGTGACCTGGTTGATTGTTTCCCATTGTACCGCATCAGCTTCTGAATCTTTGTTTATGATATCAACCACTGGTTTGTTTTAACCAGATTTGATGGCAGGTTGCATCATGTATCTGGAATATTCTTGAGTCCAGCGTAAAACAACAAACTCATGTTCATATCACATGTCTGATTAGGCTTTTGTGTGTGTACACAAGTCTGATTGGAGAAGCGTCACATCCTGTACCTACAATTATGTCCATGTCAGTGTTTGTTATTGTAACTGATATTCAGTGTTCCCGTTTACCAGTATTTACCAGGTTTTTCACCGGTACCATTAGGCTTGGACTGGTAATTCATGTGACTGCCAGTCCCTTTGGACCGGCCAATAAAGTACCATATAAATTTTTGTTGTTGAACAAAACACTGGCGATATTCAAATAAGTATATTTTTTATCGAAGTCAGCTTACCATCAGGGTTTCCCGTTGTCCATTTTAAGTACAAAGAAATAACATTTTGCTTTGGTTTGAGGTTAAGAATATATATGTAGCGACATCGTACAGAAATATAAAAGAAATAGAAGAGTAAATTGTGACTGAACTTTGTGTGAATGAAGAGTAGATCTAACTAGGTTACTTTGCAGTCGAACATGATACTGAAAGAATTTAAGCCAGGTAATTTTCATATGTTTATTTATTTGTGGAAAGTGGGACTGACAAAAATTAGGGGGGACTAGTAATTTTTAGTGTTGCCAGTCCACAAGTACTGGCAGTTTCGAAAGCCAGCGGGAACACTGATATTGTATCAACCATTGTATCATTGTTCCAGCTTTTCACATACTTGTATCATGTTCTGCTTCCAGGAAAGTGTTCTGCAGCTGCTCTGGATGTTCTAGCTAATGTGTTCCATGAAGAGATCCTTCCAGTTCTTCTTCCTATTCTGAAGGAGACTCTGTTCCACACGGATTGGGAGATCAAGGAATCTGGCATTCTTGTATTGGGAGCTATCGCTGAAGGCTGTATGAATGGCATGATTCCACATCTGCCAGAGCTTATCCCTTACCTGATACGCTGTCTGTCGGACAAGAAGGCGCTGGTTAGATCCATCACGTGTTGGACGCTCAGCAGATATGCTCATTGGGTTGTGGGGCAACCGCATGAAAACTTTCTAAAACCTTTAATGGAAGAGGTATGTTGAAAGGATGGATTATTGTTGAAATAGATGAGTTTTCATTATGTGGAAACGTTATTTTAAATGGTTACTGGTCACATTTTGAGTTCATCTGAAATACTAAGCAGCTTGTCATGAAAGAAATTTGCATAAAAGTCTTTTGATATTGTTTCAACAAGTTTAAAGAGTCATTCCGCCTTACCAAAGTATTGGCAAAACCTTTTTGAGAACTCACAAATAGTGTGGGACAAAAATATCTGGCAAGCAGCAATACCCAGGTCTTTAACTGAAACATGAAGCCGTTACAGGGTTTAGAGTTCCTTCCTTAAGGCATGGAGAATGCCACAGTGAAGGTGTGTTACCTGTGCCTAAAGGGCACACTGAGAAATATGAATAAGATATAAATGGCAAGGATTATCTTCACCTGTATTATGTTCACAATAACCTAATGTGATAGTGCGTGACAGTTAGTGTAACGATATTGATTGCAAGAATAAAGACAAACAGCTTATTCTATTAAATAAATAATTCTCTTTTGCACACATATTTCCCAAAATGCCCATCTGATGTTTATGAGTACCCAGCACCTCACAGTTTGGATAAATGAATGAAAAAAATAGATTTTTATCCCTGCTTTGAGGGACCATCATTGTACTTCATAATGATTTATGTCCTTCGAATGTTTGACAATGTAAATCCCTGTGTTGGTTACAATTGGTCCCCAGCATCTTATGCTGGTCGTAAGAGACAACTTAGTGGATCCTGTGTTCAGGTTCAGCATCATCGTATCCTGATGGCATGGATCGTTCCTCAACATAGTGATCACTGGATTGTCTGGTCCAGACTTGATTATTTAATGGTAGTTATGAGGATACCATGAGGTGTGAAACAACAAACAAACAATGAATGAATGAAAAAGATGCTGAGTGTGTGGTGATGTGATGTGTTGTGTTCTGCTGCAGCTGTTGAAGCGGGTGCTGGATGCCAACAAGCGAGTCCAGGAGGCAGCCTGTTCAGCGTTTGCCACCCTGGAGGAGGAAGCTTGTACAGAACTGGTTCCCTATCTCGGATTTATCCTAGAAACACTGGTCTTTGCATTTTCCAAGTATCAGGTAAAAAAATTTGCTGTTGATTTGTCAGTCCCAATGTCCAGTAGAAATATTGTATATCTTTTGACTTTGCAAGCGTTATCTGACCCATACTGGGTGCATGCTTTCAGTTAGGCATAATGTTGATCTTAAGAGGTAAATTGAGGTCAAATGAAAATGAAATAGCGTGCAAATGAAGAATCGTCATTGCTTTGCTTTCATGGGGGACATGTTACTGATCTTTGCAGTCTGTGCCAAGTCTTTTTGCGTCTGCTTGCCTGAATATGTCTCTCTGCATCATTTTCAGTTGAGTTTGTGTTATCACATGGACTTTTATGACCTGAGCGACTAGACCAAACAGGATTTTACTTGACTCCATGTTCAGACACAGAATGTCTTTGTTACCATGTGTTTGAAATAATTTTAAAACCCAACAAGAGAGTCAGGCAGATGACCCATAAGTGATTCCTTCACATCTTTAAAGTTACCTGCCCGCATTCAGATGTAAATATTGAAAAATCACCAAAATAATAAGAGAAAATCATTTCTTGATTTAGTTGAAATAATGCACACAATTGCTTGAGAATCTACAAGAAGTTATTATAAAATTGAATACTTAAGTAGTCTTAAGATTATCTGGAGGAAAATTTCATGCAGCCCAACAGAAAAGTTAAAAGCCACGGGCAGGCGGGTAGGTGGGCAGGCAGTCATTTTGTACACTGTTGGCTATATGAAAGGCACAACAATTATGCAACCAAATTATATTGGGTGATCAAACTCTGTGACTTGGCTGATTGCCTGTCATTGTGCCCAGATTACGTGGTTCGCCGTCATGGTTTCAGGAATTGGAATGCCAAGACCACACTCTGTTCTTTTCAGGTCACATGATATCTCTGAAACATTCAAATGTCTGCTCATAAAACAACACTCATTCTCTCTTGAATTAGGTAGAGCTGTAGTTCTCAAGATTATGTGATGCAATCACTTGGCATGGGTCTAAGCTCTGACGTGGCCATTAGTTTGTTGTGAGTGAAATTAGTGTGTGAAAACAAGTCTACCAAAAGCAGGGATATATGTATGGACCTACCCAGAGGCTTATTTTTTTTTCCCCAAATCTGCAGCCAATGGCAGTACAAATTTCCAAATTGGAATTACATCCCAATTCTTGTAGTTAAAGTCAGTTTTAATTGTTATTGTTTTGTATAACTTGTATTTCACTGATAACAGGACCTATAAAGAGGTTTAAAAAGGCCTCAGTGCTTAGTTTTACTCTATTGCATTGAATGCAGTGTTACAATGGCTCCTAACTTGCGAAAATAGAACTTATACAAAACACCAAACTTTGTGGGGGAAAAGGATGACTTTTCTTTCTTTTTTTCCAGTGTTTAAGGGCACTTAGTTTGAATCCTGAGACAAATTCCTGCTCTAGTGAACTGAAAAGTGTATGTTTTTGGTACTTGTTTTCTGACCTTCCAGGAATTAGTTGGCTTTATCATAACTGTTAGTGATTTCTGTTTTCAGCATAAGAACCTGCTCATCCTTTATGATGCTATTGGAACTCTTGCAGACTCTGTCGGCCACCATCTGAACAAACCAGTGAGTACACCCATATTTATGTTGTAACTTATGGTGTGTATTGACGGACATAATGATTCACAGCAATTTGACATTGACATGGTACTTCGTATCAATATACATCTTTATCATTATTGGGCCATATTCATATGTTGTTCAGATTTATATTAGGGGCTAGTCTTTGTTCATGTCAAGAAGCAATTTTTGTTTGTGTGGTGGAGATGTGGATCGTCATATCCTGAATATGGTAATGAGTAGAGGTAGAAATAATCCTGAAATGATTACTCGTGTAATTATTTTCTAGGACACCCCTAAAAGGGATCGAATGTTATTTGCTTTGGGGTTACCTTGACATTATAGACTGTCTGACTCAGGCTATGTGATGATCTGTCCCTGGTACTGAGACATGTTAATGGCAGTTATGATGATACCATGAACTCTCTCTTACTGATCTTTGTGAAGACAGCTGTTCTCTGACACTGCCATGCTGTCTCCATCTTGTCCACACACTCTGTACATGGATAGGAAGTAACACACCATGAAAACACACACATCCTGTTTCATTCAAACACACATTAATGATGTATTCTTTGTAAATTCTTTGCCCAGTACAATATTCTTTCGTTTTCTGTCCCTGCCATGCCATCTCTGTCTTGTCCATGCAACCTGTACATCGACAGCAAGTAATATGTGAACTTTCTTGCAGGAATATGTCAACTTGTTGATGCCACCTCTTATACAGAAGTGGAACATGCTAAAGGATGAGGACAAGGATCTCTTCCCTCTGTTGGAGGTGTGTGGTATTTCGGATTCTATGGAATTGGGAAAGTATCTTGATGAGAAAAAAATGTTGAGAATGTCCCTTATAGAATAAACATATATTGAACTGCATTAGTATAACAAGGACAGTTGTATTTATTTGGTAATGTATGGATTTGGTGGCTGTAGGTTCTGTAGTGAGATGTGGAGGCAGTTAAGTGTTTGTTCTGTGTATTCCAGTGCTTATCGAGTGTGGCTACTGCCCTGCAGTCTGGCTTCTTGCCCTACTGTGAACCTGTGTACAGAAGATGTGTCTCGCTGGTCGAACAGACTCTCAACCAAAACTATGTAAGTCAGCATGTTACCGTCTCTGTAATTCCGCTCCGCTGTTGGGTAGAGAACAGCAGCTGTATATTTGACAAGATGTGATGACTTTTTTTCATATGATAATATATGATTCAATTTATCGTACTGTCTGATCTTGCCTCACCACTCGCAATGCAATGCAATGCACACATCACCACCACACCACACCACACCACACCACACCACACCACACCACACCACACCACACCACACCACATCACATCACATCACATCACATCACATCACATCACATCACATCACATCACATCACCACCACACCACATCATCACCACCACACCACATCATCACCACCACACCACTTCACATCACCACTACACCACATCACCACCACCACCACATCACCACCACCACACCACATCACCACCACCACACCACATCACATCACATCACCACCACACCACATCACCCCCACACCACATCACCACCACCACACCACATCACATCACCACATCACCACCACAACACCACCACCACAACACCACCACCACAACACCACCAACACCACACCACACCACAAACAGCCATGACATGGAAATTCCAGAACAGCAGCTGTATATTTGACAAGATGTGATGACACTTTTTCATATGATAATATATGATTCAATTTATCGTACTGTCTGATCTTGCCTCACCGCTCACAATGCAATGCACACACCACACCACACTGGACCACACCGGACCACACCACACCACACCACCACCACCACACCACCACCACCACACAACACCACACCACACCACACCACACCACACCACATCACCACCACATCACACCACATCACACCACATCACCACCACATCACACCACATCACCACCACACCACACCACCACCACACCACACCACCACCACCACCACCACATCACACCACATCACCGCCACGCCACGCCACACCACCACCACGCCACACCACCACCACACCACACCACACCACACCACACCACGCCACATCACCACGCCACATCACCACCACACCACATCATCACATCACATCACCACCATGCCACATCGTCACATCACATCACCACCATGCCACATCACCACCACATCACATCACCACCACATCACATCACCATCACACCACCACACCACACCACATCATCACATCACCACCACACCACACCACACCACACCACCACCACCACACCACATCACCACCATGCCACATCACCACCGTGCCACATCACCACCACACCACATCATCACCACACCACATCATCACCACTACATCACCACCACCACAACACCACAACACACAGCCATGACATGGAACTTCCAGGGCAGATTGTAAGCAGCAGTAGGACTGTCCCCTGATGATTACGAGTGTGTCCATCACATATTTGCCATGACGCATGTCCAAACTCAATTTTGAGATACTGAGTACAGACAAGGAACCCACTCCTTCACATACTCTCAACACTGTCTTGCTGCAGAACATGAGCACGCCTGACCACTATGACCCACCGGACAAAGACTTCATGATCGTGGCGTTGGACCTGCTGAGTGGTCTGGCTGAAGGTCTGGAGCACCACATAGAGAGCCTGGTGGCCAACAGCAATATTCTCAAACTCCTCTTCCAGTGTATGCAGGTATGCAACCTTTCAACTTCATGGGAATTGCTAGCCCCAGACTATTGTGCTCAGGACAAGTAAACATCCAATGATGATAGTCCTCATTGACTAGAAGCATTTGCAGGATATAATTCTGAACCAGTTTTGCTACATATTGGAACTGAATAAAATGGACAGAAAATGTACACATTTTGAACATGTAAAAATAAGGTTTCTTCAACTGGGCACACATTGCTTTTGTCTCTTTAAATACAATTTCAGTTGTCAAGCATGTCATTTTATGAATGACAGAGTATGATTTATATGACATGGGTATTTTAAAAATATTTCCTTTTTACTAATATTAATTACTGACATGCATCCTTTAAAGTGACATAACAATGCCCGAGAAACATTTCCTTGTTTCTCCTAGCCTTATGTCCCTACATTGTTAGGGAGTACAGGTAATGATGACAGGCCACTACTGTTTGGCCTTGTGATAGCTGATGTGTTTGAAGATGAAATTAATTTTGTCAAACTAATCGATGATGTTGGTTGCAGGACCCTATGCCGGAGGTTCGACAGAGCTCTTTCGCCCTTCTCGGAGACCTGACCAAAGCTTGTTTCCAGCATGTCAGACCATGCATAGGTGAGGAAGAAATGTTGTCACTTACCAGTAACCAGCCAAAGGATTATAGTTAATACTTGTGAATTCATATTGTATGTTTGTTGGTTGGTTGATCGGTTGTCGGAGGGCTCTGTCATCTGTAATGCCATAGGTGTAGGTATTTGCTGTGCAGATTTGCATTTGAATACCAGATTGTCCCCAATGATGTTTCTAGGTTTGTTAGCACCATACCCATGCTTGTAGGTTTGACCAGAGTGGTAAACATTTAAGACCTGCATCACTCCAGGTTTATTATCCCACATTAAGCTGACATGTCGGTATAACTAAAATACTGTTCTCGTTGGTGTTAAACCAAACTCACTCACTCGTTTCTTAACCAGAATGTGAAGGTATATATGTATTGGGTACAAGCTTGCCATACTGATGTACCTTTGCTCATTCACTTCCCTTTTTCCTGTATGTCCACAATGGATACCATGATGACCAGTCCATGACAACATTAAGCAGTTTAAGTGCATACTTGCTGAGGCATGATGACATTTTACTCATGACAACATATGATTCAATGTATCGTACTGTCTGATCATGGCAAACTGCTTGCACAAGAGATAGTTTTAGAAAATCATTAGTAATTGGCCCACTGTTTATTATTGCTTTACATTTTTCAGGAGACTTCATGCCAATCTTAGGAAACAACTTGAACCCAGAATTCATATCTGTCTGCAACAACGCTACATGGGCCATTGGCGAGATTTCAATAAAGATGGGTAGGTGTTTCTCTGTAACTGTTACTTGCTCAATCGTTCAAAACAATCAATGTTTATATTGAAGTAAATCCTGGACATTGGAATCAGCCCAGGCTAGAACAGGTCCCCAGCAACCTATGCTGGCCATATAGGCGACCAAATGGATCAGGTAGTCAGGCTTTAGTGACTGTTCAGTTTCGTGTCAACTTGTGTTGGAGCGATTGATTTATTGATCACACTGTTGATCAATTGTCTTAACAATTATCAATCTGCTGAAATGTATTACCGATGTAGAGCGTCGGGTGAAATAAGAAATACAAGACTGCAGTTTACTGGACGGGCCATATAAATTCACAATAGCACAAAGTGTGTCCATTAGCCCTGTTTGACGTTTCACTGGTCTCGCATGTCCTCAGATTCTTCCAAAAATAAAGTTATATTGTACCGTTCATAATCGTATCATTTAAATATGCCTGACAATAATTATCATAGGGTTGCAGTGAAAAGAATCTATATCCTATCTTGCCAGGAAGTGATTGTTCAGTTTATGCACTTGTCAAGCTACACTTCATCACAGTTGCTTTATGTTGACCTGTCCCTATGCATGTCTAAATATAGAACATTTCCACCAACTTCAGCAAAAAAACTGTTGATTTTGTTAGTGGTAGTTACTTGGCATTTTCTGTTAATTCTAAACATTTCAACGTTAAGACAATTACAGATTAATTTATTTGTATATATGATATGATTCACAAAATGACACTTTCAAAAGTGCAGCTATCAGCTAAAGACATAACAGGGTTTTTCTTTTCGAATGCATGAAGGTCCTCTGTATCTCCAGGGCTCACGTTTCAGTAAACTTACACTAACCCCTGCATCCAGGGCGTGAAAAACACAGCTAATAAAGTAACATATCGGAACACAAATATCCACAGTTGATCGACTGCCTTTACAAGCCTTTGACATATACTTCGCTGATTGTCTGAAAGTTGGAATTCCACAGCATAATGAATATGCAAATTTCAGACTGACCATTTCCTTATAGGTGCCGACATGCAGCCCTATGTCCAGCTGGCCCTGGGTCATCTTGTGGATATTATCAACCGACCCAACACCCCTAAAACACTCCTGGAGAACACGGGTAAGTAGTGTGTGGGTGCTTCAGTGGCTTTGTCTTACGCTTGTGTCATCACCATTGAGGGGCTCTGTTATGGGCGAAGTAGTTAGGTATGTTCACCGTCTCAATAAGCAGTCAGCTGCTTTAAGATATCTTGCCCTAATTTGGTTTCCAGCTGAAATTTTCCTGAATCTGTTTTTGTGGCTGATTGTTCAGTTGGTTTTGACCATTTGTAAAATCAATTGCCCTTATGAAAGTGAAGGTACAATTGATAATAAATCCAGAATTATATTTGGCTGTATGTCACATTAGGGCAAACTCGGGGAAATGTTTTTCATTTCTGATACATAAGCGGTTGCTGGAATTGTTTTTTCTTGATGGGTCTTACTAATAGTGGTGACTTTAGATTGACATGAACTGGTGAAAACACAGTTGAAACTTCATAGTCATATGAAAATCAGTTCCTGAAAACTAGTTATGTATGTACTGGTGTTATCTTCATGGCCAAATTTTCATAAACAGTATTGATGTCTTTCATCTTACTCAATACACCATGTGACATGAGGGATTCTTTAACCTTGCTAAACGTAATGTCAGTATTGTATCTTCATTGGTAAATTGTGGTTACCATTCTGAAGAGAAACAAATACAGAAAAGGAATTTAATCACATGAGAATTAAGGTGAATTACTCGGCTGCCAATGAATTGGGGTTTTCCATTCTGACATGAACATGGAGCAAGGGTGATGAGAGTTGCATCCCTTGGGTGTGCCACAATCTTTGATCATGTGTTGGAAACTCAGATTCACCCTGAGTATATTTCTTGGTTCGTCAGCTCCATCTCTGTTCTCACAGGCTCACTTAGGGTTTTCCTTTCACATTAAGCTGATACGCCGTGAGATAACTGGAATACTGTTCAAAACTCACTCACTCATTCTGTACTCATAGTTTCATGAAAGTGGCAAACGTCCGAAACCTGCATCACTTCAAACTTTCTTCAACATTAAGCAGACATGCCACGATAAAACTTGAATACTGTTTAAAACGTCGTTCAACCAAACTCACTCACTCACTCTGTACTCATGGGTTTCAGCAAAGTGGTAAACTTGAAAGACCTGAGCCTTTGGTGTTCTGAGCTAACACATGATACCAAATTTGTTCAAGCAGTGTTATTAAATATTGCATAAAAAACTCTTAAGATATGAGATAATGAAGGAAAACAATTTATCCAAATTTACGAGTAATGTATACACTTGAATAATAAAAAAAAGCCACAAAATTGGTACATTAATCTAATATTCAAAATACATGCAAGATTTTTCTTCAGTAAGTTATGCTATGCAACAGGTATTTTAGGGAACCTGCTGAAGAATATTTTAGGTCTCCTGGTTTAGCCTTTGGTTTCAATCCAACTTTGCACTCAATCATGTGATAAATGGTAAATTTGTTTTTATGTTGCATTAACTAGACATTATAATAGAACATGTCATATTTCAGGTGTATGTTCAATTGCTTGTGTTGAAATGTTTCTTTTTCCTGAGAAGTAATTAGTATTTATTTGTAACTCAATATTGCAGTATCGGTATATTAATTTCTATGTACATACAATGTAGATTGTAAAGTTTGACCGCCATTACCTCTCTGCATTTGACAATGTTGTGATGCACTGTCCTATATTTGATGGTGTTTGGCCACAGCTTGTGCAATCACTGGTCTCTCATTGCATGGGTTGTGGTATAGTGTTACTGGAATGAAACCACAGGCTAGCTGTTCTTACTAACAATGGTGGTGTCACAAGTATTGTGCCGTCTTATCATGTTACCATTATTGCACTGATGAATACATTTTCTCATTGACAATATTTGAGCAATTTAATTGATTTTTTGATAAATAACTGATTAAGTTGTTATGGATCACATGTTTAACATCACTATTTATCTCTACTGTTATTTTAGATTTTTCAACATGATTGGTATTTTCACAATGTGACTTTTTACAGTAAATAAAAGATGATTTTAAAAGTATTAGACACTATTTATGGGGAAAACAACATGGCGCGAAAACTCCTGCTTTCTGACTGCACGGTCACAGCGCAGTATTTGATACGAACCAAAATAAGATTGTTCCAAACTGAAATTCTGTTGAAGTAATTTGAAACCTTTTCAAATTTGATAGGTGTTATGCGAGAAGGTTGCCAGTGAATACTTGTATACCTTTATCTGTGAGAATCATACCTACTCCCAAATTGATACTGAGAACTACAGTGTTGAGCTCTACTGTGTTGTTTTCCTCCCTTTGTTGTTGTCTGTGGCGTGTTGTGCTACGTCTTCCATCTCATCTACTTACAAAATCTAAACAAAATCAATTTGGACTATTCACTGTTTGAGCTTTACTTTGCATTTATTCTGAACCATATATTTTGTACATAACTGCAAAGTTTTGATTTGATTATCATTATTATTATTATTAAATGTACGTTTTGTTGATTTGTTGTCTTTCTCTGTTTTTCTTCCCTTTATATTTGCTCCCCGTCTTCTCGTCTTGTGACCACGGTTACATAGCCATAACAATTGGTCGCCTTGGTTTAGTATGTCCGCAAGAAGTCGCCCCTATGTTACAACAGTTTATCAGGCAGTGGTGTGTAACTTTCTTTATTTCTCTTTTTTCACTTTTCATTTTATTTTTAACAATTGGGAGAGGATCATGTATGTGTTCTCTGAAACCAGGTAGAATGTGTTATGGTCTGTCACCAGTGTATAACATTTCTATCTGGAGCACAATTGTTGTAAACTAACGTACTTGAGAGGGAATTCATGTTCATCAACTTAACCTGTTTACCTGTTGACATTGGTGCACATAATTAACTTATCTGCTTAACCAATCTTGAAATTATTTCAGTTTTGAAATTTTGAAATTCTAAAGAGCTCTGATGCTTTCATGAATTTTTCATGTTTATTATTTGGCTATTTCTTAGTTCCTGGTTTCAGAGATTCTTTCTCAACCTAGTTTGCACATGTAGGGACATAGTTGAATGTTATCTTTATAAATAACCATATACTGATCATGCAAGTCTGCAGATTGGAAGCAAATGCTAAAATGGAAACTATCGTGAATAGATAACTTGTTTGATGTCATCATTGTAATGTTTTCAATTCTGTATGCCAGATACCGTATGGACTTAAATGTCTGTTGCTTGCACGTCTCATGCATTTGATTTTATTATATAGATTAAAACATGCTTTTGTGACTGGTATCTGTGTTAAATGCATTTATGTCTTGTTTCCATATGTTCATAATGAGATATTGTCAACGTGCATTCTATAAACCTTAATAACTCTACGTGCTAAATAACTAGTTTGGGCAGTAGTATGGGTTTTTGTTTTTTTTGGTTAACTTATGTGAACTTACACAGAGTGCTCTCCCCTACTTATACAGCATGTGTGTTTAATCAGGTGCACATCATTGCGCAACATTCGAGACAACGAAGAGAAGGACTCTGCGTTCCGCGGTATCTGTCTGATGATTGGGGCAAACCCAGCCGGAGTCGTGCAGGACTTCATCTTCTTCTGTGATGCTGTTGCATCATGGGTGCACCCCAAACCTGACCTGAAGGAAATGTTCTACAAAGTAAGAATTACATTTCATCCCCAGTGGGAACTCTTCGTTAGAATAGGTGCCCACCAAATAATTTATGGGTTGCTGTCATACAGCTGAAATAGCGTTGGGTGGGGCGTTAAACAACAAACAAGATACTAGATAAACTAGTAATAAAGAGGCACAAGTGGCTCAGTTTTTGAAGACACCTTAATTTGATGTACAGATTTTTGTTATTGAGGTTTGCCAGGATACAACTATCATTGTTACAAATCCAAGATTAGCACTGATTGTGATTGTTGGTTTGTTAGCACCCAAAGAAGAAAAGGTGTAATATCTGGATTGTAGTTTCCCCCAACATGCAGGTGACAAGTCTCACTCAAGCCTCAATTTATGATAATGATGAATTTATTGTGTGAAAATGAGTTCAGCATCACATTTTAATAAAATTCGATAATACCAATGAGTATGAACACAATGGGTTAGAAGTTTGTCCTAGGAGGCAACTAATGGGATAGAGTGGTCAGACTCGCTAACTTGGTTGATGCATGTCATTGTAAACCAATTGCCAAGATCTATGCTCATGATGTCAATCACTGGATTGCCTGCTCGAGACTCAATTATTTTCAATTATTTGTAGAATGCCATCATAAAACTGGGATATTGCTAAGTGTGGCGTTGAACAACAAACAAAGAAATGAGCATGAAATTATACAATTTCTGTTTCAGATCCTACATGGTTTCAAGAATCAAGTCGGGGAAGAAAACTGGTCCAAGTTCTCTGACCAGTTCCCCCAGCCTCTTCGCGAACGCCTAGCTGTCAACTACGGGGTCTGAACAGCTGCTATCATCAGTAAGTTAGAACATTACTGCAAGAGACAAAACCGGACGTTGTTACCTACTTCAATAATACCCCTTAACATGTTGAAATATGTGGTTGTGTACCTGTAGTTTGTAGTGATAAAAAGACAAATCTTAAGATATGTTAGGTCAGGGACACATATTGCAAAGAACTAGAGGACCATGTGCAAGTTTTCCTGTAGCAATAACCAGGGTCCCTTGCTGTACAGTTTTAGAAGTTCTGAGAAATGTAATTTTTTTTTTTTTGCTTCATAATGGATTCCAGGTTAGAATAGGTCCCCAGCAATCTATGCTTGTTGTATGAGGCAACTAAATAGATCGAACGGTCAGGTCAGGTGACTTGATTGATTGCATGCCATACTTCCCTCAACACGGGATGTTATTCATAATATCAATCACTGGTTTCTCTAAATCGGACTTGTTATTTATGACCTGCTTTGATATAGCTGGAATATTGCTGAGTCCACCATGAATCAACAAACAATGATAACTGTTGTAGAATATGAACTTTCATAAACTGAAAGAAACAACATAACATAATATGTTCTTAATATATATCTTGTTTTTAAGGGAATGAACACATTTTTTAAAACTTTTTTTTCTTCTTTTTTCAGGTAAAGGGGGCAAACCGGGAAGGTGCTCACAAATCGCGGTGAGCACCAAGGGGCCGCGGGGGTTGGCAAGGGGAGGGCCAGCTCGAGGGGGGGCCCTGCAGCACATGCAGCAGCGCCAAGGTCACATGACCGCCATGTGACCACAAAACCGAGCTGTCAGTGCAGCACCTAACTGATCTGCGGGTGGGACGCGTTACGGGAGGGATCATCGTACATCGTACATCGTCAATGTGTCCTCTGTGTTTGACAGGAATGTTAGAACATCTTTCTTGCATGTAAACTAGGTACTACTTGACAAACAACTCATTATTGATACAAGATAGCAAGGGGAATAGCTTAATCCAATCAACTACAGCTTTTCTAGACAAGCATGATTCTCTTGAATGTTGTAACCACCCCGCTGTATGGTGAACGTCCCAACCAAATGTTATACATGGTTGATGTGACTTGTGCACAATCCAATCTATTGCATGTTGTTAGTTGTCAAGCCAAGCCAAGACATGGCATGCATGCATGGAAATTTATTCATAAGTCTGGTTATGTATTCTACTTGAAATTTGTTCATCATTAGGAGGGGGTAAGGTGGTTTCAGAAAAGTCTCCTATACGATTTGTTACCCCAATAGAAGATAAACCCTTAAAACGGCAAATTGTCTGATTATTTTAGAATGAAGAGCTTTAAATCCCCCTTTATTTATGGATTATTTATTATTATTCATATTTTTGGGGATACATTTTTTTGGGCAGAGGGGGTATATATGAAAACACACACCCAAAAGTGAAAAGGAATTTTTTTAAGAACCGAGAACAGCGACTATTTGCTATTCATGTTTCTGTTAGTGTCAAAAGCAAATTTTATTGAAAGTTCTCAACTATTTCCAATGTTTTTATTGTTTGTAGATCACTAGGATCAGACTTTGGTCCACAGCTGAAATTACCTACATTGATTTATTGTGCATCAGATGTACAAAAGATCTGGTACAGACCAAGCTAAATTTGATGTCAATGTTGGATTTCAGTTGTTAAATGTTTTCCTACATCAAGAATCAATGCTATATTTCGAATTCATTTGTAGTATTGGAAGTTCTAGTACTTTCTACAAAGTTCTCGTTGACCAAGTTGCCTTTTAGTGAGAAGCAAACGGTTACCAGTCTTTATCCTACGTGAAACAAACCGTTGCCAATTAGACCTTCGACACAATCCCATCATCCCTCAGCAGAGGCTCAGAACAGTTACCATGGATACGGAAGAGACATAGTATTCTGAGATCAATGCAGAAAAAGGAGGTGCTATGTACCAAGACAGAAGCTAACATCCTGCTCCATCAGAGACCAAATACATGAAAGTATGACAGGTCATGGAGCAGCAGAAGCTTGCTATATGAGAGTCCAGCAAAGACCAAGCAGGGTTGATACCTTCCAACACTGTGGGCCATACAATCCTGGTCTTGGCATGACACACGAGATCCTGTCATGGGTTGGACCTCACCTGATCTCAACATGTCAGCACGCAGATGTACTGCTAGTGCAGAGGTTGCATGACATGAGCACTGAATATGCTCATTATCAGCAAATGGTATTACATATCTAGCCCAAGCCATCATTGGACTATGAGGAGAGAGTTAGCTTTGGCACTTGCATGTACTCCAATCCAAAGTAAATCAAGAAACCTCAGGATTTTACAAATCTTTGTTAATTTTAGTTTTAAGATGTTTCAGAATATTAAGATGTTATTTTTGATGAAATTAAAGTTTGATCAGTTTGTAAAGGAGAATGCATTTGCCAAGCTAACAAAACAAATTGATAAGACCAAGAATACTCTCCACAATGAACTGATGACAATATCAACCGGGAGAGCCATTGCTTTTATCTCTCGTGTGATCTGAACAATTATTGTCTGTGATTTATTTTTGGGGTATTTTTGATGTATAAGTGGTGTATGAGTGATATGGTTATATTTATCATTATTTTTTATTATTTTTCAGACTATGGAGATTTTTATTTTATTTATTTTGTGTGTGTTTATGCTGCCATCAGCTGGGCTGTACTAGATTAATTTTAAGGTATTATACTACGAGGCAATACTGTGTGTACATAAATAGTTAATGACAAGCGGTTGCAGCATTCCTCAATCTGAGACCACCTTTAGGGGTTAGACTGACATCAACATAATACTGTATACATGTGTTCTCATGAACATTTTAACACTTTGGAATAGGAACCAACTGTCAGATGTATATTGTTATCTGTATAAACTGTGGTGTACTAATTTCAACTTGCATGCTACAAATTTAATGCCATTAAAATTCGTTGGAAACAAATCATGTCTTTGTAATCATGTCTAATGATTAAAGTTCTGAATGTTGATTTACTTCTATTATTGGAAGCCCATTCTTCAGGTGACATGGATGTCGATGTCGGTGCTTGAAAACCTGTATTTGGATGTGTCATGACAGAATCCTTGCCCATCATTATCAGAGAGCACAACAGCATTTGCTATTGAGGATTGCAATAGCTGAATACACTTGTGCACCCTCAATGTCAAATTGGTCATTTGAATTAGGCATGCTTGAAACTGGGTCAACACAATATTGTGTCGTCCAAAGTGTGATCACTAGGAATCGATAGCAGACGTTTGGATCAGCTACCCAGCGGCATGCAGGTGGTTGACACTGTTCCACCTCACAGCAGGGAGACAGGTTTCTCCTGATTGCTAGAGACGTCATCACTTCATGACTGCCACAACACTCAGAAATGACCTTGCAGAATGCCAGTGCCATTAACATTTCTACACAGACAGTGCGTAATAGTCTCTGTAAGACTTGCCTCCAGTCCATCTTCCCGAGGCAAGGGAGTTAACTAAATTTAAAAGTCCAGTTTCCACCCTTGCCGAACTAGGCTGGAATTCCTGGGCTCGATCGTAGAGCCACCAGTGGCTATTACGAGCTATGTCCCTTCTATGCCTCTCCTGTGGACCAATCAGATTCCACCTCTCGCATCACTTGCATTTGTTTCAAACAAAACGGTGGCGCCCAGTCAAGATGATCAAGATCTATATTGTGATAAAACGAGTCTTACATCGCGAAGTGCATCAAATCACGTGAGCACCTTGATTAAAAACATGAAAAGATTTTGAAAATATCTGTTGACAACGAGCTAGCGCTGCACATGCTTTGCAAATCCTGCAGACGACCGAAATCTACATGACACTTTACGAACCGGTTTTCGATTTCGGTGCGCGATTTTGAATGGACTATGCATAGACTCGTTAGCCCAGCCAAAATCGAACTCCATAATACCAGCCTAGTTCGGCAAGGGTGGAAACTGGACTTTTATAGTCAGTTAACTCACTTGCCTCGGGAAGATGCCTCCAGTCATGGAGGGCATTCATTCGCATCCCACTGACCCTACATCACCGGCAGGCACGTTTAGATTGGGATGTATGAAAGTATTACTGCCCCTTTCATTCCCGCCCTTTTGGAGTCCGGTGTAGAATAGGCCTCCAGCATTCTTTGCTAGTCGTAAAAGATCGAGTGGCCTGGCTCGGTGATTTGGTTGATAGTGTGTTAACATACCCCAACTGCGTTCACAAAGTCAATCACTTGATTGTCAGGTCGAGACTAGATTATTTACGAGTTGCCCTCATGTAGCTGGAATATTGCAATTGCTGTATTAAACAAACCAAACTTCCATGACCTAGTTGTATAAAACTTATTACACAATGTAGCCTTTTCAGCTTGTACTCCTTTATTTCTTTACAGAGCTGCATTTACTGATCGAATGCAGGCATCGCCTATACATTTACTTAAGTGCAGTGAATAATGCATGAAAGCGCCACAATTCGCTTATTGTACAGGACATGTATATTAGCCTTATGTATATATGAGCCTAATTAGCCAATGCATGTGACTTGTGACAGTCGGGGCAGCACAAAAACAGATGCAAAATAAGATTCACCTGAAAATGGCATTCTGAGCATAATTATTTTCGATAATGGTCTACACATTGGTTTAATAGGTTGGCCACAAGGGAGTAAAAAAATACATGGAATACCAAAATCAAACGACCAATACCTAGTATGAATGACAACATGTGAGTCAACACTCAATAGCTGGAACCCTTGGTCTGGCTCTGTGAGGCCAGTTACTTTAACTACTGACCCGTGAAGATCCGGTGAAGAATAGGTCTTCAGCAACTAATGCTTGCCGCTAAAGGCGACTTTGCTTGTCGTAAGAGGCTACTGACGGGATCGGGTGGTCAGGCTGACTTGGTTGATGCATGATGATTCTCTATTACCGACTGTCGTGCATTACCCTGTACATGTCTTTATTACGCTTCTCCAGTGAACACATAATTTCCTAATCTTGTTTTTGCTGTAAAGGTGGTGTTGAAAGAGTACTTAGGTGTGCCTCGCTGCGATGTTACTGCGCTGTGTTTGTGACAAATTCATATATCTCTGCCAATATATGAATCATTAAGTGAAAACATTTTCGTGATATGCTAGCTGTCATGAGAGTTGTAGAGAGCTTACAAATTTAAGTTAAGGTAAATATCATATGCAGCTGTGTAACGACCGCCTCCGTGGTCCTGTTGTCTACTGTCATGTTGTCAATCACTGGATTGTCTGATCCAGACTCGATTATTTACAGACGGCCGTCATATAGCTGGAATATTGGTGAGTGCGGCGTTAAACAACAAACAAAAAAACAATTTGAAAATCTGTCTTTGGAAAGATTGTCATGCCTCGGCCTACTATCCCAGGAAATAAAATGATGGCAAGTCACTTGCATGTCATGTCGGGCTATTGCGACCAAGTTGAACATTAATCATACTGTAATCAGCCGACTGATTAGAAAACACACATTGACTGGACATGTGGTGGAGTTACCGAGATCAGGACGTCGACTGAAGATCAGTGTCAGAGAAGACAGGTTCCTTGTACGCTGGGGAAAACGGCTGCCAAATTCAACTTGCACTGTTCATCACTGGCATACCCACAACAGGGTGTCCCTCAGCACCACCAGGAGTCGACTGAATGCAGCAGGATTGAAGGCTAGAAGACCAATAAGACTCCCGCTACTCTCACATTAACACTCACGGGACCGTTAAGCCCGGTTTTTAGGCTCGAGCACACTGGAACACCGAGGAGGATTCATTGGTCAGATGAGAGTCGATATTTACTGATGGAAGGTCTCGTGTCTGGAGGCAAAGGGGAACATCTTATCATCAAAGACTTTCATCACACGTTTTCATCTGGTAATAAAAAAGCTGTATTTTCCAGATCCAAATGGCAGAAATAATGTCCTTTATTCCTTGTGCACAGCAACAAAGCCTCAAATTCAGACACGTCAGCAATAAGATCGATCATCTTGACCTAAATGTACACCGGAAGTGAATGTGAACTTTGAAGACCAACTTTCCAAGGCGGGGAGCCAAAGTGATGAAGAGCAAGATACAGCCACAAGGCTCTGTACACAACTCACCTGACATATGAGGAAATATATTTATGACAATTCAAACGTATTTCGCTGAAAACATCTATAGTGATTTAAATAATAACTGTTTCATAATATTCATAAATTAATTTTGCAACATCGTTACAGCGATGCTGACTGCAAATAGTGATGCCTTTGAAAACTTGGATTTTCTTTTAGTCATTACCATTTACGCCAAGTTTAATCCCTGTGCCCTCTGGTTCTTAAAAAAGTATAATTTTAAATTTGTGTGCGCGAGGGGTGATTAATAAGCCACAAAAAGAAATACGACCGTAAGACAGTTTGTAAACATAATCCACTTCCACATCGATACACTTTTGCCAACGATCTTCTCGGGATTGCATCCCTCTTTCGGAGTAGTCTTTCTCTCGGCTGTCCAAGGTGTTCTTAAAGGCTGCTATGACGTCATCGTTCCAGTCAAAATGGGTTCCGGCTAAGGTTTTCTTGACGCTTGTGAAAAGATGGAATAACGTGGTGCAGGAGGAGTTCAAAGCATCACTTGTCTTAATGGCATCACGTAATTGCCCATTTTCAAATATTTGATTGGACACAGGCTGAAAGTGGTGAACCCAGGTTTCATCCATGTTCACAAATCGTTCTGGATCAGCTTCAAACAGAGCTGGAGTATGACGAGGCAGGTTGTGCCTGGTGCGCTTTTGATCCAATGTCGAACTGTTTGCAAACCAACGAACTGATACTTTGTTCATGGTCATGGTTTCTGTGATAATGGAACGTACTCTCTCCTGGGAAATGCCTACCGAGCTAGCAATATGACGCTCAGTCATTCCCGGTCCGTCATCATAAAACCGTTCCTGGTGTTGCTGACGTCACAGGCCTTACATGACGGGAATGTCTACAAGGCTTTCCCCGCCATGCTTGAATACTCTGCTGCCCACCTCTTTACCGTGGCATCGGAAGGGGCATCCTTCCCTCGTGTTGTACTCTTATCTTGAGCCTTTGGTTTTTATCCTTTTTCTGCGGGTACTTGATCACTGCACATTCTTCAAGTTTGTCCATTTTCCAAAGGTGATAGGCCCCTGTTTCTTTCACTGACTTGTCACAGCGAAACAATTAGCTCAGTGGACTCAAGTTGTTTTTGTGGTCATACCTCAAATCATGTGACATCCACAACAACAGAGTTCACAATCACGCAATTCCTCCAAGGTGAGACTCAGAACTTATGCAGCTACGAAAGCCCAACAGTGCCACTTTGGTACCATAATTTTATTTTATTTAAATCGAAATTTCGCGTTATTTCATATATTTTATCGAAATTTCGATTTTTTACTCGTTACTTCGAGTATATTCTCGTTATTTTAAGTTTATTCCATAAACTCGAAATTTCGAGTTATTTAAATAAACTTTAAATAACGAGAGAAAAAGTCGAAGTAACGAGAAAATAATTGAAATAAAGATCTCGATTTAAAAAAAATTAAATTATTGTACCAAAGTGGCATCATAAGGCTTTCGTTTGTATCAACTCAGTTAATACAGTGCACGAAAAGAAGAGCTCCTGGGTTCCACTTAGGCTCTCAACGATAATCAGCTGTATCACTTGGGGCTTTCTTCCCACTGACTGAAATATTGATGTGGTACAATCGAACAAGCTCTGTCTACGAAGATAATAAAGAGCGTCATACCACTCTTGCACAAAAGTTGTTTGATCAGGGCTACAATATTCAAATGTTTACTTAAGTTTTATAATAGACATAGAGGACATTTCCAAATTTGGAAATATGGTAAAGTAATAGTTAGCAATACAGACAAAATTTGTGTCCAATGTAATTCCCGATTTTGATTTATACTTTCTTGCCATATTTTACCGTGTATTTATCAGGTGAATAGTTGACTGGCTTTTGCATGTGTTTGTGACGGGTGCCACCAGTGGGATAGGATAAGCTCACCTTCTCGCGAACACCTAGCTGGCTGGTATCATCATGATAAAGTCGGAATCGTACAATGAATATTTCTCATGATTATGGAAAGGCCAATTGGCGCTTTTATTTCAAAGCGAATTTGTACCCAACACAAAACTGCAAGAAAGACTGACCTATTTCATAAAATGTAAAATCATAGCAAATTTGAGCTTGCAGTGACAGTGCATGCTGGAGTACACCTTTGCTGAGACAGTCAGTTGACCGAAATTTGCCCCCTGTTTCACACAAGGGATTGCGAAAATGAAGAGATCACATGACTGCAGTGAAACTGACAAACAAGCTAGAATAACAATTCACCAAGTTGTAGCATATTTGGAGATATGTTTGGTTTTATCCGTATTCCATATTCATGTCACCTTTTTGTCATCGCTTAGTCTGATAAGGGTCATGTGCATTAAAGCTTTTTGGTCTTTGGTTGTCTATAAAGTGTCTCTTGGGGGACATATGGAGTCGTATTCGAAAATATAAATATCTTCTTTTCTCCGTCTTTAAAGTGGCGGACGGGTTGTGGTAAAAGCGTTCGTTTGTCACGCCGAAGACCTGGGTCCGATTCCCGACATGGGTACCATGTGTGAAGCCCATTTCAGGTGTCCCCCGCCGTGTTATTGCTGGAATAGTGCTAAAAGCGGCGTAAAACCATACTCACTCACTCACTCACTCCGTCTTGAAATTCTCTCCACTTACTCTCGATGCCGGTACAGCATCCGTTAACGGTAACATGTGTTTATGAGCAACTGTAGCTTAATTGCTGTCTATAATTGCTTTAAGAAATGACAACCCATTAATGTACAACTTATCAGTTGTATTCTCAACCAAAGGTCGTTTTATTTCACCATTTCCTTCCTCTTTAAACAATGACATTTCAACAGGAAGCGCACATAAATGTGTTTAGTGGTATGCAGACACGGGTCGGAAGAAGAGTGACTTCCCTTGAAACACTGACAGGTGCTTGGAAGAAATTTTATCTGTGGATTTAATGATGACTGGGGTGAGAAGGCGATGTGTGTTCTGACACACTCGACAATGGATCTCATCAGGGTATTCTCAAGAAGAGCAATAACTATTTCAACTTTGAATCATTCACACGCCGCATGAATCCTGGCACCTTGACCTAGCCCAATGAAAGTTGATGCGATAATAAGCCTACAGTGTTCAGGCCTAATCACAATTAAGCGGGTACTTCAACCACTTGATTGATTTCGAAGCTCAAACGAAGTCATTGAGTGTAATGTTCACCGTGTGAAGACATGGCGGATGCAGCTCAACCACCAACTCACTTCACCATTGATGATACTCCATCAAGGACGCCGATTCCACAGAAGAAACCATCATGCTTAAAACGGGCCAGTAATGGTATCATCTGGGCCCTGGAATCTACATTCTATAAGTGAGTAGGAAACTTTCCCACGTGTGTGTGATTCGTGCATAACACTGACAGCAGTTAGTATGGTCAGATTTCCACAAACAAAAGCAACCAATTTTCAAGAATCGATTTGGGCATAAAGAGTCCACTTGTAAACCCTTTCCTAATTAGGAGTATCTATGATTCTACAATGTCTTAATCAGTATTGGAAATAATTTTAAAACCCACCAAGACAGTCGGGCAAGTGTTGCCTTCCCATCTTCAAAGTTACCTGCTCACTTTCAGATAAATAGTGAAAAATTGGAAAAATTAAGAGACAAGTCGCTTCTTGATTCAGTTCATAATAATTCAAACAATCACTTGAGAATCTACAAGGAGTTATAATTAAATTGAATTGTAATGATGTCTTAAAATGATCTGCCAGACAGTCAGGCCAATTTCATGCAGTCTGACAGAAAAGCTACCATCCACAGGCAGGCAGGCAGTTATTTTCGAACACTGTATTTACAAAGAGGACCTAGGCTTGCCATTGCCTCCGTGATTTTATTCATATTCTACTTTGTTTGTCTGCTCACACACTTTTTTATGCATATTAATCTGGCATTTATTGATTGCATAACTCTCATTACTCACATGACTTTAACTGGAAATGGGTACCATCATATGAGGATGGTTTCTGCTATTGTCCACAGCATCAGTCAGGAGGAACTCTGGGTATTTCATTCTAACTACGAAACCTGTTTTTTCATGTACTTGTGAAGTCACTAAAGGGCACGTTTCATGTTTGCATGCCCTGTGTACTGGTGTCACCTCTCTGTGAGTGCTTCACTGATTCTCAGTTATTGTTGAATTTATATAATGAAATCAACACAGTTAACATGAATATGCGTAAATATTCATGTCTTTCTTTAGGTGAATTTACACTTCTTTCATAACAAATAGGGCATTAAATGTTTAAGAACAGGTCTAAATGCTCTAACTCAATTCCAAAACAGAAGTATGGAAATTGACTCTTGAAAAGCCACATAAACAAGAGGTAACCTGACAGAACATTGAACTCGATCATTTTGCTGAAAATTTAACATATACAGCATACTACAGTTTTCCAAATTAACAATGCCAAGTAAGTCAACATACATTTTAAGATACATACTAATTTACATACTTGCAATTTAAAAAACAACAACATCTATATACCAACCATCATTATCATGATTATCATGCTGACACTATTTTGAAATTTAATTATTATTATATATTCCAAGTCTTAACATTTGCGATCACTGTGTGTACATCTGTAGAAAAGTCATTATAACTATAATGTTCAACTTTCCAAAGTATTAAGTGGTGTATATATTCTAGTTGCCATGCATACCTCAACAATCAACAACACAAAACAATGGGTAAGAATCTTCATGATGATGTTGATAAGTTTGTGGCCTGCTGTATCCTGCACAGCCAAGTCTGTCTCCATGTTCAGGCAACAGGCATGTGTGAACACAGTGATCGCTAAACAAAGACAAGGAATGATAGTGTTATCTGTCATGTCTGTGTGAGGGCGCTCATCGTCAGCTTATCAGCTGGAGAGTGCAACACGTGGCCCAGATGACTGTGTTGACAGCTTCGTAAAGTGCAGATAAGTTGTAAACTGACTACATGGTCTGTTGTCCAAGGTGTACATGTCCCCTGGGGAGATTCTGTGTAGAATAAACATGATTAACATGATAAAGGCAGGGGATCATAACCATGATGACTAATAATCTCAAGCATGAGTAACTATGATCTTTAATATTGGACTGGTGTGAGTGATAGTGTTTGCTTGTGGTATTGGTAGGTTCTATAAGGTCACCAACATGCTTCAACATTCAGTTTCCCGTTTGTCTGAAAAAATGCACTGACTCAACCTTTGGTGCATGCCTGGGTGCATGGTTTGCTGTAGACTAAACCCAGATGGTGTGCTATAGACTGTACCCAGATGGTGGGCTATAGACTGTACCCAGATGGTGTGCTATAGACTGTACTAAGATGGTTCTATAGACTGTACCAAGATGGTGTCATATACACTGTACTAAGATGGTTCTATAGACTGTACCAAGATGGTGTCATATACACTGTACTAAGATGGTTCTATAGACTGTACCCAGATGGTGTCATATACACTGTACTAAGATGGTTCTATAGACTGTAACCAGATGGTTCTATAGACTGTAACCAGATGGTTCTATAGACTGTACCCAGATGGTGTCATATACACTGTACTAAGATGGTTCTATAGACTGTACCCAGATGGTTCTATAGACTCTTCCCAGATGGTTCTACAGACTGTTCCCAGATGGTGTCACATAGACTACCCAGATGGTTCTATAGACTGTAACCAGATGGTTCTATAGACTGTAACCAGATGGTTCTATAGACTGTACCCAGATGGTTCTATAGACTGTACCCAGATGGTGTCATATACACTGTACCCAGATGTTGTGCTACAGACTGTTCCCAGATGGTGTCACATAGACTACCCAGATGGTGTCACATAGACTACCCAGATGGTTCTATAGACTGTAACCAGATGGTTCTACAGACTGTTCCCAGATGGTGTCACATAGACTACCCAGATGGTTCTATAGACTGTAACCAGATGGTTCTACAGACTGTTCCCAGATGGTGTCACATAGACTACCCAGATGGTTCTATAGACTGTACCCAGATGGTTCTATAGACTGTACCCAGATGGTGTCATATAGACTGACGACACACTGAACTAGGTGGCTCACTGGGAAACAATCGAACTAAGAGGCCTTTAAAATCTGTTATTTTTCATGCATTATAAATATTCATAGGAACTAATTTATTGTTGATGTAGACAATTGTATATATATTGAGACTATGTAGGTGGTGTTGTATGTGAAATAAGTACTGTTACTGGTTCTGTTTCCATGATTGCCTTGGGACGATGAAAGCAGTCCTTCCAGACGGTAGTTGTGACCACTTGATAAGTACTATCTTTTATCTGTGGCATGAATATGACGGTAGTGTGTGACATGTCAGAGTTATCTGCCAGTCAGGTGGCCGTGATGGCTCTCAGAGTATGGAGGGGACAGACTGGCCGACACCAGGACATACCGTCCCTGGACAGAGATACCGCTCAGTGGGGAAGAAGGAAAAACTGCACTTATCTGACCACACTGAAATGTTAATGAACTGTCCTCATGAACTGTCCTCATGAACTATCCTTATGAACTATCCTCATGAACTGTCCTCGTGAACTGTCCTCATGAACTGTCCTCATGAACTATCCTTATGAACTATCCTCATGAACTGTCCTACACCTCAAGTACTGCAACAATGATCTGCCATTCACCAAGTGGTGACAAACGGGGGCAGCTCTTTGCCTTCCGTCATTTCTAACAATATTCATTTCCTGACTAGTTTCTTTTCCACCGTTTCAGTAGTTGTTCTTTTTGTTTTTTTGTTGTTTTGTTGTTTTTTGTCTTTGTTTTTAGGGGGGGAAAGGAATGGATATTTAAAGAAGCAGTAGAAATTAGTAAAAGTCCTATAGTCTTTACCAATAGTTTAAGTATCCTAATGACTAGAAAAAAATTACCATTTTTTTAGGGTTTTACTGTATGTTTTAAGGACTAGTGGACTAAAACTGTTCGCTGGGAAGGTAGCTCTTACAGTCCAGTGTAGGTGTCACTTGTGAATAGGTTCTAATAAAAGGCAACAGCCACACCAGTCATGTTGAAAAACCTTGGACCAGCCATTTCTTTTAATAAATGTAATGAAATTTGGTACTGTGCAGTTAGCTATGGGGAACAACATTTTGGTTCTGTTTTTTACAATACGTGTTCTGCTTAACAGAAGTGTTCAGTTGTCACGGAAACGTGTGATGTTTTCCATATCATGACGTTATTGCATTCCAAGGTGACGACATAGTGTTTCAGAGTGACATCATGTCTGTCTCATGGCTTTGGGGTAGCCTTGTGGTTAAAGCGTTCATCGTCATGCCAAAGACCCAGGTTCGATTCCCCAAATGGTTACAATGTGAAGCCCATATCTGTCACTCACTCACTCACGCACTCACTCACTCACTCACTCACTCGTACTGTCTCTAAACAGTGATTGTTCTAGCAGGGATAGAGTGCAACAGTAAATTACATATTATGAACTCTCACTTTTATTTATTAAATTGTTGATGAACATGATCATTTTCAGACTTCTGGATGGTATGGAGTATTTAGTAGCTGGAAATTTTAAAACTTCATAATGTCTAAATTGTACATTGTATTCCAGGATAGGTCTGTTTGTTGGTGAACATCCATGGATTACCATTGTCTTCTGTCTCACAACGTGTGGCCTGTGTGGTCTCGGCCTGAAGACATTCAAACAAACAGAGGAACAAGTTGCATTGTGGGTACCTCAGAGTTCGCGTATTGTCAACGAGAAGAAATGGGTGGACAGACACTTCCCGTCTGAAACGCGCTATGTGACGATGATCGTCACGGGAAGGGATGTTCTCACTCAGCCATTCCTCAATTCAGTAAGTAGCTGGTCATGGATGCTCTAGATATGGGAGATACGACTTCCTGATACACATTAGGGAGCAACCATTATGCCAGCATGAACAGGTTGAACAGAAGGAAACAGTTGTTCTTGGTTGGGTTTGGTATAGCTCATCCAAATACACTCGATTGATATGGAAGTGCTCGCCCAAACACACCCGTTGCGCAGGTTCTTTTTTGGGTAAATCTCGTGCGTGTCATGTTGATGTGACAGACCACTACGTTCAACGGAGTAACATGTTTGAGTTGACATTATTTGTGGGATGAAGACGTCCTCAGAGCTCCAGTCAGGAGATTGCATTTGCTAATATTAGAATGAACTTCCATTATCCACTTTATAACAGAAAGTGGTTAATTATTTACTTTCGTTGAATATATAGAAACATTTCATTTTGGGGGGATTTGGTCAGTGTGGCAATGAAAGTTTGTGTTTCTGTCTTTAGTTTAATTAAAATGCCCGACATGATATGTTTGACTTGTTGTTTACTTAACGGGGAATAAAAAGTGCCTCATTCTCATATGGTAGCAGAGCTTGGTTTCAAAAGGTAAGTCAAATTAATTATGTCTTATATGCAGGAGGGAGGCTCTGTAAAGAGCAATGAGTCTCTGGCCCAAGAAACAGAAGGGTCTCTGTTAAAACTGGAGAACATTTTGAAACTAAAACAACAAAAAGCAAATGTTAAATCAACCTTTACAAAAGCCAAAAACAAGCTGTACAGCTTACTAGAATCTTCTGACCAACCATCTTGAATAGACATACGAGATGGTATAGATAAAGTAAATGAAAGTCTGGTGAAAGCAATCGATGTCATGACACAACTCACTCTGGCGTTTGCAAAGAATCAGCAAGGTGAAAATGTCGCTAAAACTGAACGAGAGATCAGTCATCTTGAGGATGAAACTAATGCTGTAGTTGAACAGGCACAATTTCAGTTAGATAATAGGTGACTTCCGTGTCAAGTAGGGGACGCAATAGATTGTATAGTCCTGAACAACAGGCTGCGGAAGTGAGTCATGTATTCAGAAAGACATTGGGCATGATGTTCATAGCATACCATTTCTGTCTTTAGTCTAATTAAAATGTCCGACATTATATATTTGACTTGTTGTTTACTTAATGGGGAATAAAAAGTGCCTCATTCCCACAGGTGCTCCATTACTGTATTTTTAAATACAGTAAACTATGTTTTTCACCAACAAGCTTATAACGAACTGGAGGATATAACAAACTGTTTTTTTGCTTTGTATATATGTTGAATATACGCTTATAACGAACAACGGTTATACTGAACTGAAATTAGTGATCCCTTTGAGTTCATTATAACCGTAGTTTACTATAGTTACAAATAATGAATTGCATTCTTTGGACACTAGTCTGCAAGAAAAGGCACATTATATTATTTCAGATGTGTGTCTTCTGTTGCCAGGCAACCATACAACAGTAATGCTGCAATTATGTTGCCACATTGTAATGTAGCAAATTATAGACAGTTTTGATTACTTACATATCGAGAAACAATTAGTAAATCCTAAACAACAAGAATGGGGCATAAGACTTTTTTTTCAATTTACCATTTTAAATCAGTATATGAGGTCAGCATATTTTGCTTGAAAGTATATCAAATTCATCATTAATGTGTTAAGGAAACCAATTCTGTGAGATTCTCCAATTATCAGCCCAGCTTTGTTCATGTTGTTTTATCTTCAGTAATAGACTTTGATAAATTGTTTTGATTTATGGAGGTGTAGACGTAAAAATAGGTGTGGATTTGTGCAAAGTGTGCACATGAGCCTTTGCTTTCATAACTCCATAAACATGATAAACATGATAAATGCAAAAATAACTGAAACAATTTTTATGAATAAATATGTCAACAATAAAAACTTTATTGATGCCTTAGTTTATTTTTAACTAGGGGTGGCTAAAAAGATTGACAATAGGATATTTCACTGATGTGAAGAAATATTAACAATTATCGATATGAAAATTGTGTGATCTGTGATATCTTAAATAAACTAATGTGATGAAATAAAGTTCTAATTTACCAAAGCAGACCTGTTTTTGTCTATTGCCAAAGACAGATTTAGTCCACAAAGTAATCCATGCATAATGTGTCACCTCTTACCAGTGATGCGAAATATGTTGTTTTTTTGGCTCTGAGCTTTTTTTATTTGCTCAAAGTTACTTTTCCGATATTTATCAATAATTGACAGATATTGAGTTGGCGATTAACGATCTCGAAGATCTATATCGATAGCCAGCCCTATTTTTAATACAACAAAACAGCAGACAATGATGCGGAACCAGTGACGTGGTTCAGCACCACGATGCAACTCAAGCCTGCCATTTCCAGTATCAGCCAGTCAGGAAACAGTAGTCCATTAGCAGGATTAGTGGGCGTGGGATAATGTTTTTCAGTTCATGGAAACAAATGAAAATAATTATCCTTGGTTAACCAAACAAATGCCATGGAATCACTTGCAATTTATTTATCATCACATGAATATGCTTTTGCCTTTTTAGATATATAGTCCTGATAATGAATTGACTTAATTTTCATTTCAGTTGCTTGATTTCTACACGAAGTGTAACAACATCAGTGTTGGAGGGAGGCAGTACCCAGACATCTGCTACAGGTGTGTCTTCTTACTCAACTCTCATTTTATTGTTTGCAGATTTTTGCTGACAAATAAAAATAAAAATAAGTTGTGAAGCGCAATATTTTGGTTGTTGGATTTTACATGCTTAATTGATATCAAGTGTTGCCAATAATGGACATTTCAGTGTTCGGACAGCTACTGGGTACCACTGCCGTGTGACAAGTTTATTAGAACTTTGGTCTTACAATGAAACTGTCATCCGTTCTCTGACCCGGGGCAAGATCCTGCAGGCGGTTAATACCATCAAGAAGAGGTACATTTTCTTTCCCTTGATGTCTACAATCTTTGAGTTATGGCCAAAAAACATGGTTACCATAATTCTTAGAAAAGATTTTGAAAGAATATTTATTCAAGTCAACTGGTCATAAGTTTCAAATTATTTTGTCCTTGTTCATTGTCTGTCTTTCTATAAAACAGTCCATGTCACTTTTCTAGCAAGCACCCGTTTTGCCCCCATTATGTTTCTAGGTTTGTCAGCACCATACCCGTGCTTGTGGGTTTCACGAAAGTGGTAAACGTTTGAGACCTGCATCACTTTGGGCTTTCCCCCAACATTAAGTTGATATGACGTGATATATGATGTGATACTGTCCAAAGCGGCGTTAAACTCAGCTCTCTCACTCACTCTTGCAAGCATTATTTGTCAAAAAGTTTTTCATTCTTGTATGCTTGGTAGTTAGTGAATATAAATCTTTGCAATAAAATTGGTGATTGGAAAAAGACACCTTTGGGTCGGTTACTCAAATCTGCTCTTATGATTTTACATTTGCAGCAATAGTGAGGATTGAGAACCATATTGTATACATTTACAGCAATAGTGAGGATTGAGAACCATATTGTATACATTTACAGCAATAGTGAGGATTGAGAACCATATTGTATACATTTACAGCAATAGTGACGATTGAGAACCATATTGTATACATTTACAGCAATAGTGAGGATTGAAACCATATTGTATATATTTACAGCAATAGTGAGGATTGAAACCATATTGTATACATTTACAGCAATAGTGAGGATTGAGAACCATATTGTATACATTTACAGCAATAGTGAGGATTGAAACCATATTGTATACATTTACAGCAATAGTGAGGATTGAGAACCATATTGTGTATATTTACAGCAATAGTGAGGATTGAGACCATATTGTATACATTTACAGCAATAGTGAGGATTGAGACCATATTGTATACATTTACAGCAATAGTGAGGATTGAGAACCATATTGTGTATATTTACAGCAATAGTGAGGATTGAGAACCATATTGTATACATTTACAGCAATAGTGAGGATTGAAACCATATTGTATACATTTACAGCAATAGTGAGGATTGAGAACCATATTGTGTATATTTACAGCAATAGTGAGGATTGAGACCATATTGTATACATTTACAGCAATAGTGAGGATTGAGACCATATTGTATACATTTACAGCAATAGTGAGGATTGAGAACCATATTGTATACATTTACAGCAATAGTGAGGATTGAGAACCATATTGTATACATTTACAGCAATAGTGAGGATTGAGAACCATATTGTATACATTTACAGCAATAGTGAGGATTGAGAACCATATTGTATACATTTACAGCAATAGTGAGGATTGAGAACCATATTGTGTATATTTACAGCAATAGTGAGGATTGAAACCATATTGTATACATTTACAGCAATAGTGAGGATTGAGACCATATTGTGTATATTTACAGCAATAGTGAGGATTGAGAACCATATTGTATACATTTACAGCAATAGTGAGGATTGAGAACCATATTGTATACATTTACAGCAATAGTGAGGATTGAGAACCATATTGTATACATTTACAGCAATAGTGAGGATTGAAACCATATTGTATACATTTACAGCAATAGTGAGGATTGAGAACCATATTGTATACATTTACAGCAATAGTGAGGATTGAAACCATATTGTATACATTTACAGCAATAGTGAGGATTGAGAACCATATTGTATACATTTACAGCAATAGTGAGGATTGAGAACCATATTGTATACATTTACAGCAATAGTGAGGATTGAGAACCATATTGTGTATATTTACAGCAATAGTGAGGATTGAGACCATATTGTATACATTTACAGCATTAGTGAGGATTGAGAACCATATTGTATACATTTACAGCAATAGTGAGGATTGAGAACCATATTGTATACATTTACAGCAATAGTGAGGATTGAGAACCATATTGTATACATTTACAGCAATAGTGATGATTGCGAACCATATTGTATACATTTACAGCAATAGTGATGATTGCGAACCATATTGTATACATTTACAGCAATAGTGAGGATTGAGAACCATATTGTATACATTTACAGCAATAGTGATGATTGCGAACCATATTGTATACATTTACAGCAATAGTGATGATTGCGAACCATATTGTATACATTTACAGCAATAGTGAGGATTGAGAACCATATTGTATACATTTACAGCAATAGTGATGATTGAGAACCATATTGTATACATTTACAGCAATAGTGAGGATTGAGAACCATATTGTATACATTTACAGCAATAGTGATGATTGCGAACCATATTGTGTATATTTACAGCAATAGTGAGGATTGAGAACCATATTGTATACATTTACAGCAATAGTGAGGATTGAGAACCATATTGTATACATTTACAGCAATAGTGAGGATTGAGAACCATATTGTATACATTTACAGCAATAGTGAGGATTGAGAACCATATTGTATACATTTACAGCAATAGTGATGATTGCGAACCATATTGTGTATATTTACAGCAATAGTGAGGATTGAGAACCATATTGTATACATTTACAGCAATAGTGAGGATTGAGACCATATTGTATACATTTACAGCAATAGTGAGGATTGAGACCATATTGTATACATTTACAGCAATAGTGAGGATTGAGAACCATACTGTTTCTATTGACAGCAATAGTGACAATTGAGAACCATACTGTTTCTATTGACAGCAATAGTGATGATTGAGAACCATACTGTTTCTATTGACAGCAATAGTGAGGATTGAGAACCATATTGTTTCTATTGACAGCAATAGTGACAATTGAGAACCATACTGTTTCTATTGACAGCAGTAGTGATGATTGTGAATCATATTGTTTCTATTGACTGCAATAGTGATGATTGCGAACCATATTGTTTCTATTGACTGCAATAGTGATGATTGAGAACCATTCTGTGTTTTATTTACAGCCCTGTGTATGGCACAGATTTCGATGTGTCCAACATGATTGGGGGAACAGTACATCGAGGACAGGGAGGGGACATCGAGGATGCCACGGCCACACAGATCACCTGGGTCATCAGGAAGGATGACGAGGTAAATGTCGGGGAAGGGAGTCAACCTGGGTGGGGTGGGCAGTGGACATATTGGGGGGAGATCAACCCAGGTGTGGCTGGGAGTGGAAGTATCGGGGGGAGATCAACCTGGGTGTGGCAGGGAGTGGAAGTATTTGGGGGAGATCAACCTGGGTGTGGCAGGGAGTGGAAGTATCGGGGGGAGATCAACCTGGGTGTGGCAGGGAGTGAAAGTATCGGGGGGAGATCAACCTGGGTATGGCAGGGAGTGGAAGTATTGGGGGGAGATCAACCTGGGTGTGGCAGGGAGTGAAAGTATTGGGGGAGATCAACCTGGGTACGGCAGGGAGTGAAAGTATCGGGGGGAGATCAACCTGGGTATGGCAGGGAGTGGAAGTATTGGAGGGAGATCAACCTGGGTGTGGCAGGGAGTGAAAGTATTGGGGGAGATCAACCTGGGTGTGGCAGGGAGTGGAAGTATTGGAGGGAGATCAACCTGGGTATGGCAGGGAGTGGAAGTATTGAGGGGAGATCAACCTGGGTGTGGCAGGGAGTGAAAGTATCGGGGGGAGGTCAACCTGGGTATGGCAGGGAGTGGAAGTATTGGGGGGAGATCAACCTGGGTGTGGCAGGGAGTGGAAGTATTGGGGGGAGATCAACCTGGGTATGGCAGGGAGTGAAAGTATTGGGGGAGATCAACCTGGGTATGGCAGGGAGTGGAAGTATTGGGGGGAGATCAACCTGGGTGTGGCAGGGAGTGGAAGTATCGGGGGAGATCAACCTGGGTGTGGCAGGGAGTGGAAGTATTGAGGGAGATCAACCTGGGTGGGGGCAGCAGGGAGTGGAACTATTGGGGGGAGATCAACCTGGGTGTGGCAGGGAGTGGAAGTATTGGGGGGAGATCAACCTGGGTGTGGCAGGGAGTGGAAGTATCGGGGGAGATCAACCTGGGTGGGGGCAGCAGGGAGTGGAACTATTGGGGGGAGATCAACCTGGGTGGGGGCAGGCGCAGTCTGAATGTGTGAGGTATCTGTACTGTGACACTGTGTTACAGATTCTAGAGGCAGTGAAGGCGTGGGAGCTGGAGGTGATCAACCTGGCCCGCCAGGGCATTGTGCAGACCCTGGAGGTGTACGTGTACGCCTCTCGCAGGTAAGATAATACTTGCAGGTGAAACTACAGACTGAATGTATTTCTTATCTTGCATGTCTAATTTGTTCATCGTTATTGCAACTGAATTGATCAATATGAACTATATGGTACTTGGTAGCATCTTGTCCAAATGTCAGCATGTACAGTGAATGGAAGGGTAGCATCTGCAACCATATCTGTTGTAGTTTTGACGATGAAGGTTACGGCGCCATTAACAAGGACACAAATCTTCTGTCTGCGGGATTCAGCATCGTGTTCGTGTTCGTCATGCTGTCTCTTGGGAAGTTCAACATGGTGGAGCAAAGGGTTCGTTACTTCACGTATCAGAGCATCTTCCCGAGGCAAGGAAGTTAACGGAACATAGAAATCCAGTTTCCACTCTTGCCGAACTAGGCTTGAATTTCCTGGCTCGATTGTAGCGCCACCAGTGGCTGTTATGAGTTACATATCTTCTATGTCCCTCCTACTGACCAATCAGATTCCACCTTTCATATCATTTGCTTCAAACAAAATGGAGGCTTCCTGTCAAGATGATCTGATCGATAAATTTTTCTTTTGTAATAATACAGACCTTACCTCGTGAAGTGCATCAAATCACATGAGCACCTTGATAAGAATCATGAAAAGATTTGGAAAATAGCTGTTGACGTCCAGTTGACTGTACAGATGCTTTGCAAATTCTTCAGTTGACCGACATCTGCATGTGGAAATCCATGTTGTTTACAAACTGGATGTCTAGTTCGTAACACAATTTTGATTCGACTATGCAGAGACTCGTTAGTTCAGCAAAAATGTCACTCCGAAATCCCAGCCCTGTTCGGCAAGGGGGGAATTTGGACTTCTTAGTCAGGTAACTCCCTTGCCTCAGAAAGATGGTATCAGAGTTGTTTGCGTAGGATCGCACAGAATGCCCAGTTGTTCTGGGTGTACTGTGTAGTGTTACATACCTTTGTCTTGCCAGAAACCTATCATGCTGGGTCCAATCCCTGAAGAGAATTGACAGAGATCTGACAGATTATTATCTTTATTTCAATGGTATCATTTTGGGCTAATTTTCAATTAAAGTTGATTTGTTGATGTGTACTACTCAAAAGAAGTTAAAGAACACCTGATTCTTACATATTACTGTAATTGATCTGTCACGCCATTGTTTCAGATATACCTCTCCCTCATTGGTTTGTTCAGTGTTGGCTTAGCAATACTATTTGCCTATGGACTAGCCACAGCCTTTGATGTTATATACGGCCCCATACAGTCTATTATGCCATTTCTTCTGCTAGGTAAGTTTTTTTTTAGTCACAGATTTATTGGGATAGAAAGATACAGTTGTGAAAACAAAGCATTGGGCATGGCTGAGCCAAATTATTATCTCAATTGTTTCTTTTTAAATCGATACTGTTATGAGTCCTCGTATGTCATAACCGCCTCTGTGATGTCGTGGGTAGAGCGTCTGCTTGAAGAGTGGAAGGTGGGTGGTTTGATCCCCAGCTGCATCGAACCCTCAGATGTTGAAACATTGTACTTGTTGTGTACCCTTGTGCTCGGGATTATAGGGTTAAAACAAGGAATGGTTGGCTTGGAGTCGGTACACTGAGTCTGAGTGGGGTATCCATGTCGCTATGTAAGTTAAGGCACATTTCACCCACCCCTCAGAAGTCTCAGAACACAGTCCTATACCTGACCTCCATGACATCACCAGGTACTGACAAACAAACATCCAACTGGTTGTGGGGGCTAGTTACCTTTCACTGTCCGGACCTAAGCAAGATCACTGGTGTCATTGCAGTAGTACAAACTGAAAGCTGAAATTCGCAATACTGTTTACAAGTGCAACAGGAGTGCTACTAAACTGTTTTTCTTCTATATACATGTACTACACTGTTTTGATATAGAGGTTATCACGCGAGTGTGCTTGGGGATGGTAAATGTCCTGCATTAGGAATAAACATTGTATTTAGCGAGCCTTGGCGAGCTAAATACATAGTGTTTATTCCTAATACAGGATATTTACCATCCCCAAACACACAAGCCGAGAAACCTACCCATTATATGATAAAAGTACATATTAGACAAAACCTCACTTTTGAAGATCCGGGGTTGAATAGGTTTTCAGCAACCCATGCTTGCTGTGAAAGGCGACTATGCTTGTCGTAAGACGCAACTAAAAGGATCGGGTGGTCAGGCTTGCTGACTTGGCTGATGCATGTCATTGAATCCCAATTGAGTAGATTGATGATGTCATGATGTCAATCAATGGATTGTCTGGTCCAGATTCGATTATTTACATTACCGACCGCCGTCATATACCTGGATTATTGCTGAGTGCTGCGTTAAACAACAAGCAAACAAACAAGACAAAACCTTGTAACCGTGATTACATAGCTGATAGGGGGAAAATAACGAATATTTTAGCACATCCTTTGTTTAAAATTGAATGTTGGAACTTTAGCGTTAAAACCAATTTATTGATAGTGGGATAGGGGTTTCGGAAAATAGATGCCCCCCCCTCACTGGTCACGGGAGGGATAGCAGGCAGCCAGCCAGCTCTATTTCAAATGCTGTATATTGCATATGTGTAATTTTAATACATTAAAGGGGTAATGTGAACAGTCCCACATCCCAGAGTTGTGTGTACATGCAGTTCGAGCGTCACTCCTGTGTATAAGTGTGAAACACGCTCACCACAGACTCACAGTCAATCTATATTCCTAATATGATATTTATGACACAAACGTGATCAGCTTATGGTCTCTGTGTATGAAGAATGTTGGTATGATGTCCTCAGGTATCGGTGTGGACGACATGTTTGTCATCGTGGAGGCTTGGAAGAATCTCACCTTGGAGGAGCAGTTGCTTCCCTTGCCACAGAGAGTCGCGGTGATGATGAAACACGCTGGCGTGTCGGTCACCGTCACATCAATCACAGACATCGTAGCATTTGGAATAGGTGCATCAACTGTAAGTTGGCATCATCCCACTGATAGGTACAGAGGGTGCCTGTTCGCACAAACGCCATATAATAAAGACGCATATGACAGAAACACAACTTCTGAAAAATCTTTCATTGACAAAGACAAGTTTTTGTTTCAATTGTACAGTAAATATATAACAATTTTATTCAAGAGCAAAGTAAAATCATTTTTAATACTCTTTATGCAAATCAACTCTTCAACCGTATGGTAACGCGGTGCATTTTGCTGTTTAATGAGTTTTGAAAATTTGGGATTTCAGGAAAATATTGTTCCAGGAAGAGAAATATTGTTGCTTTAGGTTTTGACCCCAAAATAATTCTTCACTGGATTTCCTGCACAAATGTAGTGTTGTGAGGCCACAGCATATGGGGCTTCTCGTCTGGAGGTAGCTAATGTTGTGTGTTATTGAAGGAAAGAACTTGAAGCAATGACAAGAATATACTGGATGTATCTGAGTGGTCAGTCTGACGTCTGGTGTATTTGTCTACAGGTCATCCCAGCTGTCAGTGCCTTCTGTGTCTATGCAGCCTTGGGCATCTTGGCTCTGTACATCAGGGTGTCTTCATTCTTATCACAATATGCTGCATGGGATTTCCATGCTAACTTTATGCGCTAATCCTGCACGAGCCAAATGGTGCATCTCAAGTCATGGATCTATGACGTCATTCTTATTCGTGTATTTGTCTACAGGTCATCCCAGCTCTCAGTGCCTTCTGTATCTATGCAGCCTTGGGCATCCTGGCTCTGTACGTCCTGCAGTCGACGTTTTTTGTTGCGTGTTTATCACTGGACCAGAAGCGCAGAGAATCACATCGGAACGCCTGCATCTGCTGCTACAAACACAAGGACTACCAACCCAACGCCTGCAGCCAGAGATCCTTCATGCCCAAGTTCATGGAGAAGTACTACGGCAGAGCTCTGATGAAACTACCTGTAAAAGTGAGGATATACTCACCTTTGTTATCAAATACTGATTTTACCATGACTCTGATGGATGATATAATTTAGTTTGTTAATTTTACAAAATTTGAAGTCGTTCATGACCACACTTCTTACCACATCACTGCACTGAATATGTGTGAAGGAGAAAGAATCTGGTTAAAATCTGAGACAAACCTGTTTTGTGTTTAAATTTTGAGGTTCTTAAACACCGCTAAATGTTACCTTTAAGACCGAACAAGTTACTGTTTTTTTAATTAATGATGAACCAAAGTAGTTCAATCATTTGCTGCCACAAACATATTTACAGCAGAAGCATCAGGTCAAGCAGTGAACTGTGTTGTTTATTGGGAGCTTGCTATGTAGATGTCATTGTTTCACCTCGTGTACGGTGAATCTGATGTCACAATAAACTCACATTACATTTTTCACAATATTTTCATACTCTCATTCATTTCATGATTTACATTTTGTTTGTTTCTTTATTTAACTTCGCACTCAGCAATATTCCAGCTATATGATGGCGGTCTGTAAATAATCGAGTCTGGACCAGACAATCCAGTGATTGACATCATGAGCATCAATCCACACAATTGGCATACGATAACATGCATCAACCAAGTCAGCGAGCCTGACCGCCCGATCTCGTTAGTCCATCTAGAATATTCCTACGTGTGTTGTTAAACGACAAACAAACACACCCTATATCCCTCGGTTCCAGATACTAGTGATTGTGACGACGCTGGGCCTGCTTGGGGTGTTCATGTGGCGGTTCATCCTACTGAGGCAAGACTTCGACCTCGTCAACTACATTCCCAATGATTCCTACGCCTTTGCTTTTGTGAAGGCCAAAGAAAAATATTTCCCCGATGAAGGAATAGACACAGCTGTATACTTTGGTGAGTATATTGTATTAAAGATGGCCTGAGGTGATCCTTTCTGACCTTTAGTTGCCATGGTATTTCTATACATGTGAACAATGGGCACAGTAAGGCCATTGATTATTCAATTTTGTCCCTCCCACCCAACCATAATTTTCTTGATGATATGTTGCTATGGTGATGTTTTCTAGGAGGATTCAACTACTATGAACACTCTCAGTCTCTCGACGCTGCTTACAAGTTTGTGAGTGAGAGCCAGTACACCCAGAATGGCACCGTCACCAGCTGGTTCCAGGTCTTCCAGGATTGGAGGAGAAGGAATGGTGGGTACACAGGTCCATGTGTGTTTTTATGTTCAATTGGCATCTTCAAGTGGCTGTAGTTTCAATGAAGACAGGGTTGACATATGGATTTCAAGTTATTTGTTCTTTCAGTGTAATGTGTTTTTGGTACAAATGCTTGTTAATGAGTGGATACGAAACTTCCCCTTGAATACGAATCTGCCGTCGCTTGCAAATTTGGGAATGACTTTACAACGGCCATTTTGGTTTGCTTTTGTCTGGCAGTTAGAGACAATGTGCGAGTACATGGCCTGTGTTGCTGGTGTATAAAGAACCCATGTCTGTCTGTTTTAACAATGTTCATTCCATTGTCAAACAAGTCATCAAGTTAGGTAAAAGAATATAACAAGGCTGTTCCTGCATGCGACCACAAAACACTTCCTACCATTTATGCAGGTTACTTCCAGTCACAGAATGATGACAAGCCTCCTTCAGTCCCACAAGGATCCACTTGTCATGGGTTTGAATCCAAGACTATGATGGGCCCTGTTCACCTCCAACCTACATCTCATGGTTTATTCTCCCTGCAGTGTTTTATTGTTTTATCTCTATTGCTTCCTATTTCAACCCGACACATGACACTAAAATACTGTTCAAAGCCATGTTAAACTCAACATGCTCTATTACTGCGGTACCAGGTAGATTTATCTCCCTTGGTTACTCTCTGAGACTTGGCCAACATTGGACTTGTGCAGTGGACTGTGTAGACACACTTGCCGGCTACAATGAAAGGTTTGAATAAAGTGTAATGATTTGAAAAACAATGAAACATCAAAAGAAAAGTTCCCCAGCGCTCCACCTTGCTGCAATAGGTGACAAGTTCAGCTTGGATGCCTGCATTGTGTGCCCTGGCACATTGTGTATTCTCATGTCAGGTGCTCATGACATCAACCACAGATTTACATGTGCTTGGCTTGATTGCTTACAGACCATTGTGATATTAATCTGGAATACTGTGTACAGTCAGCAAAAACAACTTCATTGAGTCGCTGTGGTAACTTTTGTATACATTGGTTACCATTGACGTGGGAATAAGTTGGTCCCAATGGCCGCCATATATGAACAGTACTCAGATGGCTGACCACAGACCAGACCCCATCCTTCCAACTTCCCCCATCGTTAGAATCCGAGTAGAGAGTAGGTCTTCAGGAATCCATGCTTCTTGTAAGAGGCGACTAACGGGATTGGGTGGTCAGGCTCGCTCACTTGGTTGATGCATGTCATTGTATCCAAATTGTGTGGATTGATGCTCATGATGTCAATCACTGGATTGTCTGGTCCAGACTCGATTATTTACGGACCGCCATCATATAGCTGGAATATTGCTGAGTGCAAAGTTAAACAAAGAAACAAACAAAATGTAAATCATGAAATGAATGAGAGTATGAATGCGGTCTGCTTCGACCCGAACATCGGTGTGACATTGACTTTGTTTCAGATTAAAGTATTCAAATACTTTTTGGCTCTTTCAGTGTATTTAGAATATATCACATCTGACATTTGAGAAAGCTATGTCGTACTGTGACTTCCACATGTATGCATCAAAAGTAGAATTTGGACTCTAGGAGTACGTGGTATAATCCAAGTCCATGTTGGTGCCTATTTCAATGAGTTGATGGTCCATTCGAATGAGTTGATGGTCCATTTGAATGAGTTGATGGTCCATTTGAATGAGTTGATGGTCCATTTGAATGAGTTGATGACTATTTGAATGAGTTGATGGTCCATTTGAATGAGTTGATGGTCCATTTGAATGAGTTGATGACTATTTCAATGAATTGGTGACTATTTCAAGGAGGTTATGCCTAGTTCAGTGAATCTAATAAAGGTTCTTTAAAGTTGAATCTTATAACATCTTCAATATTTTCATGAATGATATGCATCTTTATTAAATATTATATCCATTTTGTATTTTATCAAATGTTTTATTGAATTTTATTAGAATTTGTGGAAGTAATTTGAAAGCCTATGGTGACATCTGTCCTTGTGTTATCCTAATATGGATGAAATATTAACGATGCAACATTAAATGTTAGCTGTGTGTTATTGTTTCAACCTGCTTTACAGATACTGACGGTACTACAACTAGTAAGTGAAATATGAGGTTGTTTATATTCCTAACCTTGCAACTAAATCTTTTCTGTCCTAATACTCTGTACTAACCTCCTGTCCTGCATGCCAGGTCTGCATGTCGGATCACAGACTTCCGTGCTGTGAGCACCATCATAGGATGTTGTTCAGTTTTACTGTTGTTTTCAGTCAGTGTTGAAATACTTTTAAGAGAATTGTAAAGACAGTGAAACCTCATTAACTTGAAATTCTTGAAATAAAAAATATATATACTGCTCTACATTTGACAGGGATAATGTTTATCATTCTGTGATACACAAACTGATTGGCATATGTCAAGTATGTATGTAATGAATGTGACATATCTGATTATCCCTGTCAAAAGTGAGTAGTTTGTCTGGCACGGCTGACCCAGTGGTACGAGGCACTCTCATTCTCTTAACATGCAGAATCGTGTCCCTTAGTTGTGCCAGGATCTGATGATCATGGGTTTGAATCTTATATTTGTCTTGATTATATTTTGAGCTGACCCGCCAGGGGTGAATCTGAAATCACTCATTCACTCGTCAAAAATATGTCAAGTTATCATTTGTTTGGGAGAAGTAGGGTGCTGCTTTAAGACGCTGGCGCTGATTAGGATTCTGACCGCTAGGACTTTAAGGCAACATCATCGTAAACAATATATCAGGTTAAAGAGGTTTCACTGCACTCTGATAAAATTCAAAATTATTTTGAAGTTATAAAATAGCTTAGTTCGAAATCTTCAAACAGCTCAAATCCAAAATGCTTTTTTAGCATCTGACATATCTACCTTTTTTTTAAAAAGTTTTCTCAGGGGGCAATGTTTTTTGTATGCATATTTGCTTAACAGATTATCAATAATCAACGTTTTCTACTTCTGGTTTCAAGTTCAATGTTTATTTGTTTGAATTATTTGTTGTTTGTTTCATATATTTTGCTTTGTCATGGTAGCAGGAAGGTCACTAGCAGCTAATAGATATCTTCTTTAGTTGCCTTGTGCTTGTCTTAATATTAGCCTTGCATAGTTTCAAGAAATATCTGGACTAACATTAAAGGTGCAACATCACATTTGCATGGCCTAATATTTTGGCTGATGTATTTTGGCAAAGTCACATTTCATGCTGCGTAAAGATGACATATTCTTATATGAATCTCCCTTTTCGGATTCCGGGTTGGAATAGGTCCCCTCTGGTTGGAATAGGTCCTCCATGGGATTCTGGGTTAGAATGGTTACTTGGATTAGAATAGGTCCTCCTAGGTTAGAATAGGTCCTCCTGGGTTGGAATAGGTCCTCTGGGTTAGAATAGGTCCTCCTGGGTTGGAATAGGTCCTCCTGGGTTGGAATAGGTCCTCTGGGTTAGAATAGGTCCTCCTGGGTTGGAATAGGTCCTCTGGGTTAGGATAGGTCCCCCATGGGATTCTGGGTTAGAATGGTTACTTGGATTAGAATAGGTCCTCCTGGGTTGGAATAGATCCTCCTGGGTTGGAATAGGTCCTCCTGAGTTGGAATAGGTCCTCCTGGGTTGGAATAGGTCCTCCTGGGTTGGAATAGGTCCTCCTGAGTTGGAATAGGTCCTCTGGGTTTGAATAGATCCTCCTGGGTCGGAATAGGTCCTCCTGGGTTGGAATAGGTCCTCCTGAGTTGGAATAGGTCCTCCTGGGTTGGAATAGGTCCTCCTGGGTTGGAATAGGTCCTCCTGAGTTGGAATAGGTCCTCTGGGTTTGAATAGATCCTCCTGGGTCGGAATAGGTCCTCCTGGGTTGGAATAGGTCCTCCTGGGTCTGAATAGGTCCTCTGGGTTAGAATAGGTCCTCCTGGGTTGGAATAGGTCCTCCTGGGTTGGAATAGGTCCTCCTGGGTTGGATGAGGTCCTCCTGGGTTGGAATAGATCCTCCTGGGTTGGAATAGGTCCTCCTGGGTTGGAATAGGTCCTCTGGGTTAGAATAGATCCTCCTGGGTTGGAATAGTTCCTCTGGGTTAGAATAGGTCCTCCTGGGTTGGAATAGGTCCTCCTGGGTTGGAATAGGTCCTCCTGGGTTGGATGAGGTCCTCCTGGGTTGGAATAGATCCTCCTGGGTTGATATAGGTCCTCCTGGGTTGGAATAGGTCCTCTGGGTTAGAATAGATCCTCCTGGGTTGGAATAGTTCCTCTGGGTTAGAATAGGTCCTCCTGGGTTTGGAATAGATCCTCCTTGGTTGGAATAGGTCCTCCTTGGTATGAATAGCTCCTCCTGGGTTAGAATAGGTCCTCTGGGTTGGAATAGGTCCTCCTGGGTTGGAATAGGTCCTCTGGGTTAGAATAGATCCTCCTGGGTTAGAATAGGTCCCCCGTGGGATTCTGGGTTAGAATAAGTCCCCTCCAGTTAGAAGAGGCCCCCCATGGAAGAGCCCCCCCCCCCCCCCCCCCCCTGCCCCAGAAAGGTGACTAAATGGATTGATTGGTCCGACTCAGTTACTCTGGTTGATAGCATGCCATTGTAGTCTGACAGCATGTAACATTGCATGTTATATCAATCACTTGGTCGTCTGGTCCTTACTCATTTGTTAACAGGTCAGCAATTTTTAGCTGGGATATAGCTGAGTGAGGCAGTAAACAACCAAAACAGCCAAAAAAAGATGAATCTAGTTTCACCCAATGAACATTTGGGATGACCCATATATTGACTCATATTTTCATACATGGAGGGATGTGTACATACTGTATGCCAGTAAGAGACTTTGATATTCGATTAGCTCATGGTATTTTATTTCTGGAAAATATCACTTGTTCCAGAAAAAAATCATATCCTCAGCTTTTATACCAAACAGGAATTGTTGGATAGACAAGCTTGATGTCCTGAAACGAAATGTGTTGTAAACATTTGTAAATTGTTCAGCTCTCGGTTCATAGAAAAATTTGAAACAGTAACAGAAGATATATCTGATCTCTTACAAACATTCCAGACTCCCCCAGAATATTGAGTGGCAGGTCACCATTTGTTTGCCCTTTAAAGTAAAGCTAAACAAACACCCCAAAATATCAACTGAATTTTCTCCAAGAATCAAACATCTAAAAATTATGGACAAAGATATTTTTGATTGCTGTGGTTCATTAAGTCTGATGGTCAGGTGGGTCCGATGGTTTGATTCCGTCTTCAACAGGATGTCTTGCAGAGTAATATTCAAAACTTGAAGTCCTCATACAAGCTGAAATTGAAAAAACTGTTTTGAACTTTTTTTGAAAACTGTTAAAGCTTGGAGTATGTTGATCACAATCTGATGTTGAGATGAAACAATATCCTTCATTTATGGAAACTCTCAGCGGAAAGACATCACAAAGAATTGTTTATAAAATGCAGACATTGCCACCAGTCTGCTTGCTCTCTGTAACAATCTTGTTCTAAATCCCCTGATTTAACTATTGACTCGTGCAGTGATGTTACAGGTATGGTCCCGACTTCTGAGGCCGAGTTCTACAACTTGATGTACACGTTCCTCACAGGCCCTGGCGTACAGCTGGCCAGATATGTCAAGATGAACTCCACGCTTCCACCAATAAGTATAGAGGTGAGCTGGACGGTGACTGATTTGTGTGTAGGACCCATAGCTCACAATACAATCACCTAATATAATATTCTGAGATATTTATGAAAGATTTTGAGAAGTTTGGGAGATAAAATGCAATTCAAAAGGTTGAGGACCCATACCGTCAATAAACAATTACTACTATTATTTTTTTTTTTAATTCCATATTTGAATACACTTTGCCATTTAGAAAGTGGTCAAATGTAACAAATGTTATATTTGGGATAACATTTCCTTAGTAAAGTACAAATTCAAGTACTTTTGGGGGTTAAGTCCCGTCCGGGATTCGAACCCACACTGCTAGAGTGAGGCACCAAATCGCCAATTGAGACACCAATTATCCCAGATCGTCCTAACTGCCTCAATTTGGGGTTGATAACTGTTTACCTGAATATCCCGCCGTCATATAGCCGGATTAGTGCTGAGTGCGGCGTTAAACAACAAACAAACAACAACATGAATATCATGTTCCAGGCTTCGTACATGACACTGCGGCACACTTTACAACCAGACTCATCAGATGAAATAGCAGCAATGGAAAATTTACGTTCCATCATCGACGACATCCGCTTCCCACAATACTCCGGTGCAGATCTGCCCAAATACCAGGCGTTTGCCTACTCTCGGAATTACCTGACATACGAGACTAACAAGGTTTGTGTCACTGTGTGTGAGTGAGTGAGTGAGTGAGTGAGTGAGTGAGTGGGTATTTCAGTTATTTCACGGTATGTCAGCTTGAAGTGGGAGGAAAAGCATGAAGCAATGAAGGTCGTAGATATTGACACCTTTGGTGAAACCTACGATCACTGATCATGATGCTGACCGACAAGGAATCTTAATCAAATCTTTGTCTTGAGCCTACAATCACAGCATTTTGGGCACTGTGTTTCATTGTGATCATGACAGAGCTATAAGTGTTTCATTGTAACAGAGGTTGAGGCATTCCATTGTGACAGAGCTGTGTTTTGTTGTGACAGAGCTGTGTTTTATTGTGACAGAGCTGTTAGTGTTTTATTTTGACAGAGCTGTAAGTGTTCCATTGTCATTGAGACGTAGCTGTTCCGTTGTGACAGAGCTGTAAGTGTTCCATTGCGACAAAGCTATGTTTTGTTGTGACAGAGCTGTGTTTTATTGTGAGAGAGCTGTTAGTGTTCCGTTGTGACATAGCTGTAGATGTTCCATTGCGACATAGCTGTAGCTGTTGTTGACATGTAGGTGCTGTTGTCGGAGCTGTACCGGAACCTGGGTCTGGCTGGCGGGTGTGTGCTGTTGGTGACGCTGCTGCTCATCGCAAACATCTGGACATCAGTGCTGGTCTTCACCTGCGTTGTTTTCACTCTGGTGAGTCAGGCAGTAACCTTCACTCTGGTGAGTCAGGAACTTGGTTTGCAAGCCAGGCAGTGACCTTCACTCTGGTGAGTCAGGCAGTGACCTTCACTCTGGTGAGTCAGGCAGTGACCTTCACTCTGGTGAGTCAGGGACTTGGTTTGCAAGCCAGGCAGTGACCTACACTCTGGTGAGTCAGGCAGTGACCTTCACTCTGGTGAGTCAGGCAGTGACCTTCACTCTGGTGAGTCAGGAACTTGGTTTGCAAGCCAGGCAGTGACCTTCACTCTGGTGAGTTAGGAACTTGGTTTGCAAGCCGGGCAGTGACCTTCACTCTGGTGAGTCAGGAACGTGGTTTGCAAGCCAGGCAGTGACCTTCACTCTGGTGAGTCAGGCAGTGACCTTCACTCTGGTGAGTCAGGCAGTAACCTTCACTCTGGTGAGTCAGGAACTTGGTTTGCAAGCCAGGCAGTGACCTACACTCTGGTGAGTCAGGCAGTGACCTTCACTCTGGTGAGTCAGGAACTTGGTATGCAAGCCAGGCAGTGACCTTCACTCTGATGAGTCAGGAACTTGGTTTGCAAGCCGGGCAGTGACCTTCACTCTGGTGAGTCAGGAACTTGGTTTGCAAGCCAGGCAGTGACCTTCACTCTGGAGAGTCAGGCAGTGACCTTCACTCTGGTGAGTCAGGCAGTGACCTTCACTCTGGTGAGTCAGGCAGTGACCTTCACTCTGGTGAGTCAGGAACTTGGTTTGCAAGTCAGGCAGTGACCTTCACTCTGGTGAGTCAGGCAGTGACCTTCACTCTGGTGAGTCAGGAACTTGGTTTGCAAGCCAGGCAGTGACCTACACTCTGGTGAGTCAGGCAGTAACCTTCACTCTGGTGAGTCAGGGACTTGGTTTGCAAGCCAGGCAGTGACCTACACTCTGGTGAGTCAGGCAGTGACCTTCACTCTGGTGAGTCAGGCAGTGACCTTCACTCTGGTGAGTCAGGAACTTGGTTTGCAAGCCAGGCAGTGACCTTCACTCTGGTGAGTTAGGAACTTGGTTTGCAAGCCAGGCAGTGACCTTCACTCTGGTGAGTCAGGAACGTGGTTTGCAAGCCGGGCAGTGACCTTCACTCTGGTGAGTCAGGCAGTGACCTTCACTCTGGTGAGTCAGGCAGTGACCTTCACTCTGGTGAGTCAGGAACTTGGTTTGCAAGCCAGGCAGTGACCTTCACTCTGGTGAGTCAGGAACTTGGTTTGCAAGCCGGGCAGTGACCTTCACTCTGGTGAGTCAGGAACTTGGTTTGCAAGCCAGGCAGTGACCTTCACTCTGGAGAGTCAGGCAGTGACCTTTACTCTGGTGAGTCAGGCAGTGACCTTCACTCTGGTGAGTCAGGCAGTGACCTTCACTCTGGTGAGTCAGGAACTTGGTTTGCAAGTCAGGCAGTGACCTTCACTCTGGTGAGTCAGGAACTTGGTTTGCAAGCCAGGCAGTGACCTACACTCTGGTGAGTCAGGCAGTAACCTTCACTCTGGTGAGTCAGGGACTTGGTTTGCAAGCCAGGCAGTGACCTACACTCTGGTGAGTCAGGCAGTGACCTTCACTCTGGTGAGTCAGGAACTTGGTTTGCAAGCCAGGCAGTGACCTTCACTCTGGTGAGTCAGGAACTTGGTTTGCAAGTCAGGCAGTGACCTTCACTCTGGTGAGTCAGGCAGTAACCTTCACTCTGGTGAGTCAGGAACTTGGTTTGCAAGTCAGGCAGTGACCTTCACTCTGGTGAGTCAGGCAGTGACCTTCACTCTGGTGAGTCAGGAACTTGGTTTGCAAGTCAGGCAGTGACCTTCACTCTGGTGAGTCAGGCAGTAACCTTCACTCTGGTGAGTCAGGAACTTGGTTTGCAAGTCAGGCAGTGACCTTCACTCTGGTGAGTCAGGCAGTGACCTTCACTCTGGTGAGTCAGGAACTTGGTTTGCAAGCCAGGCAGTGACCTTCACTCTGGTGAGTCAGGAACTTAGTTTGCAAGTCAGGCAGTGACCTTCACTCTGGTGAGTCAGGCAGTGACCTTCACTCTGGTGAGTCAGGCAGTAACCTTCACTCTGGTGAGTCAGGCAGTAACCTTCACTCTGGTGAGTCAGGAACATGGTTTGCAAGTCAGGCAGTGACCTTCACTCTGGTGAGTCAGGAACATGGTTTGCAAGTCAGGCAGTGACCTTCACTCTGGTGAGTCAGGAACTTGGTTTGCAAGTCAGGCAGTGACCTTCACTCTGGTGAGTCAGGCAGTAACCTTCACTCTGGTGAGTCAGGCAGTAACCTTCACTCTGGTGAGTCAGGAACATGGTTTGCAAGTCAGGCAGTGACCTTCACTCTGGTGAGTCAGGAACTTGGTTTGCAAGCCAGGCAGTGACCCTACTCTGGTGAGTCAGGCAGTGACCTTCACTCTGGTGAGTCAGGCAGTAACCTTCACTCTGGTGAGTCAGGAACTTGGTTTGCAAGCCAGGCAGTAACCTTCACTCTGGTGAGTCAGGCAGTGACCTTCACTCTGGTGAGTCAGGCAGTGACCTTCACTCTGGTGAGTCAGGAACTTGGTTTGCAAGCCAGGCAGTAACCTTCACTCTGGTGAGTCAGGCAGTAACCTTCACTCTGGTGAGTCGGGCATTGACCTTCACTCTGGTGAGTCAGGAACTTGGTTTGCAAGCCAGGCAGTGACCTTTACTCTGGTGAGTCAGGCAGTAACCTTCACTCTGGTGAGTCAGGCAGTGACCTTCACTCTGGTGAGTCAGGAACTTGGTTTGCAAGCCAGGCAGTGACCTTCACTCTGGTGAGTCAGGCAGTGACCTTCACTCTGGTGAGTCAGGCGGTAACCTTCACTCTGGTGAGTCAGGAACTTGGTTTGCAAGCCAGGCAGTGACCTTCACTCTGGTGAGTCAGGCAGTAACCTTCACTCTGGTGAGTCAGGCAGTGACCTTCACTCTGGTGAGTCAGGCAGTAACCTTCACTCTGGTGAGTCAGGAACTTGGTTTGCAAGCCAGGCAGTGACCTTCACTCTGGTGAGTCAGGAACTTGGTTTGCAAGTCAGGCAGTGACCTTCACTCTGGTGAGTCAGGCAGTGACCTTCACTCTGGTGAGTCAGGCAGTGACCTTCACTCTGGTGAGTCAGGCAGTAACCTTCACTCTGGTGAGTCAGGCAGTAACCTTCACTCTGGTGAGTCAGGAACATGGTTTGCAAGCCAGGCAGTGACCTTCACTCTGGTGAGTCAGGAACTTGGTTTGCAAGTCAGGCAGTAACCTTCACTCTGGTGAGTCAGGCAGTGACCTTCACTCTGGTGAGTCAGGAACTTGGTTTGCAAGTCAGGCAGTAACCTTCACTCTGGTGAGTCAGGAACTTGGTTTGCAAGCCAGGCAGTGACCTTCACTCTGGTGAGTCAGGCAGTAAACCTTCACTCTGGTGAGTCAGGAACTTGGTTTGCAAGCCAGGCAGTGACCTTCACTCTGGTGAGTCAGGAACTTGGTTTGCAAGCCAGGCAGTGACCTTCACTCTGGTGAGTCAGGAACTTGGTTTGCAAGCCAGGCAGTGACCCGATGTATTGGAGTGAAGCAAAGACATTCATCACTGTTAATAATATGTAAGGGGACCAAAACTACTTTATAATTTATGTATCAGTCACATGACCATCTTGGTTTTGTCTCCTGAAAAAAGAAGTCTTCTTACGGTTGTAACTTTGCTGACCAAACAAATTTAGTTATTTTCTGCATCTTTATGATATGGAGATTGATCTTTAAACACAGACACCTGAAACACAACTAATCCATGTAGCAATCCTTCTTAGTTCTGAGCCTTTTTTCATTATTCCATTCCTTTGCTTCAACTTGTTGGATAACAAAATTCAACCATTTTGAGTTCTTGCAGAGTTGTATGTTTTCACAAGAACATACTGGTGCAAATATTCCTTCATTGTTTTGGTGTTCAGGAAGTGTTCCAGAATGTTGCATACCATCGGAGTGCAGTGCTTGGCAATCTTTTCTCACAATTATGTGCCCCTTTTTTCTTGCTATTTTTGGCCTTGCAGGTTGTAAGATGGACTACAACGATATATTCCTTCCTACATTTTGCTGTTGTGGATGTTGCAGATTGATGTTGCTGGTGCATTGGAGCTGTGGGGTGTGACAATCGACACCGCCAGCAGCGTCCTCCTCATCCTCTCCGTTGGCATCGCCGTTGACTACTCAGCACATATAGGTCACACCTTCATGACGGTGCATGGAGACCGCAACTGTGAGTCACCACGGCAACAAGCAGTTAATATCTGGGTACCATTACTTCAGGGCAGTGCAATATATGTTAAATACCAACACCCTGACTCCAACATCTGTAGAACATTCAAAGTTACACAGACTAATGTTTGGTGAAATAGGTTTGTGGGACGTGAGGTCTGCATTGTGCTGCATCAGACATTCTCAGTATGGGAACTCAATTTTTAATTGTGATGCAACTAGCAAATGACATTAAACTTTAGATTACAAGTAAAAAATAACATTATGATATCGGTACACACAGCCGACTTGTATGGGTTTTTTGCAGACGGTGTCTGACCAAACTATATAATTTGATTTTTCTTCAAGCAGTGATAAAATATTTTCAGTCAGAATAGTGATATATCTTGATGCAGATCGGTCAATCCTGACACTGAAGACAATTGGTCCTGCAGTGTTCAATGGCGGCTTCAGTACCTTCCTGGCCTTCGTCCTCCTGGCTAACAGCTCCAGCTATGGATTTGCTCTCTTCTTCCGCGTAATGGCAGCTTCTCATCCACTCTATAGGTCTTCAGCAACCCATGCTTGCCGTAACAGGCGACTATGCTTGTCGTAAAAGGCGACTAACGGGATCGGGTGGTCAGGCTCGCTGACTTGGTTGTTGCATGTCATCGATCCCAAATGGGCGGATCGATGCTCATGATATTAATCACTGGATTGTCTGGTCCAGATTTGATTATTTACAGACCGCCGTCATATAGCTGGAATATTGCTGAGTGCGGCGTTAAACAACAAACCAACCAACCAACCAACCTTGCGGTCAACCTCATACCTGTTTTAGTAACTGATTGCATGTCATCTTACCGCGCTGGCGTGGATGATTGCTCAGTATATCAATCAATGGAATTTCCAGTCCACGTTGGGCTATTTCCAGTCTGCCGTCATATGGAATATTGCTGAGTGTGTGAACAATCAAACAAATAGAAAAGAATTTTACTAAGGGTTGGGGCTGAGATATTCTGGGAAAAGTTGCCGCAAAATATGCCGGGTTCACAATGTTTAGGGTGGCTATCAACAAAATATTGATGTGATTATTCGGGAAAAATTTCGTTTTAATTGCCACCATATAGATGGGATGTGCTGCATGTTGTAATCAACAACACACCAACAACAAAAAAAAAGTATTTATGATAACACAGACAGATCATACAGATTTCTACCAGGATAGGGGCGGTCGGGTAGCCTAGTGGTTAAAGCGTTCGCTCGTCACGCCGAGGACCCGGGTTCGATTCCTGACATGGGTACAATGTGTGAAGCCCATTTCTGGTGACTCCTGCCGTGATATTGCTGGAATATTGCTAAAAGCGGCGTAAAACCATACTCACTCACTCACCCATTCTGCCAGGATAATTGTGACATGATGTGTGTTTGACAGGTGTTCATGACAGTTGTGATATTTGGGCTGTTCCATGGATTGGTCTACCTCCCTGTCATCCTCAGCTGGGTGGGACCACAGCCTTATGAGTCCAGCTATAGGACAGAAGACTCGACCAATCACATCACAGTAGCACAGGGAGATAACCCCACCCCGGACTGTCCCAATGGTCATGTTCAGGTAGGAGATCGGTTCCATTTTACTGCAGAAGTAAATTGTCTTGTATTTTAATATTACTGATCATATTCTCATTTAAATCAGATTTTAATGCTCCCTACCTTTATAAAGATTAAACATTAAATGTAATATTCTTTCTAAAGCCTGTGGAAAGAACTGCCATACAATCTCAGCCATCTTTTAGACATGACAGAATTTTCTTGTTTTGTTTTAAACTTTGAATTGAGAGCTTTGTCAAATTATTTTTTTGAAACATAGTCTGGAATGAAAGTTGCCATTTTGAAACTAGTACTATATTTAGCCACTGTGGCTTTATAACCACGCACTGATGACAAGGAAGACCGCCTCCGTGGTCAATTGGTGCATGCACGTTGCTATATAAGTGCAATAATCTTGGACGCGATGTTAAACCCCATTTCAAGGAGGACATGGTGGCCTGGTCTTCTGTGGTGCCACAGTTCTCTGTGCAGAGTTGTGTCCCCTGGGCGTGCCTGAAACGTACATGTTGGTACAAATACCAGATTCAGCCTGATTGTGTTTCTAGGTTTGTCAGCTCGGTGCCGTGCTCCTTTGCTTCACCAACATGATAAATGTCAAAGACCTGTGTCAGTTCAGGTATCTCACATCAAGCTAACGATAACATGCTGTATCACTTGCTTGACAAAGGTGTTAGGATCTACACCGAAACATCGCACTCATTGTAATAAAGAAGTTGTTCATCCATAGAACTTGTCTTACTTCATCACACCAACTTCTAAATGCCACTGAAAGAAGTAACATGCTGTAATATAAGAAAAACACTGTTCAATGCGGCCTCCAGCTTACACTCTCACTCATGTGCCTCTCTTTGTAGCCTCTCCTTGATCCAGTGTAAGTTGTGTATGTCATGCCATAATACCCTCCACTCTCCTTCCTAGGCTTTAGACAGGAAAATGTAAAGTCCAACTGAAAGCTGATTTCGGATATTTTAACTTTCAATTTAACTCCCAACACTGAAAACATTTACATTGTCTTTTGATCTTAACATCAGCAGGGGTGAGAATCTTCCACAGATCAGCAAATTTCCACGAATTTTAGTGACCACAAATCTGTTAAAATCGGATGAACACCCCCAATTTGTGGACCACGCTCCATTGGAAATAAGTTTCAGCTGAAAAGGAAAATATCCAATTCTCAACCCTGCTTCACCCAATACTTCACCAGCTGAAGTATTACAAGTGGAATACTGGGGCATCGACCAGATGTACTCACTCGCTTCTTGCTTGTCTAACCTCTTTGGGAGCAGGTCAAAAATAGTTGGGGGTGCTGGGTTGTCAATTTTTCTGTTAGACACAGATCAATTTTTCTGGAATTTCAGTTCAAGTGAATAAATAACAGCTCTAATCATCTTAGTTTTCTGAGAGAATGAATACGATCCCCATGATGATCTGTAAACGTGCTGAGTGAAGGTGCAGTCAACACGACATCCTCAACTACACAAAAACTCTGCTGCACACCAATTTTAGGAATCATTGTACTGGATTTGTGTGATGACAGATTCTCTTTAGGGATGTCAACATTTTCAATTATGTTGGAATGGTCGTGTATGTCTCAAAACTTAAGAATCCATGTTTTTATCCAACATTGTACTTTTGAACTGCTCCCTAAGTTTTGCCTCCTGTCTCCTATTGCTTCCTGAAGGACATGAATTAGCAAGGTCATGCTCAAGGTCAGGATCATGCTTTATGTGCAGTGTGCATGCTTTGTGTGCAGTGTGCATGTTTCGGACAGTATGTCATGTCTGTCATGTTGGGGCATGCTCGCATGGAGAAACATATATTCATGGCTGCCAAGCTGTTTATGTATAATTTGAGCAAATCTACCTTTTTTAACAAAAAGTTGAGGATGAGAAACTAAAACCACAGTACAATTATCATTTTAAAAATTTCAGATTAAGGGTAGGTAACATTTTTAATGTGTTTTCTTCATGTGTATTCACAAGCTGATTTATCATTATTGAAGATGCAAATTTGAGAAAATGTACTATAATTATGGATTGTTCTTCTTCGATCCAAAAGAGCAGTATTGTGAAAGTAAAATATCAACAAGTTGTCAGCTTTATCTGGACCCCTCAGGTCCGAAATCTATATCTAAGTTAAAGGTGCATGGCTTGTTCGATTGGTTGAGATCCAGGTGATACCCAGTGTAGATTGCATCTATTAAGTAAGCAGTAATTGTCTTGTGGATACCGGTATTTGATAGTGGACAGACCATTGCTTTAATCATTTGGCAGGTGTTAGGTTTTAAAAATTAGAAAAGTTTGATGTCATATGGCTCTCTGACTTGGTTTATGCATGTCATCGTATCCCAATTGATCATAGCCCATGATATCAATCACTTGGTTGTCTGGTCCAGACTTGATTATTTACAGACCGCCATCATATAGCTGGAATATTGCTAAGTGCGGCATTAAACAACAAACAACCCCCCCACCCCCTCACACCCCAACCCCCAAATAACTTGTTGACAGGTATGATTAAAGGGCCAGACTTCATGCGAAGCTACTGATGTGTGCTTTTCCAAAAATAATCATTGAATATTTCTCATGGGTGAATTTAAAGATTTGATGCACAAGAGTCAAGAGCTCAAATTTAGTTATAATGTTGTCCTGTTTTCAAATGTCTTGCTACATGTGGTAGATGCCTTTGATGTTGTATGTTGATGATGTTGTATCAGTCTACACATCCTGACTTTGTTTACTTTTTACCAATGTACAGTTATGTTGGTGGTTACACCGTCCTTGGTTTCGCTGGCACATGTGGCCTAGTCGTCTAAGGCATCAAGTGCTATGCTGAGTTGCTTCCCTTAGTTGTGCCAGGATACCATGATAATGTTTATACAAAACCGATTCCCAGAGTGCTGAACATCTAGAACCTGCATCACTATGGGATTTCCTTCCTCATCAAGTTAACACACCATGTCACTCACTCTATCACTCACACTTTGATTTATTCTTTGTCTTTGCACAATGGACAAAATTGAAACATCTTGAAACAGCCATTGCCACTTGTTTCAGTAAGAAATCTGTAACATCAAACAGTTTGGAACTGAAGACACTTTCATGAATAACATTTTTTAAGTCCACCTTGCACCTAAAATAACCAAATAACCTAACCAGTGCCTGATAGTACCTACCTCCTTGCCTCGCTTTAGCTGGGGTCATGCCTAGTTGCCTTCCTTTAGTAATGGTATCCCTAGTTGCCTCACTTTAGTTATTGTGATCCCTAGTTGCCTCCCTTCAGCAATGATGATCCCTAGTAGCCTCCCTTTAGTTTTGGTGATCCCCAGTTGTCTCCCATCTTGACTTGCTTGACAACAGTATAAGGATCTATACCGAAACGTCGCCTTTGCAGTATTTAAAGAAGTTGTTATCCATAAAGTGTGTCTACTTTGTCATTTGTCAACTTCTAAGTAATGCCTATCAAACAGTTCAGTAATTGTGTTGTTGCCAGAGAACAGTTGATGGGTGTATGAACTGCCCAGCTGCCAATGCTTGTAGTTATCTGCGTATATTATGTTGCAGGGTTTGATAATACCGGTACTGCTATTGTGCTGGACCTATAACCCACATATGCCCCCATGGGGATTCCGGGTCAGAATGGGTCCAAAGCAACCTGTGCTGGTCATTCGAGTTGACTTTATTGATCAGATGGTTTCAGCTCATTGATTTGGTTGATTCCATGTCATTGTACCCCAATGGCCTAGATTAATGCTCATAACATCAATCACTGGTTTGACTGAGCCAGGCTTGATTATTTTGAGGCTGCTGTCATATGGCTGGAATATTGCCGAGTGTGGCATTAAACAACATCATCATCATCTTTTTGTAACATGGTGTGAAGCCCATTTCTGGTATTCCCCGCTGTGATAATGCTGGAATATTGCTTAAAGCGGCATAAAACCTCACTCACTCACTCACTCACTCACTCACTCACTCACTCACTCACTCGGCCCGTGAAGATCCGGGGTAGAATAGGTCTCCAGCAACCCATGCTTGCCGTTAAAGGTGACTATGCTTGTCGTAAAAGGCAACTAACGGGATCGGGTGGTCAGGCTCGCTGACTTGGTTGATGCATGTCATCGGTCCCAATTGCGTAGATCAATGCTCATGTTGTCAATCACTGGACTGTCTGGTCCAGACTCGATTATTTACAGACCGCCGTTATATAGCTGGAATATTGCTGAGTGCGGCGTTAAACAACAAAACACTCACTAACTCACTCAGCTGTTTGTACAACCGTTATTGAAATGAAAGCATGGCATGTTTCTGTACTAACCTTCTGCATACTAACACAAGCCTGTCTGTTTCTTGCAGGACTCTTGGGTCTTTGTAGACTTCAGTAGCTAGTGTGAGTTACTAGGGTTACGGGATGGTGCAAAGTATCAGCAAAATGTTCGAAACTATTTAACGCTACATAATGCTAACGATGAAGATAATAAATAATTTCTGCGGATAAAGTCTTTGCTCGGAATAAAATAGTTTACTACATAATTCCTTCATTTTTCAGTAAAAGACAATGAAGGTCTTTATCAAAAGATTATCTTTGGTGGAACATGTTGATGTTTATACTAATGTACAGCAGTAACACAAGAAATGGATGGTGATAGGCATCAGAGATTGGGGTCAGGGCATTGTCTAACGTGTCTATGCTTACATTTGTACAGATGGGTATTGAGAGACACCCTACCGGCCGACACCCTACCGGCCGACACCCTACTGTCCGACACCCAGTTCAGATAGGACTCACAACCCACGTGACAAGCTGTACAGATGTGTACATTCCAAAGCTGGACTACTCGCCACCATCACGGGGAAGATCAAAACTATCTCAGTATCATGACAGGATTTGTGATAGAACAACGGATGGACAATCAAATCTCCGTGGCCAGCTGTGGCCAAAATTGTCGCCCCATGCTACACAGGCGGAAAACAGTCATTTGTGAAAAGCCTTCCAAATTGAAGGGGTGTCAGGATGAGTCAGGTTGAGTCTACTGTTGTGAAAGGGATGTCAGAATGAGTCAACTATGCTGAAGGTGTGTCAGGATGAGTCTACTATTGTAAATGGGTGACAGGGTGAGTCTGCTTCAGTGGAGGGGTGTCAGGATCAGTCAACTGTGCTGAAGGGGTGTCTGGATGAGTCTACAACATTGGAGGGGTGTCAGGATAAGTACAGCAGTGAAAGGGTGTCAGGATGAGTCTACTATTGTGATGGGTTTGTATGTTGTTTAACGCCACACTCAGCAATATTCCAGCTATATGACAGCGGCCTGTAGTCATGGGGGCCAGGATGTGTCTTCTATAGTCAAGGGTTAGTTTGTTGTTTAACGCCACACTCAGCAATATTCCAGCTATATGACGGCGGCCTGTAGTCATGGGGGCCAGGATGTGTCTTCTATAGTCAAGGGTTAGTTTGTTGTTTAACGCCACACTCAGCAATATTCCAGCTATATGTCGGCGGCCTGTAGTCATGGGGGCCAGGATGAGTCTACTATAGTCAAGGGTTAGTTTGTTGTTTAACGCCACACTCAGCAATATGCCAGCTATATGAAGGCGGCCTGTAGTCATGGGGGCCAGGATGAGTCTTCTATAGTCAAGGGTTAGTTTGTTGTTTAACGCCACACTCAGCAATATGCCAGCTATATGAAGGCGGCCTGTAGTCATGGGGGCCAGGATGTGTCTTCTATAGTCAAGGGTTAGTTTGTTGTTTAACGCCACACTCAGCAATATGCCAGCTATATGAAGGCGGCCTGTAGTCATGGGGGCCAGGATGTGTCTACTGTAGTGAAGGGTTTGTTTGTTGTTTAACGCCACACTCAGCAATATTCCAGCTATATGACGGCGGCCTGTAGTCATGGGGGCCAGGATGTGTCTACTGTAGTCAAGGGTTTGTTTGTTGTTTAACGCCACACTCAGCAATATTCAAGCTATATGACGGCGGCCTGTAGTCATGGGGGCCAGGATGTGTCTACTGTAGTGAAGGGGGTGTCAGCTATGCAAGAAGGCGGCCTGGTGCCACCAGGAAACTACCTCACAATGACAGGACTTGTTTGGGCAGGGACCAGCCAGCAGGCCAAACTTTGTACATTATTCACAGATAGGGCTGCTCCATCTTACCTCCAAGTGAGTCAGATGGTCCTTGACTACACACAGTATTCAGTGAAAGATATTTGGATATGATTATGAAATTGTCATCCATGCCAACCGTCCTTGTTTTCATCAACCACATCATCTGTTCACCACTGATGACCTTACCAGTGACCTTCAAGAAGAGGGACTCATGGCTGTTATCAAATACTCAGTCCGTGGTCAAATGTTAACATGCAGTTTAGACAGGAAGTCTTCGATTGACATATAGCAGTTGGAAGAACCTGAGGATATGAGACATTTATCGATAACAGCTGTTGTTATCAAAAACCGTTTGATATTTTTATGTGAGAGAACATCCACTGATTAGTGCCGATGAGGACCAACATTGAACCAAATACAGTAGCAGTGCACTTCCATCCTTGCAGTGAGAAATTCCAGCACATGCATCACTTGTTTTTATTTTACAGATTTACTTCTGACAAACACTATGTATTGTATCTCTCTGTGTTGAATCTTGACATGGCTGTATGTACTAGTATGTACCGGTATGTACTGGTATGTACCAGTATGTACCAGTGCATGTTTGTTTCATTATGTTTGATTGCATTTATGATAAATCAATTCTCTATATTGATAATTTGTTGACAATGTTATCAACCAATTCTCTATTTTAAAATTCATAAAACAGTGCACCACAATGAACATGAATGAATTCTCTGTATTGATAATTTTATTTATTGCACTATTTGTTATTGTTGATATTGTTGAAACATAAGTTATGTATCTGGCTTGGTTGATATATATTATTTCTGCATATGTGATGCCCTCAGTGTCTGTGTTCCATCAGACAGCCTGTCAATATTTTGCTGTGAATTCAGAATCAACTTGTTTCTATTTATGAAGATGTTTATTTTTACTCTGCGGTCATAATATGATTACCACAACTGGTCGGAGTCCAGTAGAGTTAATACGGCATTAATACGGCATCAAAACGTTCCATGTCCATTCCACCTTACATTTGTAGTTCCAGACAATAACATGGACAGACGTTGATGGTTTTTCACCAGATTTGGTTATTTGAAGATGGATCAAATAAATAAGATCAGAAAATTGGTGAAAAAGGTCCAAGCTTACTTGACTGACCTTGTTGAAACTTCAATCAAACGACACCGCTGAAAACATATCAAGAGCAATAATCAGTAACAGTTTGATAATTATCTCCAAGGTCAAAGGTCACACGATAATGACTTATACTGGCCTCAGATTGGTTTCTGGACTCTTAGTATACAAATATAGATATTTTTGCCAAATTCAGTTTAAATTACAGATCGAATGCATCGGAATCTGTGGAAATAAGGTTAGGTCAAGGTCACATAAAGAGGTTGCTACAAAACCTAACCTCAGATCTGAAAAGATTTTTGGTTATTAACTGAACAAAATGACCAAGAATCTTTATTTAATTTATTTAAAGTATTTTCAAAAATAGTGTTGAAAAATAAAATATATAGTATGAACAGAGTGAGTGAGTGAGTTGGGTTTATGGCCGCTTTTAACAGTATTCCAGTTATATCACGGCGTGTCAGCTTAATGTTTGTATGAATACCTTACCTCATGTCTTCAGTGTTGCAGTATGGTGGACACGAACCAATCAAAGTGAATAAAGAAAAGTGCAGGTGATAGTTAGTCGTCTGTTGTATTTGATCCTTCAATAGTTTTGTCTTGATGATCTTATTTAGATTTCAAATGAATCTACCTGTGTGCCTAGTTGGTAGACTGACAGAATGGACCTTGTATTGATGTTAAAGGTTCCATGAGAAATGCTTGTTACATTGTTGTATGTTGCAAAATAGCACAAAATTCTAGAAAATAGACAGTAAGGAGACAAAACAGGGTTGGATAATCCGTTGGTGCTCTGATGAAAGGGGAAGTGTACACGCAAAAATCACTTCTTATTTGAAACAAAAAGCAATTAGAATGAGTTAATATCAGTGTTTGAATATATACACTCATTTCTTCTCTCAGTGAAAGCAGGAAGCTCACAATAAGTGTGAACATGTATGCCGTTAGGAGGTCTTCGTTTTCGAGGTAAACAGGCCTGAGTTCTCTCCCTTAGATTATGAGGTAACTGGTGCCAATTTAACTGGGTCCCTGTCTAGTCACAACGCAAAAGATATCAAGTACCAGTTTATGTCGAAACGACATAGCATCCGATACATTGTCTGATACCGAAGAAGTTCCCTTGACCCTACTTCACTTGTACTGAACACTGATCCGCTCTAAATTGTACTACAGCTCCGATGGATATGGCGATGCGTGTAAAAGAAATATAGAAACGTTAGATTCTGATCAATAACAAGGACTAAGGCTTTGCTTTTGAGCCTATAAGACATTCTGTTGTCTGCTTTTATGTGGAGGTTGATGAGCCATGCCTTAAACAACGTTGTATCAAATTAGCACTTCAGTATGTTACGAAATTAAACTCTGACCCATCACGTCCAACATGATTGCATATGTAATCCTCGTGAGCGGCAAGACCACCCTTTCCATATTCATAAGAAATCTCCGCTAAAGGAGAGCAGAGTCCTTTGTACGATTCCCACTTTGTCATAAGCATATTTCATGAATCACGGTCAAATACTGATGATACTATGTATTCGCGAAAAGGTGAGCGTATCCTGCGGCACCGATGGCTTATTTGGAAATATCCTCCACATGTCTACCAAACACTTATTGAAAGCTTTATTAAATCCTTGAATGTTGTAATCTTCATGACACAACTTTTGAGAAAGAGTCGTATGAGGCTCTTTGAAAGGGCATGCTCGATCGTATGTCAAACATCGTTGTGAAATGTAGACGCCAAGGGAAATATAGAAAACACACTGGTTCCACCCTTTGGGATTTAGACAAGTCCAATATTGCGGCTGTCAGTAGAACTTTTCATCACGAGGTTTCACAAAGTTGACACCAATCAATTGGTTTATCAACATAAGTATGTTCAATAAAGAAGTAAATACGATTCTTATCGCTCAGTTTTCATGGATCCAAGTATGGTTGCACACTGGCCAATGCGCTGGCATTGGATCCATGATCATTCCGCCAGACAAAAGTTCTATTTTCACTGCTAAGTTCAATGCTTTGGAATATATTCATCTTCAAAATAAATCTCAAAAGATTATCATCATTTCAGATTCTCTTTCATGACTTCAGGCAATAACTAATATGACAACTAATTCTCCACATATTCTTGATATTTTGGAAATGAATAACTTTGTTTCCACTGGCCAGCGCGACATCGTCTTTGGATGGTTGACCAGCCATGTTGTCATGGCGGGTACCACAATGGCTGATGCTTGTACTAAATGTGTGACTCCACTTCTAATACAGTACAGCGACTGCAAGCCTGTCACCAGATGCTAGGCCAGAGATCTAATGCAAAAGAAGCGGGATTCCTGAGTATGTATAAACAGATTACATGAGAAAACACCTACTACCAGTTACACCTTCTTGGGTTGTCGGTCACAGATTTGGAGAGGTCATTTTACGAGCATGTCGTCCTGGCCATACAAGTTTACCTGAGTATTTTCTGAAAGGTGAGGATCTTCCAATATGTGTTCCTTGGGATGAGAGAATCACAGTCAAGAATGTCCTGTTCTCCACCCCACATCTTAAGGATCTTTTTAATAGTGTGAACACTTATTTAGTCATATGTTTGTTTATATGAGACCACCCTCTTGGTCTTGTGGTAGAGCGGAAGGTCCGGGTTTCGATCCCCGGCCGCATCCTACCAAAAGATGTTAAAAGATGGTACTTCTTGTTACCCTGCCTATAGCTCTGCAATAAGGAGCTTGAACAAGGACTGGTCAACTTGGAGTCAGTATACTGTGTGTCTGAGTGGGGTATTCATGTTAAAATGCGACATGGTATCTCAGTGTGCTAGCGCTATAAAATCGGCATTAGTCCGGACTAGTACAAGCAGCCATACACACACGTGCATGCATGAGAAATATAAATGCAATAATCTTTGACGTGATGTTAGACCCCATTTTACCTTACTTCAATGATATGTTGAATTAGTAGATTCATTTTCAAAAAATGCCTTGTAAAAAAGTAAACGATTATTTTAAAATTTGGTAGAATGAATTAGTAACTGAGATTGTTTGTGGCTGTACCCTTGAAGGGCCTTGATGTTGAAATATACAGACTAAGTGTTATTAATTTATAAGTTGTGCTAGTCATGATATGGCCGTACAAACAAGGGAATGTGTGGTCAAATTCAGAATAGGGAATTGCATCGGACATCAGATTGGTCACTGATGCGTCCACAGGTGTATCTGCAACTTTTTAAAAAAATTTGCTATGGCCATGAATGATGTAACCTTGATCAAACAACTTTTTGAAATCTTCAAAGAAAGAGCATGCGCGGCTGTATCTCAAAAGGGAGGGCTCTGAATATTTCTGCATCTATGTAGAGATGAAACAGATGAAACAAGTTTCACATGAATGTTGTCTGTGAGGAAGTCCAGTATTTCATGTATTTGTTTTCTCAGCAAACAGTAGATGACATTTGCCTTCATTTTTGACAAATTGCCACGAACCTTTGAAGATAGTGATGTTGCAATATCAGATGTTTTGACAGAGTTGAACTTTGTTCTTTTCTGAGATTGCAAAAGCAAATCCTTCGAGTTTTTAAGAACCAACATG